TTCGGTCTTTTTTTGTTATTTAGTTTGTAATTTTATGATTATCATTAACAGAAATAAAGGACTTTATATATAAATATTAAGCTAGCCCCAAAAAACTAAATACATAAATAGATAATTACATAGTTAGAAAGCTAATTAATGAAAAGTTGAATTTCAAAAGTTTCTCTTATACAAATTTACTTTATTTGGCCTTTATAACTTTTTTAATTCGAGCGTCACTAATGTGTCTTTTGTAGACAACACACGCGTCTGACGTGCAATATTTAAGCCTGGTATCTATGATGAGTTTATTTACAATCACTGGATCGATGCCACTGCTGCAGGAGGTTTCCTCACCAATGGTATCACAAGCCCAGTAGTCAGCACTTCTGTGTTGACACGAACTATCACTGATATGGTCATAATTATAAATTAACTCACTGTTCAAAACCCATTTCATTTTTTGAAATACTATGGATTTTTTAACCCCCCCCCCCTTCCCCCCCTGAGAAAACAGATAACCTTAGCTGTATTTGGCAAAACCTTTCGGAATTTTGGGTCGTCGGTGCTCTTCAAATTTCGTGCTTTATTTGGCCTTTTTAACTTTTTTTTTCGAGCGTCACTGATGAGTTTTTTGTAGACGAAACGAGCGTCTGGTGTACAACATTTCAAGCCAAGTATCTATGATGGGTGTATTTACATCAACTTACAATCTATATGTTTGATTTGAAAGTTCTAGCAATTTGCAATGATTATAGTAATAATTAGACTTCCTAAATTATTAACTATTACATATAGAATAAAAAAGCACTTTTCATATTTCTGCGTTAAGCCCTCTGTTGTTGACCTGGCAAGGATGTTTTGGCGATGTTCACACTTTATTTTCATACTAGAGAAGAACGAGGTTAATTCTATTCGCATTATTTTTTCTAATCACAGACGTCGCGTAAACAAATTTGTTGCCAAAACTAGTTGATTCGAATTAATATCTTTTCCAAAACTAAATTATAAAGAAACCCCTAAAATTTTATCCAAACAATAACATGAATAAGTACCATTGGTTGGTTTTTTCTTACATTCTAATGCTTTGTATGCTTTAATCTATTCGTTTGGTTTTCTAATGGTGAGAAGTTCTCATAACTGCAATAAGTGTCTGATATTAGTTGACATAAAAAAAAAACATACAATATGGAATGTTTATAAGTGTGAGAAAAACAAGCGTTAAAAATGAGATAACTAAAAAGCAGGACTGTAATGGTGAATTTGAATTGCTTGCTATTGAAATCTATTTGAATGTGTTAATCATGAATAAAATCCTTTTATGTACAATCTCCATATGTGCACTTCAAAACTTCACTAAAATTTACCACGCGATGTATACGTAGGAGATGTATTGCTCATTACAAAGTTTTTTTAGACTAACGAATGGACTATGAATGGAAAGAATCAAAAGAAATGAGCGTAGGGACAAGATGATTCCTACAGTTCCGATAAACACACATATGACACCATGACGCGATAGAAGTAGGATAGACAAACAACAGTCCTCAAAACACTACACCGAAATGTACGAACGCTACCTTAAACCGGTGGTGATTGAAATTGCCCAGGAAGGGTATTGAATCTTCCACGATATCAATTTTCATTCATATTTGATAAAACAACTAATATAGTATGTGATAATGTGCCAACATATAAAAAAAACTGCCGGATTTGTGATTGTTCAGCTCGTGGTGCAAACAGTATTCATTCGAATATTGAACGAGAATAAACTTCTTAACATGTCTTCCACTTTCGACATCGAAAAAAACATATTTTTACTGTATATACCTAGTATATTCCTTAATCATTTTTATTATCCCTTTTTTAAATATTCTAAATTATTTTCTCCTGATATTGACAACAATCGATGTTTTATCTAAACAATGAAAAGTAAGATGATCCCTATTTGCAGATGGTGGTATTAAGGGGAACTGCAAAAGCTTCATTAGAAGACTGATTCCTGACCATTATTAAATCAATTGCAGTATAAAATGACAAAAAAAAAATCCTTCACCTATAAACGATAAAATTATTTCATTTTTGACATATGCATATTGATACCTAAAGAAATATTTTGCTTTTAGTCCAATTTTATCATTTTTGAAGAATTTTTTAAAGAATTGCAATGTTCTGTAAATATTGCGCAATTAACACTTTAATATGCATTTGATTTGGAATAATGGTATTCTGTTCACATGATTTTGAGAAAAAAAATATACGAGAACCATCAAAGGCCATTTTGTTTTATCCTTGCGAAATTTAGGAATGTTCATTCTTGACCTTTGACCTTGATTTAACAAAAATTGCACCGTGCGAATCATTGACGACAGGACAAAACAGAAAGTACAGACAATAAGCTTTCTAATGATAAATAATAAAGCCTTATGTTAGGTGGTTGCATTAAAGTCGTCAACTAAGCGTCTCTTTGGAAAATGTCACTCGCCTACAAGGTTTTTAAAGAGTTTTCTATCCTCATTTGAAAATTATTCAATAAACAGTCACGAAAAGGAATATTAAAACCTAAATCTAATAATTCATCTTACAGATAAGTAATTCAGAAGGTTTAGATTCAACAAATTAGGAAACTTTTGCCAAATTTGGTCAGAGAATATATTTTTTGATATATATCAAAAAGATGACAAAATGCATTTAATTTTCTACCTAAGTGTTCAATGTTGACAGAGTCTTTCAAATCTGTGGAGTATCTGCTGCTTTCCAGAACTATTAATCTTTCGTTCATGTCTTTCAATTTTTATTCTTAGACTTAAACTTGATATAAATTTTGTTAGATTTATATACCGCTGTCATCTGATTATGCATCTATGATATTTTTCCATGCATCCAACAAATCTGATGTAAATATCTTTTCAAAACAACCTCAAATTTATAAAGACTTATAAAAATGTGTCTCTTTCGAATAGATAGATCAATAGTCTCTATAAAAAAATGTATCTCTTTCGAATAGATAGATCAATAGTCTATATAAAAAAAAGTTTAAAAGAGTACGAAGGCATCGCGGTGGTTATTGTTAAAGTTGTATTAATTAAGCTTTACATAGTAGGTTTGATGCATACCATACCAAACGATAGATTTAACACAGTGATCAAATAAATAAACAAATGTTTTGTATATGCATATTTCATATCATTTTTTAGCTTGAAACGTTTTTTTTTTCTTTCTTTTCGTTAAAATTGTTTTTTTTTTTGTTAAACTTTCCAGTACCTAGATATATATTTTTATTATACTTCACGTTAAAATGCCATATTTTGATTGGCTAATACGAGGGTGTTAATTTACTCTATTACCCTTCATGGAGACGCTTGATCAAGTGTGCGCTTTATTAAATACGGATGGTTGTTATGTACATGACGTCATAGTTTATTACTTTGAATTTGAATTTTAATCGACAGTAATAACAGAACATTCAGTATAATAAATTAAATAACAAATATCTGAGAAGGTGATAGAGCAGATTGTTACCCCTCGAAAAGACATTGTCAACCTTGGCTTCGCCTCAGTTGACAATGTTTTCTCGGGGTAACAATCTGCTCTCTCACCCTCTCAGCTACAAATATATGTATGTTATTTATATAATATTGTTTAACACATTCTTAATTATTATGACGAATGTGGAAATTTATTCAAAAGCCTTCCACTCTTATATATAGATATTGGAGCTATTTTTCTCTTTCGTGCAAACTTTAAGGCACCATTCTGTATCAGACAATAGTACGAGCGGCGGAGGACATTTTAGCGGAAAAAATCGGCTGTTTAAACACAAAAGTATAACCCAATTTAGCGCCAGATTTTTAATCCATTTAAGCGAAAAGTTATTTTACCAATGCCCTTTTTAACGATATAAATTAAATTGTAGGTGATTTATAAATGTATATAGTATCAACACAGTACATAATAAAAAATATCGTGTCCATTAAAAGACAGCACTAAATGTCTAAAAAGTTCATACAAATGATAAAAGTCCGTTATAGTCTGGAATCTATATCCCAATGAACGTAGGTAATGGGTTCTTGATATGTCCCCTTTACAACACTGTTCATAAAATGGCGAACTGTTCCTTCTGTTTATTTTGTCTAGATTAGGGTTCAGATTAATCGATACTTCTGTTTGATATGCATATGACTATGTTGTTGTTTGTAATTTGATAGTACTATCCAGAAAAACTATCACATATTGCACTTTTATCTTCTGCTTTTTCAACAACATTTATTTCCATGTTTAACAAAATTGTAAATGCAGACAACTTAAACATTTAGCTAGCATACATTACTGTTCACGGTTTTATTATGGTAAGTATTATTCAACCAGATAATGTTTCGCTCAAGTGGGCTATCGAAAATACAAGTGAACGTATTAATCCGCAAAAATGGGCTATAATCTCTGCGCTTAATTGTCCCCTAGCAGTTTTAAAATTTTCGCAAAAATGTCCTGCCAATGTATAAGCCAAGTGATATTTTTCATTATCTAAATTGGCATTCTCATATTTCTGTTTGAATAATTAGGGTAAATCGTTTATGAAAAAATTTGAATACCCCAATACATCGTTTATGTGAAGTCTGATTACCTTGATATTTAGTCTGGTAAGTACTAATAAAAAGTATTTTGAACTCCCTTATATTCTATTGTTAGAAATAACAAGAAACATATACTGAAATAAATATAAAGTATCATGAGGCCGCAGTTATTGAAAAGCTAAATAACTGCATCATGAACATTTCTCAAACCATTTTGTATTTCAACATGAATCACTATTCTTTGGAAGGATTTTAGTAAAGTAAAAAGAACAAAAGAAAATCTTCAGTGCATGGTAATAATCTTTGTTTATAATATAATATTTCTTTGTGTCAAATATACGTTTTCACCCTTTAGTTTTAGCTACAAATAATTGAATAGGATGCTTCGTGAGTGGGTATTCGGCAAATCTAATATTATCTTTATTGTACGTTTTCTATATTTAATAGTTCTACAACATTGATTCGTAAATAATGAAGATAATAAAACAGATTATGATAGGGACTGGTAGTGCTAGTTTTCTGATGGTCATTATTGGATTTGTAACACCAGGATGGCTTATCGTTAACGTTGATTTGCCAAAAATGCAGGAGCAGGAAATGAAGAAACAACCTGTTTGGATGCAGAAACAATATAAGGTATTATACATTGTTTGGGTACAGAACCAATATAAGGTACGATACATTGTTTGGGTACAGAACCAATAGCAGGTACGATACATTGTTTGGGTACAGAACCAATATAAGGTATGATACATTGTTTGGGTACAGAACCAATATAAGGTATGATACATTGTTTGGATACAGAACCAATATCAGTATGATACATTGTTTGGGTACAGAACCAATATAAGGTATGATACATTGTTTGGGTACAGAACCAATATAAGGTATGATACATTGTTTGGATACAGAACCAATATCAGGTATGATACATTGTTTGGGTACAGAACCAATATAAGGTATGATACATTGTTTGGATACAGAACCAATAGCAGGTATGATACATTGTTTGGATACAGAACCAATATAAGGTACGATACATTGTTTGGTTACAGAACCAATATAAGGTGTGATACATTGTTTTGGTACAGAACCAATTTAAGGTATGATACATTGTTTGGGTACAGAAGCAATATATATATAGTATTGGAAACAGAACCAATATCAGGTATGATACATTTTTTGGATACAGAACCAGTATAAGGTATGATACATTTTTTAAATACAGAACCAATATAAGGTTTGATACATTGTTTGGATACAGAACCAATATAACGTATGGAACATTGTTTGGATACAGAACCAATATAAGGTATGATACATTGTTTGGATACAGAACCAATATCAGGTATGATACATTGTTTGGGTACAGAACCAATATAAGGTACGATACATTGTTTGGTTACAGAACCAATATAAGGTATGCTACATTGTTTGGATACAGAACCAATATCAGTATGATAGATTGTTTGGGTACAGAACCAATATAAGGTATGATACATTGTTTGGGTACAGAACCAATATAAGGTATGATACATTGTTTGGATACAGAACCAATATAAGGTATGATACATTGTTTGGGTACAGAACCAATTTAAGGTATGATACATTGTTTGGGTACAGAAGCAATATATATTCAGTGTTTGAAAACAGAACCAATATCAGGTATGATACATTTTTTGGATACCGAACCAGTATAATGTATGATACATTTTTTAAATACAGAACCAATATCAGGTTTGATACATTGTTTGGATACAGAACCAATATAAGGTATGATACATTGTTTGGGTACAGAACCAATATAAGGTATGATACATTGTTTGGGTACAGAACCAATATAAGGTATGATACATTGTTTGGGTACAGAACCAATATAAGGTATGATACATTGTTTGGGTACAGAACCAATTTAAGGTATGATACATTGTTTGGGTACAGAAGCAATATATATGCAGTGTTTAGAAACAGAACCAATATCAGGTATGATACGTTTTTTGGATACAGAACCAGTATAAGGTATGATACATTTTTTTAAATACAGAACCAATATAAGGCTTGATACATTGTTTGGATACAGAACCAATATAACGTATGATACATTGTTTGGGTACAGAACCAATATAACGTATGATACATTGTTTGGATACAGAACCAATATCAGGTATGATACATTGTTTGGGTACAGAACCAATATAAGGTATGATATATTGTTTGGATACAGAACCAATATAAGGTATGATACATTGTTTGGATGCAGAACCAATATGAGGTAAGATACATTGTTTGGATACAGAACTAATATAACGTATGGAACATTGTTTGGACACCGAACCAATATAAGGTATGATACATTGTTTGGATACAGAACCAATATAAGGTATGATACATTGTTTGGATGCAGAACCAAAAGGTATGATACATTGTTTGGATATAGAACCAATATAAAGTATGATATATTGTTTGAATATAGAACCAATATAAGGTATGATACATTGTTCGACAATGGTCAGTTTTATGTTTTTTCCAAAAGATTGTTATTGAGAAAAATAAAAAATTCCGATTTCGGACACAGAATAAAAAGTTTGTAAACTTTGTCAAATTTGGATAGTAACATTTAGAAGAGAAAGAGGAGGGGCTAATAAGAAAATCATATATCGAAGGACAGACATCGCCATAGGTAAAAGAAAAAAAGATCAAAAGACCAACACCAATAAAAATATAATAAATGGTGATACAGTGTAAACGAGGTTGAAAAAACGAAACACCAGTAAACACAACGAAATCTGGGAGCGATCTCTGCTGCTCCTGAAGGGTAACTTCCAATTACATTTCATAACTTAAAATAGGTTAATACAATTTTACATTATTCAGGAAAGATTAGCCCTTATGAAAAAGGACCCAAACAAACCTGATATGCAAGATTTAAGAATAACATTTGGACCATTTTATATGCGATACTGCATGACGATGAAAATTGGAACGATTTCTACTGATATATGTGTAATGATGTCATCAGGCAATGCCATAGATTTGTTGAAAACTACAATGCGAAATAATAATTCAGGTAATTTTCAATTATCAATATAAAACATTTGAGAAATTGTAACACTTTTAACTTAGATATGTAAAAGTTATCCTCCAAATCCCAGGTGTTTATTATCCAGTGTTTGAATTCCCATTTCTTTGCTTAGGTTTAGGTTTATTGCTCTTCAACTGTTGATGTTTTCTGAACTCCTATATTTGGTTTTGATCACCACTAATGAAAAATGAGAAATTTACAAATTCAAACATATGGTACAGCGAAATAATTACAATACGTGTATGTATTATAAGGATTTGTACTTTTGATTGACTGAAGGCAATGGTGAGGCATTCCAAAATCAAATTGTATTTCTCAATAAAATTTAATCTTGACATTACTCGTTATTTCATAGTTGTAGCATATAAATGTCATTGTAAGAATTGAATGCTTCTTTTTGTATTTATATAGGGTTGCAAAAGCGTGCACATTTTTAATATGATGCGCTTCTGCGCCTCATATAAAATGTACTTCAGTCGACGCTGCTTGTCCATCCCAATAAAATTACAAAAAAAAATGATAGCAGGTGCTTTTCTTCTCGCATGCTATTATTTTAATATTCGTTCTGATGAAAATGGAAAATTTGTTATATTCTCCCCACTGATGAGAAATAATTTTCGAAATGTGAATATAATGGATTAAGTTAGATTCAGTATCATTTCATTTTTTTAGGACATGTGCCACTAAATATTTTGTTTTCAATTACCGTTATAGTTCTTGGCTTTTTGTGAAAACTTCTAATTTCACCGCAACTCAACATCACTTCTGAGGGCCAAGTCATACCTGCCTTATCATCAGAACCACTCTTGTTGATAAATCGTATGTAGTAATTTTCTTGATCGAAGCTGGGACCAATGGAACGGCCTAACATTTCATGACGTGAAACATAAATTCCAAAATAATTTAATACTTTAGCTCCCTGACCAAAAGCGTCCACCAGTTGTCGCAACTATAGGTCACCGTACGGCCTTCAACAATGACCAAACCCATACCGCATAGTAAACTATAAAAGGCTCAGAAATGACAAAATGTTAAACAATTCAAACGTTAAAGCTTGCTTTATGAATAAAAAAATAAACGAAAAACAAATATGATAGACAGCTATCCATAAATATTGACCGACGATTTCTTATCGGAGTTCTTCCTCTTTGATAATGATTTTTCTCAACTTTTATCATTTCTTTGATATTATTTCGAATCAATAATGAAAAATAACTGTAAAGAGCAAACATCTTTGAAAATTCAGTTAATGGATTTCATCTATTTAGCTGAATGTGAGGTCCAAAAAACAAAAAGAAAAACATTCGAGACATTGGAGTAAAAATGGTGACTATCAAAATTTGGAATGCTATGTCAAGTTATTGTTTTTCTTTGGTTTTAATGGTTTATTTAAGAAAGTTAACGGTATTGATATCAAATTTTGTCGACCTGACTTACAGCACATTTATTCTCTGAGCGATAAGGAGGATGAGGTTATAAACCTTTTGTTCATCTTTGACCGCAGTATGTTGAACTCTTATAATGTCTATTCGTGGTTGATATGTGTTTTGGGAAGGTTGTGGCATTGTGATGTTGAGACCACATCTTCTTTATTCCCTCTTAAGAACACTAGTCAGCCCTAAACAAACAAGTTTACACAAACAACCTCAAATGTTTTAACTAAACCCCTAAAAGCATTGCATATCGGTTGAAGCAATGTATGAAGTTCGCAGTCATAAACTTTTCAAACAGTTACAGACATTTAATACTGTATGATTTGTATTATATTTTAACTCACCCAGCTATGCAAATGGTGGAGGAACTGCACAAAAATGGAATCAATATATCGATAGAATCAAGTAAGTTTTTATTTTACGATTGCATCATTTTGGGTGTTAAACTAAAATACACCCATATAAATTCATTACATAATTTTTCAATAAGCATAATTTGAAGCAAGTTTTTAATATTGGTCAGTTTGGTATTGTATGAACTATGAATTGCCTTACAGTTTTAACTCTTATTGTTGGAGAGGTATGGGTAAAAATTAACACAATCAATGCATATCAAATAAAACAAAAATGAAAAAGTAATGAACTTCAATGACAGTGTTTTACTGGAAAATTACCAAAAGTTACTTAGTTTAATTTCCATATGGGGTGAGAGCGAAGCTCGAACCCCATATGAAATTTACTGATCCCATATATATCGTATTAGGTCACTAGCACACTGTGTAACGAATTTATCTTACCGATTATCTCTACATGTTGCATTTAGACAAGTGGTCTATCAAAGTGATCAAGTCTTCAATATAAAGCAAATCCTTCCGTTGGTTTATAAAAAAACAAATGCCAACAATAAAAATTTCTTAGCTTTTAATATGTTTTCTGCATTTGTTTCAATCGTTCATCATCAATTTCTTCCTCTGTTGTCCGGGTGAAACGTTTCAGATTTTTCCTCAACGTCGTGTTGGTTTTTTATACGACCACAAAAAAATTTTGCGGTCGTATATTGGTATGACGTCGTCGTCGTCGTCGTTGTCGTCGTCGTCGTCCGGCGTCGTCGTCGTCCTCCGAAGACACATTGGTTTTCGCACTCTAACTTTAGTTTAAGTGAATGGATCTCTATGAAAATTTACCATAAGGTTTAATACCACAAAAGGAATGTGGGGATTGATTTTGGGGGTTATGGTACCAACAGTTAAGGAATAAGGGGCCAAAAATAAGCATTTTTGTAACTTACAGACATAACTTGTGTGTTAGTGTATGGATCTCTCTGACATTGTACCACAAGGTTCCATATCACAAAGGGAATGCTGGGATCTATTTTAAGGGTAATTGCCTACAAATTTTAGGAATTAGGGGCCAAAAAGGGGCAGAAAACAAGCATTTTTCTAGTTTCATGACAATAACTTGTGTGTAAGTGTATGGATCTCTCTGACATTGTACCACAAGGTTCCATATCACAAAGGGAATGCTGTTATTGATTTTGGGGGTAATTGCCTCCAAATTTTAGGAATTAAAGGCCAAAAAGGGGCAAAAAACAAGCAGTTTTCTAGTTTCAGGACGATAACTGATGTGTAAGTGTACGGATCTTTATGAAATTGTACTACAAGGTTCCATATCACAAAGGGAAAGCTGGAATTGAGTTTGGGGGTAATTGCCCAAAACGTTTAGGAATAAGGGGCCAAAAAGGGGCCAAAAATAAGCATTTTTCTAGTTTCCAGACAATAACTTGTTTTCAAGTGTATGGATCTCTCTGAAATTGTACTGCAAGGTACCATACCACAAAGGGAAGGCTGGGATTGATTTTGGGGGTAATTGCCTCAAAATTTTGGGAATTAGTGGCCGTAAAGGGGCAAAAAAACAAGCATTTTTCCAGTTTCAGGACAATAACTTGTGTGTAAGTGTATGGATCTTTATGAAATTGTACTACAAGGTTCCATATCACAAACAGAAAGCTAGATTTGAGTTTGGGGGTAATTGCCCTAAACGTTTAGGAATTTGGGGCCAAAAAGGGGCAAAAAAACAAGCATTTTTCTAGTTTCCAGACAATAACTTGTGTTCAACTCTATGGATCTCTCTGAAATTGTACTGCAAGGTACCATACCACAAAGGGAAGGCTGGGATTGAGTTTGGGGGTGATGAATCATTAGGGGGTTCAAAAAATTTGTGGGGGGGGGATTTTTTTTTCCTTTTTTTCTTTGAAATTTTCCATTTTAAATTGGTTATTTCTGATTTATATATAAAAGCAAATAATAATGATATGGTTTGAATAGGTAAATTAATTTTTTTTAAGTTCTTAGACCACATTCATTCTGTGTCAGAAACCTATGCTGTGTCAAATATTTAATTACAATCCAAATTCAGTGCTGTATCAAGCTTGAATGTTGTGTCCATACTTGCCCCAACTGTTCAGGGTTCGACCTCTGCGGTTGTATCATGCTGCGCCCTAGCGGAACATTTTATTTTTAAAGGGACGTAACACCACTACTAACCATGAATTGAAATAAACCACGCCTACTAACCCCATATGAAATATACACGGCCTCAACGCGGGCGCTTTCGGAAATATTCTCGTTATATAAAGGTGAGATTTAGAATTTACAATAAAGGATAAAATTGAGAATGGAAATGGGGAATATGTCAAAGAGACAACAACCCGACCAAAGAGCAGACAACAGCCGAAGGCCACCAATGGGTCTTCGATGCAGCGAGAAAATCCCGCACCCGGAGGTGGTCCTCAGCTGGCCCCTAAATAAAACTGTGTACTAGTTCAGTGAAAATGGACGTCCCACTAAACTCCAAAACATATAACTGAACTAATATTAAAAAACATACAAGACTAACAAAGGCCAGAGGCTCCTGACTTGGGACAGGCGCAAAAATGCGGCGGGGTTAAATATGTTTTGTGAGATCTCAACCGTCCCCCTATACCTCTAGCCAATGTAGAAAAAAGAAACAAATAGCAATACGCACAGTAAAACTCAGATTAAAAGAAGTCCGAGTCCGATGTCAAAATAGGTAACAAAAGAAACTAGGCAAAATGACAATGAAACATAAATTAACAAAGGACTACTAGCAGTTACTGACATGCCAGCTCCAAACCTCAATTTAACTGATTGAAAGATTATGTCTTCATCATATGAAAATCAAGTGCAATTCCTCCCTTCAGGGGTTTAGTATCATACCATCATAAAATATATGAGAAGATGTATGCCATCATCATCGACATGATATATCAACATATTTTATTAGTTCATAAAAGAGAGACAAAAGATATCAAAGGAACATTCAAACTCATAAGTCGAAAATAAACTGACAACGCCATGGCTAAAAAAGAAAAAGACAAACAGTCAAACAACAGTACACAAAACACAACATAGAAAACTAAAGACTGAGGAACACAAACCCCATCAAAAACTGGAGTGATCTCAGGTGCTCCGGAAGGATAAGCATCTCCTGCTCCTTATGTGGCACCCGTTGTGTTGCTCATGCTAGTACAAACCCAGTGATAAGGCTAATTCGGTAGGTCATATTCTGGTTAAAGGGGGACGGGATTGATGTTACGACGATTGGAACATATCCGTCGTCATCTGTGAAACAGATGTCAATGACGGTCAACAAACTCGTGATAGCGTCCGTAAAATTTACGAAGCAAAGAGATCAACTTCACCACTTGGTACTCTTGGTTTAATAAGCGTCCTTGTGAGCAGAAACCCTCTATCAAGGAAATCATGATAGGAAATACAAGCCCTGGAATATCGTATCAACTGGGAGATATATACTCCGTATGTAGGCGCTGCTGGAATGTTGCTACATAGAAATGGAAAGTTCACAATTGGGAAGCTGAAATAGTGTCTTTTGTCGTTTTTTTTTTTTGGTTTTCAACGGACCCTCATTGTCAATTTCTAGATGTAAGTCAAGATATGAGGCTGACTTAACTGTATCTTTTGTATCCTTTATCTCAAGTTCGATGGGATAGATACGTTGAACATAGTCTACAAATTTTGAATTATTTATTGAGAGAACATGATCTATATAGCGGAAAGTGAAGTTAAAGGATACTGTAAGTATAAGTAACACGACGTCCCAGTTGGTACAATATTCTAGAGCTTGCATTTCATATCATGATCTTTGATAGAGGGTTGTTTCTTACAAGGAAGCTATTGAACCAAGAGTTCCAAGTGGTGAAGTTCATCCCTTCGAAAATTTTACGGACGTCATCACGAGTTGGTGGACTGTTATGAAATATCTGTTTCACAGATGACGTCGGATATGTTCCAATTGCCCGTCCTCTTTTACTCGAATGTGACCTACCAAATTAAACTTTTAACCAGGTTTGTATTTCAATGAGCAACACAACAGGTGCAAGATTTTGACCAGGATCTGCTCATCCTACCAGAGCACCTGAGATCACCCCTAGTTTTGATTAAAAGAGGTTCATGTTTTTTTTTGCTTCAGTTTTTAGTGTTGTTCCTTGTGCTTTTTTTCAAATTTATACCGGTACAGTCTTGTCTGTTCTTTGTCATGAAATTTTTTGGCCCCGTTGACTTAGGTCGGGGCCATATAGTGTTACCCTTATCTGGCATTCCGTCATTCCGCAATGACCAGTTATATTATATAGCTCTTCAACTGTTTCGATTTTATATACACTTGGCTTTCAAATATTCGACTTTGAGCGTTCCTGATGGAGGTAAATCAGGAAAAGCGCTTCGGACGCATTAAATTTATAACGTGTTGTTTTCATTTTTTATACGGACTGTTTTTTCTAAACGCCTTCACATATTGAGCTGATTTTTACTATGTGAGTCTGCTATGATAAGTTACAGACCGAGTTTACGTTTAGTTCCGCTCCTTTGATTTTTGTCGAAATTACACTTTGGACTTTGAAAATTTCGTGAAAATAACAGTTATACGGACTTTTTTTCTAAACACCCTCACATATTGAGCTGATTTTTAATATGTGAGTCTACTATGATAAGTTACAGACCTAGTTTACGTTAAGTTCCGCTCCGTTGATTTTTGTCGAAATTTCAGGCTTTGGACATTGAAAATTTCGTGAAAATAACAGTTATACGGATTTTTTTTCTAAACGCCCTCACATATTGAGCTGATTTTTAATATGTGAGTCTACTATGATGAATTACAAATTGAGTATACGTTTGGTTTTGTTCCGATGATTTTTGTCAAAATTACAGGCTTTGGACTTTGAAAATTTTGTGAAAATAACAGTGATACGGACTTTTTTTTTCTAAACGCCTTCACATATTGAGCTGATTTTTAGTATGTGAGTCTACTATGATGAGTTTACGCTTAGTTGTGGTCCGCTGATTTTTGTCGAATTTCGGGCTTTGGACTAAGGAATATTTCCACTCCTGAAAATGGCTTCATGCCTTTTTTGTGAGCGGAGCCATTCGTGTCGTTCCGACACATATATTTTTTTTTAATTTCAAAATTTCCTATTCAGGGTTAGAAAATTTACAACACCGTTTATAAATTTGGTGATGATAGTTATATAAGAGTCAATTACCAATCGTAATGCCTAATCACTTGATATAACATATCAACAAATTGTATATAAGTAACACGACGATCTGGTTACCCTTACCGAATACGGAGCACCTGAGATCACCCCGATGTTTGGTGTTTTTTTTTGTGGCTCATTCTTTAGTTTTCTATGATGTGTTTTGTGTACTATTGTTTGTTTTATTTAGTTTCGACTTGTGAGTTTGAATATCCCTTTGGTTTCTTTCGATTCTCTTTTACTTGTTTTGTTGACATCAGTATCTAGATAAGGTATATCTGAAATACGACAAATGCATATTATGTAGCTTAACCTCCAATTGAATATTTTTTTTTGGTTAAAATGTCCTTTTTTTTTAATGACAAATTTTGCGAAATCTCTTAAAACTGCAGTTCTGAACCATCTAAAGGCATTAATAATTTGGTAACATGTTCGAATATATGCTAAAATGGTGTTTAAAAACATTAAGGGACACACATGTAGCTGTAATACTGTTAATTTTATTAAAGGAAGCCCCGGTATGAAATCCATTTAGGAGAAATTGGCCTTACCTCATTGAAATAAATCTTTTTGAGAACTAAAAATAAATAACGATACTGTAACTACATGCTTATACGTTGTTTCTGCTTCTATTTTTCAGTGATTAATATTTGTATAGCCATAATTGTTGTTTGCTCACTAACTTTGATACAGTCATTTGTCTCCTTGGTTTTGACCTTAGTGTACAGCTGTAAACGGTATCCACGAAAAATACTTGGAGTTGTTGGTAGTATCTCCTTAATTCTTTCAGGTAAGCGAGATGTTTTTTCACAATATCTTAAGTTGTACCAATCCTCACTAAATGTTTGAACATTTTCCTCAACAAAAAACAAAATCACTGATGTTGAGTATTTTGATTATACACGTTTCTAAAATAAATTAGAAGGGATCCAAAACAGGTTTTTTACTACTTTTAATTTGTAAGACTTGCATTTATTTTTGACCAGATTTAGTTTTATTTTTCTTTGTATTTTATATATGAATTACTATCAAACTTGTCACCAGATTTGTTGTTACCTATACGGTTCCCGGGATTAAATAAAACTAGTGAACTAAATTCGATTATTAGTTCTTTTTCGTTATAATCCCTTTCCTAAGGGGGTTTTCCTTTGTGTCCGCAATTTACAATCATTTTGTAGAGTAATGCGATATGCAATTAGTTTGTTGTATGTACTTCAAAACTTTTTTTAGAAACAATTTACTTTTGTACTCTATATGGTTTTTAGTAAAACTATAATCCGTAGCCATATTTAACTTATTTAATACCGTCTCCTGCATGTGTAACTAAATGTCGGCGTCAGTAAAAATCTAACAAAAAAACATCATTAAATAACAACGCTTTACATCGTATCAAAATGAAAAAATATAGGACCAAAAACAAACCAGTAACTAAAAACAAATCACACGACAACGTTTCAATCAAAATGAAATTGGTCTCATCCTAAATAATAAAATCTATTCTATCAAAAAAAGCAAGTAAAATTCTTAAATATTAGCAATCAGTAAATGAAATTAATCACTTTCTTTTGGCAAATTTCGTTGATAACATGATAATCTAATTTATATTTAAATATAGTCATATGTTTTTTTCTTCTCTTTGAAGGTACAATCACTTTCCTCTTTGTAATCATATATTTAATAATGAATGGACAGTACACGAATGTGTTAACTGCACAACATCTTGAAGACGCTTTGGATTTAGGGTTTCCTTACTCGCCTGTATTATGTATGTTGGGATCTATCATGTATTTTGTTTGTGCCGGCATACTTATTAATTTGACAAAGAACTCAAAAGGACAGTATAACTATGAGATGATGGTTATTGATACGTCAACGGGTGGTAGTACGTATATTGCAAAGACATGAATTGTTATGGTTTTTTTTAACTTTTGTAGTTTCTGAAGTTTTTTTTTAAACATTTCAACTCATATTATATATGAACGAGGAAATAAGTATCTACCTATACCTATTATGTTTGTGATATTGTTTATGTTAAAAGTGTGATCAACGCTCAAACAAAGGTAAAAGATATATGAAAAAAGGAAAGGAGTTAAGTAACTATTTAATACAGGGTTGATACGAAGAGGGATGTGCGCCGATTAAGAAAAAAAGGAAAACGGATAGGTTTTTCATAACAAAAATGCAAAATATGAAAATGTATGTCAGTTTTTAAATCTTAAGCCTTTCCAATGAACTTCATGACTTGTGGTTATGAAGTAGCATATTTTTAATGAGCAGCATGCTATTGTTAATCATTTTATTAATATTAAATATAATGATTTATATTATTATAAATAAACATATTATATCAAAAGAATTTTTCGTAAAACAGGACATTTCATTATGATTTAATAAAGGAATCTTCATGATATTTTAAGAAAATATTCTTATTTAGAAAGGGTTGTGAAGACCTGAAAGAACCTGCAATAAGTTACCAGATTAAATATTATTCATTCAAAATATATTTTACAGGTTGACAAAAATAAGAACATTTGTGATAGAGATTATACATGTATAACCCCAGCTTCGTCATCTGTATATACCAATAAATAAATAAGTGGTGACGCCTTGCAAGATATTGACCTCATTCAAATAGATTTTACAGGTTGACAAATATAAGAAACTTTGTGATAGAGATTATACATGTATAACACCAGCTTCGTCATCTGTATATACCAATAAATAAATAAGTGGTGACGCCTTGCAAGATATTGACCTCATTCAAATAGATTTTACAGGTTGACAAATATAAGAACATTTGTGATAGAGATTATACATGTATAACCACAGCTTCGTCATCTGTATATACCAATAAATAAATAAGTGGTGACGACTTGCAAGATATTGACCTCATTCATTGGATAATGCAGTTCACGATTTGCTACGGGAAACACTATAATTATTGTGATACAAATAAAAAACAAATGGGAAAAATTGTATTATAAAAACTCATCAAATACACCAGGCTTATATTGGTACACTAGAAGCACATTTCGTCTACATAAGACATATAAGTGGCTCTGGAATCAAAACAGTTAGAAGGTTTTATCAAATATGAAGTTGAAGAGCATCAAAATCGAAAATTCCAAAAAGTTGTGTCAAATAAGAGTAAGGCAATTTATGCGTTGGGGTAAAATAACAAAAATATAGAACTCATAAGGAAAATTCAAAACGGAAAGTCCCTTATCAAATAGCAAAATCAAAAGCTCAAACACATCAAACGAATAGAAAACAACTGTCTTATTCCTGACTTGGTACAGGCATTTCCTTATGTAGAAAATGAACCCTTAGTGTTTCGAATTATTTAACATTTCAAAAACAGTAAATTTATCGAAAATGAACATGTCAACGATATTGGGTTGGCGATACCATCGGGGATTAAACAAACGTTTATATATCATTTACACTGCAATCCTGTCAGTGGTTAATAGAATTAACATAATACTCAAAGGGGCATCAGCTACGATTTAGACAAAATGTGAATAAGTATGTTTCAAACATTTATAAAAACGGTTTTTATATAAAATTTTAAGTCAAATTGATGATCATAATTTTTTTGGATATAAGATATGTATATCTGCTGTTGTAGACATGACAAAGACTACATTTGCCATAGGATCTTCAAAATCATTTGAATCAAAGCCTAACATGATTCAAGTAGAAGCTCTATGGTACAACATCTGGAAAAATCATTGAAATCTATTCAGTGGTTTTGGTGAAATTGTCGAAACAAGATGACTTCTCTATTTCCACATATGACAAAAACATGCTATGTTACGGAAAACACCACATTATTCGGATAAAAAATAAAAACAAAAGATATACAATGTCACTTCGTAAGCAATATTCAATTGCAATGAATTTATAACGATCGGGTGTTTAGGTTGGCCATTGAATAAAACGGTTTGTAAATTTCATGGTTCAGTTCAATGTTTGAACAGTCATTATCCGTTTATAATATTCATCCGCCGTTTAAAATTTTGAACAAAGTAGAAGAGGTAGTATATGAGATGATCTACTGAGTTGAGAAGTAAGGATCTTGATGTTGCTGAAGAAAAAAAATTAGCAAACCAGAAAGACGAGGAGTAGACCGAATTCCAGACAATATCATCAAGTTTGCAGACGTTAGTTAATATAACAAAAATCAAAATCATAACAATTATAGATTTAATGACCTGTTTATCTTATTCCAGTCCTGCACTAGGTCATGTTTTTCTCTTACTGTTAATAGCGTCTTTACACTAAATCCTTTCGATGTTGCAATTGTACTGATTGATACTTTAGCCTTAGATACATGATTTTTTTATTAGTTGTTATTGGCTTTGAACTAGCTGTCAGTAACAGCTAGTACTCTCAGATCTGTACTTAGTGTATTTTTTGTTGTAGGGATGTATCAATACCCTGCCACGTCCGGTCTGTGCTTTTTACTTGTCCCAGGTTAGGGGGAGGGTTGGGCACCTGCTAACATGTTTAATACCGCCACATTCTGTTTGTGTCTGTCCCAAGTCAGAAGCCTGTAATTCAGTGGTTGTCGTATCTTGCTGTATATCATATTTGTATTGCTTTAATTGTTTTTTACATAAGTTAGGCCGTTAGTTATCTCGTTTCAAATGTTTGACATTTGTCATTTCGGGGCCTTTTATAGCTGACTATGCGGTATGGGTGTTGCTCAGTGTCGAAGGCCGTACGGTCATTTGGTCTCTGGTGGAGAGTTGTCCCATTGGCAATTATACCACATCTTCTTCTTTTTATACTAAAGTCTTTTTAAATTTTCGTCTCGCAATTTTATAGATCCTCTTTATTATTTCAAATGTATCCGTTTCATTGATTCTCTTGCCTGTTGCAAACTAAATATATATGATTTTCCTTCAAACCCTATTCCTTCTTGCTACATATATTTTGCCACTTTTATCAAATTTTCTTGTTGTCCCTATCAATACAATATTTGTTAATAAAAATACAAAATCTGTACCTTCCAGTATGAACAATCGTATCTTAAATATACAAAACGATTAGAAATTAAAGAATGTGACGCGCTGAAATACTTTGAGTTTTAAACTTTTTGCGACGTCAAAATTGCAATGCAAAAACAACTACTGTATCTAAGCAATAATCCTCCATTTAAAACATGATTATATATTATTTTTTTTGTACACAGTTGTTTGTCTGTTGGTAGTTTTTCGTTTTTTGTCATGGCATTGTCATGTCGTTTTCGACTAACGAGTTTGATTATCCTTTTCGTATATTCCGCCTCTCTATTTAGAATGATTTTTTAGATTGTTTCAATTTTTGCATTTAATACGCTAGCCTGTATAACATCCTTTGGAATTCGCCGAAACAATTTAATAATGAAAACTGTCACTGTCCTGAACTAGCTTTGTGTAGGTTATAACAAAACCAGTGTCTATGGAATGTAATTATTGCTGCCAACATTTACCATATTATGTCATGTTAGTCGAGATATTTAATGATGTTAATGTGTTTAATCTTTTATTTATGTATTAAGTAAAATATGTCAAACTTGCCGCCTTTGATTTTGTTTTCGTCAGACTGAATGGGATTTTTTACTGAATTCTCTTGTATGAAACAGAGGAATCTAATAAGTCGAACTACTGTATCACTAGCCTGTCAACACTGAGGTTTTGAGTTCGAGTCCCGCACGTGGCAGGTGCGCTCGACTCTAATCAGTTAAGACATAGAACTGCTTAAAATAAAAAAATATCGGGTTTTTTTTTATCTACACTATTTCTGGATATAAAAGTAATACATTTCCTGAATTAATGTCCCCTTGGTATCTTTCGCCTCTCGTTAACATTTTGTAGTCCGTTTTAAGTCTAAAAATTTTCTTCATATGGAGCAACATTTAATACATATAAATCTGCATTTTTGGCGACATTGTAACATGATGTGACGCAAAATTATATACTATATCAACTGGGAGATATATACTCCGTATGCAGGCGCTGCTGGAATGTTGCTACATAGAAATGGAATGTTCGCAATTGGGAAGCTGAAATAGTCTCTTTTGTCGTATTTATTTGTTTTCAACGGACCCTCATTGTCAATTTCTAGATGTAAGTCAAGATATGAGGCTGACTTAACTGTATCTTTTGTATCCTTTATCTCAAGTTCGATTGGATAGATACGTTCAACATAAGTCAACAAATTTTGAATTATTTAGTGAGAGAACATGATCTATATAGCGGAAAGAGAATTTAAAGGGTACTGTAAGTATAAGTAACATGACGTCCCAGTTAATACGATATTCCAGAGTTTGCATTTCATATCATGATCTTTGATAGAGGGTTGTTTCTTACAAGGAAGCTTTTGAACCAAGAGTTCCAAGTGGTGAAGTTTACCATGGCTTCCGGGGAGAAAGTGGTATTTAAATATAAAGATCTGGTATGATTGCCAATGAGGCAACACTCCACAAGAGACCAAATGAAACAGAAATTATAAACTACTAGAACACACCTGTAAAATCGGGGGCATTTAGAGGCTGGTTGAAATTATGTAAACTGTAGTAGGATGTATTTTTGTAAAAGATTTTATGACTGGAGAATTTCAGGAAAGGTATCAAAAGTCATAGATACTTGGGGACAGGACAATTTGTTTTAGCCCTCCCCCTTTTTTCCAAAGTCCGCTATTATTTGTTTCACACAGATACATTTGCTCTTTCTGGTAGCTCTTCATTGTCACTGACAATGTATTAGCCTCCTAAGAAGAAATAACACGTACAAATGGATATCTCTTATTACAGGGCAGTCTAAATAATTGTGTTGAAATGCTATTTAATCTTTTTGCTGTGACGTTTTCCGGCAACGTAGGAAGGCGTCAGAGCAGAAGAATTATATAGCTTTTTTTAAGACGCCATAATCATTTGGATACTCTCTATATAATATATCAGTGACCGCCGTGGATAGTAAACTTGGAATTGATGGTAAATAGCAAATACACTTTATTTATAGTATATGTATGATCATAGTATACAGAAAAACGAGAAAACTAATTGTCCTGTCCCCAAATATGTGTAATTTTAGGTTAAAAGAGTCCTAAACGGAAGTCTTGTCTATGACTTAAAAGTCCGCCCGAAGACAGAAATAATATCCGGACGCCTTTATTTTCGTTTTCCTCCCAAAATAACCTAAACTGAACAATCATAAGCGAGGATGACAAATGCGACTATGCATGGTATCTATAGGACACAGAGGTATGATGATTAATTTATTGTGGAAGGAAGAGAAGCGACACCCAAAATGAGGTCTTCTCATTTAATAGTATAGATAGGCCTTCAACAATGAGCAAACCCCATACCACAAACTCAGCTATAAAAGGAACCAAAAAACTTAAGGTCTAATTTATGTACAAAAATAATGAACGAAAAACAAATATGTAACACAGCAACAAACGACAACCACTGAATTGCAGGCTCCTGACTTGGGACAGGCACATACAGAATGTGGCGGGTGTCAAATTAGTTTGAAGGCGCCAACCCTCCACCTAACCTGGAACAGTGGTGTAACAGTACAACATAAGAACAAACTATAAAAATCAGTTGAAAAGGGCTTAACTCATCAGATGGATACAAATAAAAATACATCTAACAAAGACACAGAGTGGACGTGGACGGGTACTTGTACATCCAAACAACAAAAAGTGAAAAGACGTCATAAACAGTCAGAGAAAAACATGACCTTGTGCAGCCAAGATAAAGGTATCGACAGATTGTAGAGCCATGATTGTGCATATGCATATGTATATATAAATAATATTTAGTTTGAATTTAATTTACTCATAACAAAATCAATATTAATACCAATAAAAATAATATTCAAAGATCTAATTGCAGTGTTGAATTGGTAACCTTTAAGAATAAGTTTATTTAAAGTATTTATTTGTTATACCCCACTGTAAATAGTAAGGTGGAACTTGTTAAACATAACTGACTCACATTTTTGCTTCCGCTTGAACCTAATCTTTATGAGTTTTTCATACCATATCAAAGACTACACACTACACGTATGCTTCAATTTACGCGCATTTTGGCTTTAGGGAAAAGAAGCTAGTATTATCATTTAACTTCACGTTCAGCTACATTGATGATTGATTGATTGTTGGTTGCCTATCGTCCTCTTTATAGATTAAGTCCTCTCACTGAATAGTTCAACGGTCGGTGACTATGTTGAACGCACCTATCTCCTCGAACTTGAAATAAAGGATATACTATTTAATACAAGTAAGTCTGCTTCATATCTTGGCTTACATCAATAAATTGGAAATAAGGGTCGGTTGAGAAAAAAACTTTGCATCAAAGAGATTATTTCAGCTTCCAAATTTGTAAACTTTCCATTTCTCCTGTGCTACCTTCCAGCAAAGAATGCATCTGGAGCATATATCACCCAGTTGGTATGATATTACAGAGCATGCGTTTCCTATCATGATTTCCTTGATACAGGGTTGCTGCTGACATGGAAGCTTCGAAAGTTTTACAGATGCTATCACGAGTTAGTTGAAAATTATGGAATATTTGTTTCACAGATGACGACGGATATGTTCCTATTGTTGTAACCACAATCCAGTTCATTTTTCCGCGAAGAGATTTTTCACCGGATTTTTACTTACATGAACAACACAACGTGTGACATATGTGGAGCAGGATCTGCTTATCTGTGATCGTCTACGGTTTTTGATGGGGTTCGTGTTGCTCAGTCTTTATTTTTTTTCTATGTTGTACTCTGTAGACTGTGTCTTCTTGTCGTTTTTTCCCGTAGTGTTGTGATTTTGTCTTCGACTTATTAGTTTGAACATCCCTTTGGTATCTTCCGCCCCTCTTTCAGCTTTCAAGTATTAAGTCAGTGATAATAAAGGAAAATTTAACCATGCAAATCTATTGATGAGATTTAAAGGAATTACAGATAAAATCGTTTGCGGAATTGTTTAAGGTCCCTTTTGGTCGTAAAGCTCCTTACGTGTTTCTGTATTAATACGATAATAGCTTTCAAAATTTGGCTTTGAGCGATTCTGATGAAGGAAGATCCAGAAATGCGCTTCGAACGCATTCTTTAAAGTGTTATTTTTATTTTTTAGCCTTTTGTCAAAAAACTTTAACTTTGTAGTTTTCTCGATGAAGACGGTGTTGAAATTGGGTGACAAGATACTTCATGAACTAAATAGCAGTACTGCACTCTTGTTGCAACTGAACACGATAAAGAACACGTCTGACTACAAACCTCAAAACATAACTTTATATCTCATTGGAAGATTTATTATAGGTTAATACTTATTTTCATCCAATTTATAGTCTTGATTCAGCCGATCATACAAAACAAAATATTACGAATTTTGACATATAAGTAACACATAATAAGTCAGCTGTAAGAGAATAAACGCAGTTTTATGACAAAGTGTCAAGTAGTTATAGCAATTGAACATAACAGCAAACATGTCAGTAATCGAATCGTATCGGAAATTGTCACTCAAATCGAAAGGAACTTTAGATACGTTCGAATATTATTTAAGCCTTAGATTTATCGGAAAAAGTAAGAAGATACCAAAGCGACGGGCAACAAAAATCACAAGTCAAAAAAATCAATACATTGATTGATTGATTGATTTGTGTTTAAAGCCACTTTCAACACTATTGTGATATTTCGTGGCGGTCAGTTTTTATTGATGGAGGAAGCCGGAGTGCCCGGAGAAAACCACCGACCTTCGGTAGGAAAACTCACAATCCTAGTCAATTAAGATTGGAGTCGAGTGCACCTGCCCAGTGCGGGATTCGAACTCACAACCTCAGTGCTGACTGGCTAGTGATACAGTAGTTGGACTATTTAGACCATTCGGCCACCGAGGTCCCCGAATTCAATACATGCTAATGACCAAACGTTAGAAGATTAGTTACTACAATCCCACAAAACTCTACATTAGACCATGCGGAGCAGCACGAATACTCATGTTTCTTCGTTTTCTGCATCCTTCAGATATTATTTTCAGTTTGTTTTTGTCATTTTTTCTTTTCTTTTTTAATTTACATGGGTAAAGTAATAAGTCAAATGAATCCAAGTCTATACTTACTGGCAGAATTAACTGATTATCTTCAGGAGATAAACTCGTTCTGGGTTTTTTTCTGTATCGGTGAACTGCTTTTTCATTGATGATTACTTGTTATTCATAATGTAATTAAAGTATTTATTGCAGAATGAGACGAGTAAACTTGATAATAATTTGGTTTTAGATAAATAGGTTTGTGCGTTTGTCGAAGCCACAACCCCTGCCCTCCTTTTTCACAATGCATGTCAAACATATCGTAAAAAAAAAAGAATGCGAAAATACGAAAAAGAGAATTTATTTCCACGAAATGAATTTAAGATGGTTGATGTGTACCAGTTCCCATGTTATAACAGGAGACCTTAACATCGTTCATGACCGAGAGTTGAAATCATTCCTCAGTAAAGGACCTAAATAACGTCCCCCGTCAATTATTAATTGGAATGAGTGTCGTAACATCATCCACGACTCACTCCGTACTTACTGCTCGAAATGGATAAAACGAGAAAAAGCTGACAAAAAAATCCTTAGATTCTTTTTTTAATTCACATAGTTGATATTTGTATTAAACATTTTAAAGAACATTTTACTCCTGACAGCAACCATAATAGCCCTATTTCTCGTATCAAACATAAGCTAAAAAATACTCGCCAAGGAATTTGTTTTTGTCCCGGCTGATAAGGCTGCTAATAATATAATTGCTTGACGTAAATTTTACATTGAGGTTCTGCAAAAGGAAATCATGAATTCACCAACAATCCAACTAACTCCATTTTCGGAAAATGACATCTGTAACAAACAAAAACTTTTAGCTACCTCTTTACAAGCAGAACCAAATACAATGAAAGTTCCAACTATGTACTGGCTTCCGAAGCTGCACAAAACACCTTACAAATATAGATTTATTGCGTCTTCAAGCCATTGTTCCACTACTAAACTGTCTATTCTACTTACTAGTACGCTTGGTACAATCAAAAACCTGGTAATAAATTGTTCAAATGAGGCCTTTGAAAATAGTGGAATTAATTACTTTTGGAGTGTCAAAAATTCGTTGGCAGTACTTGATAAATTGCATGCTTACATTGGTGATTTCGAATCTGTTCAAAGTTTTGATTTTTCTTCCCTATATACCACTTTGCCTCATAATCTTATTAAGACAAAATTCACACACCTAATTAAATGGGCATTTAATAAGTCGGAATGCAAATATATATATATATATGTTCAAACTCTTATGTCATTTTTTAGAAACAACAAACAAAAGAACTATGTCAATTGGACCTGCTTTGATACGATAACTGCCCTTGAATTTTTACTAGATAACATTTTTGCTCACTATGGAGATTCCGTGTATCGTCAAGTTATCGGAATTCCAATGGGGACTAACTGTGCACCACTTATTGCTGACCTGTTTCTGTATTGTTATGAGTTACAATTTATGACTAAAATCCCCATCGAAACAATATCTGATACAAAATTTAATAGCACTTTTAGATATTTGGATGATATATTGGCTCCCAATAATGACGACTTCAGTATGTACACTAAAGAGATTTATCCTGCTGAACTGACTTTAAATAATGCTAATACTAACAATGAACACTGCCCTTTCCTGGATCTTGATATCTATATCTTTAAGGGGAATCTTAAAACCAAACTTTATGATAAAAGAGATGATTGTTCATTTCCTATTGTTAATTATCCATTTTTAGATGGTGACGTTCCCTTGTCACCATCTTATGGTGTTTATATATCTCAACTTGTTCGATTCGCTCGTGTATGTAACAACGTATTTGATTTTAACGAAAGAAAGCTCTGTATTACTGAAAAATTATTACACCAGGGTTTTTGATATCACAAACTAGTCAAAACAATTACTAAATTTTATCATCGGTACAAGGACATCATTCGTAACTATAAATCAACATGCAGACATCTTATAAGTTCAGGTATTTCACATCCAATTTTTTATGGTAATATTCTATACAAAACACAAAAATGTCGGCACTCACCCCAAAAGCTAACCAAACCTTTAAACAGACTTATTCAGAAGGGATATAGTTACGATACTGTTGCCAGGTCATTAAAGATGGCATATTTTGGAATTAATATTGATTCACTCATAGGGTCTTTGCATCGGAAATAAACACATTTATTCCAAAACCAGTTGTTGGCATGATACGGGTTATGTTCTTCTCATATATTTTATGATGGTATGATACTAAACCCCTAACGGGAAGGATTGTGCTTGATTTTCATATGATGAGGACATTTTACCTGTAGTAAGTGTATTATTCAAGAATTGAATGCTTCTTTTTGTAAATTTATTGGGGTGTAAAAGCGTTGACCGAAGTACATTTTGTATTCCGCGCTTCATTCTAAAAATGTGCGCACGGTCAACGCTTTTATACCCTATAAAATTACTAAAAGAAGCATTCTATACTTATAATTACATTTTTTTGCTAGGATAATGAAAACACGATTTCTAGCAAGTTTTTCTTTTATTTACCTGTGCATATTGTGGAAGCTCGTGTCATCATGAATATTACATTTCATTTTGAAATGAAGGTTAATTTCAGAATGACGCGAGATTGCTGTTAGCTAATCAAAATAACGTATTATAATGAAACATACATGTAATGTAATTATATGTAAATAATTTTGTCTTAGAGTGCTTTTGTGAGGAAGACGAATCCGACTTTTAAAATGATCAAAATTGAATTTTATAGTATAAATTCATAGACGATAAACACATCGAGTGACATTTGCAGTCATTTAACACACGTATGCTTTTTAATTTACATCAGACCCGGATACTGATTATTGATGCATTTAACGTCTTCAGTGGGTAAGATACACTTTAAAAACAGCACCAATTTATACAGGTAAAGGCGTAAACATTTCTTTAATATTTCAAATGTCAACAAGACTGTAAAATTATTACTTATGTATATTCAATTGTCCAGACTGTTTCGGGTACTTTTTTTTTATATTTTATTCATATTTTTTGTTTCATGACCCGAGGTTGAAAAGGTGCTTAAATGCAGGTCTGCGTTTATACAAATACAAACATTTATTTCACTTCGAGCTGTTTGTTTCCATGCTTAAATTCAAACTACGTATTTTATAAGAAATATCAATTGAGTACATCAAATAATGACTGAAAACACTTCAAAGCATTAACCTGGTATTGTGATATATCAACAGTGTTGCTGACATCGTTAATGGGGTGGGGTTTGCGGATGCCGATTAGCTAAAATTTTGTAAAGTAGAAAACGCGCGAACTGGAAATATATTGTGAAAATGGGGGAAAGGGATTCTTGATATATTCCTTTTATGTCATCCTTGTCCCTTAGATGTTGCACTTTTGTAAATATAGACAATGCAATTTCCGATAGGAACTTCCTTTGAGGCTAAAGCTGTGCCACTTTTACTATGAAGTTTCTTAAAAAATTATATCCTAGAACTGAAAGTTCATATGCACTACTTTTTTATTCAAAGGTAAAAACATAGGACTGTGCGGCATATTTTCAACATTTATATTCCCCGAACTTCTAAGAGTTTAAACTTATACTAAAATTCTGTACTATCCCTACCTCCACTTCGGGTGTCCCTCAGAATTCAATTATCGCCGCTACCATCTGTTTTTATACTAGTAACATTCCCAAGTTATTTCTCTATGAGATGAAACATAGAGATCATATCTGGGAACCAGTACGTAAACAAAATTAAATGTCTATGAATATTATATATCTCCCCAATAGAGGCGTGGCTTGTGAAACAGCTGTATTTACAAAGTGCAACATACCCAAACATTTATTCAAATAGAAAAATCTTGAAAAACACTTTTTCTCACAACAATACTTATTTATCAGAATTATAGCCTTAAAGAAATCACTGCGTATTCTCTAACTTTTCTTTAACAGTACATTTTATACCCCCATCCCTGTTTAAATTTTTTAAAGAATTTGAAAACAAGACTTTGATTATTGTCAGCCTACCCTATGTGCATGTTTGCTGACATGACATGACTAGAACCTGTTTGAAATTATTCTGATAACAAATTGAAAGCATTTCAGAATAATATAAATGTAAAGTTTAGTAGTTCATCTTTCCAACATTAAAGATTATATAAAGTATCCAATCATGCCTCTGTGTCCAGTCTACATCTTACTGTATGCCTATTTGTCAATAAAAGTTCACAATTTCTGCCTCAGATGGTCTGTTTAGAAATCTTGTCACAACAATGTCATCTCTAACCATATATCTAACATAATTTAGCTAATATATGAACTAGAATTGTTTAAACAAAGCCATATTTGCAAAAGTTGTATGTATGAAGTTGCCAGTCTAATGTATGAATTCACTAAAAGATTGATAGAACTGACTGCTAACATCTGCTTTTTGCATAACTTCCAAGCACAGTTATTTTTTTCTATACAAAAAACCTTTAAAATAATAAAATCATAGCAATTACAGGTTAAATTATCTGTTTTATGACCCAGGGGTAGGCATTTTTTTCTGTTTTTTTTTGCCACTGGGGCCTCAAATTTGCTAAATTATTCTGCTGTTGCTGTGAATATGGAATATTTAGTACATATTTAGGATAGAACACACTATTGTTAGTTTTATTGAGATATTTTTGTATTTCTAGCTTGTATTTTTTGTCACAAAAAAGCAAATTCAGGTGTTACGGCTTACTTTTGGGTTATCGACAGGACAAAAACACACCAACAACAATATTCATCAAGGATCTATGAGTGTCAATGACTGCGAAGAGTAAATATAAGCATTGATAAACAATTTAAATTACAAATATGCATATATTATGAATTTATTTTGCATTCAGGGCTTTTAGTACACTATGCATACTGTAAACTGTGAATTTATGCTGAGTCATCATAATTGAGGCCCAGGATTTTGTCAATCTTCATGAAATATTTATAAAACTTTATAATTGAGTTAATTTCATTGAAATCTCTGAGATAAACCAGATTTGGTGAAATTCTATATGTTCTCTTTTTTCACCCTATATAGGTTGCACTTCTGGAAATATAGACAATGCAATTTCCCATAGGAACTCCCTTTGAGGCTAAAGCTGTGCCACTTTTACTATGAAGTTTCGTAAAAAATTATATCCTAGAACGGAAAGTTCATATGCACTACTTTTTTATTCAAAGGTCAAAACATAGGGCTGTGCGGCATATTTTCAACATTTATATTCCCCGAACTTCTAAGAGTTTAAACTTATACTAAAATTCTGTACTATCCCTACCTCCACTTTGGGTGTCCCTCAGAATTCAATTATTGCCGCTACCATCTGTTTTCATACTGGTAACATTCCCAAGTTATTTCTCTATGAGATGAAACATAGAGATCATATCTGGGAACCAGTACGTAAACAAAATTAAATGTCTATGAATATTATATATCTCCCCAAAAGAGGCGTGGCTTGTGAAACAGCTGTATTTGCAAAGTGCAACCTAGAGAAGTCAAGCAAATAAATGAATATTCATGACAAAAGATCAAGACCTTCATCATAATTACTACGAAATAAAATCTGAAAAAGACATTCAAAATTAAACGTGCCTGATTATCCGGGTTAAATCACATTACAGTCACTATCCGTTACTTGATATGAAATAATTATGATGATGCCAGCTTCAACTTGGAACATTCAGCCTACTACTACTAACAAAAACAGTTGAAAGGAGGCACAGTGTGTTTTTTTTTTTAACCTTTTAATAATTTAAGTTATTTCAAGTAACCAAACATATACGTTAAGTGAAGGGTATGTAGTTAACAAGTTTCTGCTCCACTAATGACAGCCTAATAATAATACAGTTATACGTCATCAACGAGGAAAGCACTACAAAGAATGGGACACATATATATGTCGTAAGTGCCAAACAGGTCATGTTTGCATCAATAACACCTTCAATAGAGAAGCGGGAGATACCACAAGTAATATATACAGCATCTGAAATTTAACTCAACAATGTTAGATCTGCAAATTTGCGTTCGCTTATTTGTCCTCTTCACTCGAAGGGGTTCTTACACAATAGTGCTGAAAGTGGCGTTAAATACCAATCAACCAATCAGTCAATCGACGGAATTCCAACCCCTGATATCGAGGCACAACAACATGCACTGCACTGTACCTAGCATCCTTGACCACTTGGTCAACTAGGAATATAAAATAAAGCTTTCGGTAGTCGAATAATGCCTTTTCTCTTCGGCCTTATCTAATTGTACACAGTACATTATGTTTTATGCAAACTGTAGATATATATATCACTCCTTGCTATGCGAGTTCTGCTGAAATGGTGCTAAATGAGAACAGAAAGAATGCTAAAAGTAATACTGAAATCGTCTTTTTTGTTGCCGTCTTGAGTTTTGAACACGTCCTCAATTCCGATTTTTAGGTAAAGGCTAAATTATTAAGCAGACCTAGCTGTAGCAGCATTTCGTTTCCTATTTTCACGTTTAACTAGTATAAAAATAAGGAGATGTGTTATGATTGTCAATGAGACAATTATCCACCAAAATTCAATTGAAGTGGATGTGAGCAATTATAGGCAACCGTACGGCCCTCAACAATGAGAAAAAAACATACCGTATAGTCAGCTATAAAAGGCCCCGACTATCAAAGGAAACTTTTTGGAAAATTAATGGTCAAAGAATATATTCATCAAAATGATGATAAAATGCATTTTTACCTATGTGTGCAATGTTGACAGGGTATTTCAAATCTGCTGCTTTCCAAATCTATCAATCTTTCGTTCATGTCTCTCAATTTTATATAGACTTATAAAAAATGTATCTTTTTCGAATAGATAGATCAATAGTCTACATAAAAAAAAGTTTAAAAGAGTACGAAGTCATCGAGGTGGCCAATGTTAAAGTTGTGTTAGTTAAGCTTTGCATAGTAGGTTTGATTGGCAATGTTCAAGTCTATAACAGTACATGGAATGGACAAGTTATAATAAATCTGTATACATTGAATATCTTTTTAGTTCTGTTATCCTTCCAAGGCACCTGATTTCACCCCCGATTAATAGTGGGGTTTGTGTAGTTCAATCTTTACTTGTCTGTGTATTGATTTGTTTTTGTTTGTCTTTTCATCCTTTTTTTTTTCTTTTTTGCCATGATGGTGTTGTTTTTTTTGTTGGACCTATGATTGTTGATTTTCCCCTAAGTATCTTCTCTTTTTTTCTGAAATGAAAGAACAGCTACATTTGTACATATCTTCTACACACCTATAATATATTTACGACTATTTAGTTGAGTTACTCAAATTACCATTCTTTAAATATCTCAAAAAGTTATCTTATTTTAGCTCACCTGGCCCGAAGGGCCAAGTGAGCTTTTCTCATCACTTGGCGTCCGTCGTCCGTCGTCCGTCGTCGTCCGTCGTCCGTCGTCGTCCGGCGTCGTCCGTCGTCGGCGTTAACTTTTTACATTTTGAACTTCTTCTAGAGAACCACTGAATGGAATGAAACCAAACATGGCATGAATGTTCCTTATGAGGTGCTGACCAAGTGTTGTTACTTTGTAGCCGATCCATCATCCAAGATGGCCGCCAGCGGGGGACTTAGTTTAACATAGGACCCTATGGGAAATGCATACAAATGACTTCTTTTAGAGAACCACTGAATGGAATGAAACCAAACATGGCATGAATGTTCCTTATGAGGTGCTCACCAAGTGTTGTTACTTTGTAGATGATCCATCATCCAAGATGGCCGCCATCAGGGAACTTAGTTTAACATAGGACCCTATGGGAAATACATACAAATGTCTTCTTTTAGAGAACCACTGAATGGAATGAAACCAATCATGGCATGGATGTTCCTTATGAGGTGCTGACCAAGTGTTGTTACTTTGTAGCCGATCCATCATCCAAGATGGCCGCCAGCGGGGGACTTAGTTTAACATAGGACCCTATGGGAAATACATAAAAATGTCTTCTTTTAGAGAACCACTGAATGGAATGGAACCAAACATGGCATGAATGTTCCTTATGAGATGCTGACCAAGTGTTGTTACTTTGCAGTCGGTCCATCATCCAAGATGGCCGCCAGCGGGGGACTTAGTTTAACATAGGACCCTATGGGAAATACATACAAATGTCTTCTTTTAGAGTACCACTGAATGGAATGAAACCAATCATGGCATGAATGTTCCTTATGAGGTGCTGACCAAGTGTTGTTACTTTGTAGCCGATCCATCATCCAAGATGGCTGCCAGCGGAGGACTTAGTTTAACATAGGACCCTATGGGAAATACATACAAATGTCTTCTTTTAGAGAACCACTGAATGGAATGAAACCAAACATGGCATTAATGTTCCTTATGAGGTGCTGACCAAGTGTTGTTACTTTGCAGTCGGTCCATCATCCAAGATGGCCGACAGCAGGGGACTTAGTTTAACAAAGGACCTATGGGAAATACATAGAAATGTCTTCTTTTAGTGAACCACTGAATGGAATGAAACCAAACATGGCATGAATGTTCCTTATGAGGTGCTGACCAAGTGTTGTTACTTTGTAGCCGATCCATCATCCAAGATGGCCGCCAGCGGGGGACTTAGTTTAACATAGGACCCTATGGGAAATACATAAAAATGTCTTCTTTTAGAGAACTACTAAATGGAATGGAACCAAACATGGCATGAATGTTCCTTATGAGATGCTGACCAAGTGTTGTTACTTTGCAGTCGGTCCATCATCCAAGATGGCCGCCAGCGGGGGACTTAGTTTAACATAGGACCCTATGGGAAATACATACAAATGTCTTCTTTTAGAGTACCACTGAATGGAATGAACTCAATCATGGCATGAATGTTCCTTATGAGGTGCTGACCAACTGTTGTTACTTTGTAGCCGATCCATCATCCAAGATGGCTGCCAGCGGAGGACTTAGTTTAACATAGGACCCTATGGGAAATACATACAAATGTCTTCTTTTAGAGAACCACTGAATGGAATGAAACCAAACATGGCATGAATGTTCCTTATGAGGTGCTGACCAAGTGTTGTTACTTTGCAGTCGATCCATCATCCAAGATGACCGACAGCAGGGGACTTAGTTTAACAAAGGACCTATGGGAAATACATAGAAATGTCTTCTTTTAGTGAACCACTGAATGGAATGAAACCAAACATGGCATGAATCTTCCTTATGAGATGCTGACCAAGTGTTGTTACTTTGTAGCCGATCCATCATCCAAGATGGCCGCCAGCGGGGGACTTAGTTTTACATAGGACCCTTTGGGAAATACATAAAAATGTCTTCTTTTAGAGAACCAATAAATGGAATGGAACCAAACATGGCATGAATGTTCCTTATGAGATGTTGACCAAGTGTTGTTACTTTGCAGCCGATCCATCATCCAAGATGGCCGACAGCGGGGGACTTAGTTTAACATAGGACCCTATGGGAAATACATACAATTGTCTTCTTTTAGAGAACCACTGAATGGAATTGAACCAAACATGGCATGAATGTTCCTTATGAGTTGCTGACCAAGTATTGTTACTTTGCAGTCGATCCATCATCCAAGATGGCCGCTCGGGGGGGGGGGGGGGGGGGGGCTTAGTTTAACATAGGACCCTATGGGAAATACATACAAATGTCTTCTTTTAGAGTACCACTGAATGGAATGAAACCAAACATGGCATGAATGTTCCCCATGAAGTGCTGACCAAGTGTTGCTACTTTGTTGCCGATTTACTGTTCAAGATGGCCACCAGGATATTTTATTAAATAACGGGACCAATATTAATCAAAAAATTTTTAATTTGGTCTCAATCATTATTTGGGTATCTGTTATGATTTTTATCTATCTTTACATGATTTCTAAAACCAAAGTAGAGTCAGGTGAGCGACACAGGCTCTTGAGAGCCTCTAGTTCTTATAGCTGTTAATTATGCATACGACGCTCCATTGTAGCATCCATACAAAACGATAGATTAAACACAGTGATCAAATAAATAAACAAATGTTTTGATAAATGGATATACACATTTAATTATTTAGCTTGAAACGTTTTTTTTTTTTTCCGTTGAAATTGTGTTTTTGTTGTTGTTTTCTTATTTATCATTATTAAACTCATCAGTACTTTCATTCTATAACAATACCTATATACATATCTATATTGTTTAACACATTCTTAATTATTATGACCTATGTGGAAATTGTTATTCAAAAGCCTTCAACTCTAATTAGATATTGGAGCATTTTTCTCTTTCGTGCTAACTTTAAGGCACCATTATGTTCAAGTGTCATCTTAAATATCCAGCTTTTTTAAGACCCTTTTTTGTATCAGACAATAGTACAAGTGGCGGAGGACATTTTAGCGGAAAAAATCGGGTGTTTTAGCGCAAAAATATAACCCATTTCAGCGCCAGATTTTTAATCTATTTTAGCGAAAAAGTGAAATTACCAATGCCCATTTTAACGACAGAAATTTAATCGTAGGTGATTTATAAATGTATATAGTATCAAAAACAGCACAACATAAAAATATTGTGCCCATTAAAAGACAGCACTAAATGTCTAAAAAGTTAATTGAAATGATAAAAATCCGTTATAGTCTGGAATCTATATCCCAATGAACGTAGGTAATGGGTTCTTGATATATCCCCTTTACAATACTGTTCATAAAATGGCGAACTGTTCCTTCTGTTTATTTTGTCTAGAATAAGGTTGAGATTTATCGATACTTCTGTTTGATATGCATATGACTATGTTGTTTGTAATCTGATAGTAGTATCCAGGAAAAACATTGCACTTTTATCTTCTGCTTTTTCAACAACATTTATTTCCATGTTTAACAAAATTGTAAATGCAGACAACTTAAACATTTAGCTAGCAAACATTACTGCTCACGGTTTTATGGTAAGTATTATTCAACCAGATAATGTTTCGCTCAAGTGGGATATCGAAAATACAAGTGAACGGATTAATACAGTGCAAAAATTGGCTATAATGTCCCCTAAAAGTTTCAAAATTTTCGCCAAAATGTACTGCGCCTAGTTCGAGATTAGCTGCATATATAAACCATTTAATATTGTTCATGATCCAAATTGATATTGTCATGTTTCTGTTTGAATAATTAAGGTAAATCGTTTTTAAAAAATGTGAAAACCCCAATACATCGTTTACAAAAAGTTTGATTACCTTAATATTAAGTCTGTGAAGATCTCTAAAAAAATGTATTTTGAACTCCCTGATATTTGATTGCTAGAAATGTGTTTGAATAACATAAAAACATATACTGAAATAAACATAAAGTATCACAGTTATTGAAAGCTAAATCACTGCATAAAATGGCAGCAGCATGAGCATTTCTCAAACCAATTTGTATTTCAACATGAGTCACTATTCTTTGCATAAATTGTAGTAACGTAAAAAGAACAAAAAAATTCTCCAGTGGTAAGAAACTAAATTTAAATAATGTTTCTTCGTTTCAAATATACGTTTTCACTCTTTAGTTTTTGCTACAAATGATTAAATAGGATGCTTCGTGAGTGGGTATTCGGATGCCATAGGCAAATATAATATTATCTTTATTGTACGTTTTCTATATTTAATAGTTCTACAACATTGATTCGTAAAAAATGAAGATATTAAAACAGATTATGATAGGGACTTGTAGTGCTATTTTTCTGATGGTCATTATTGGATTTGTAACACCAGGATGGCTGATCCTTTACGTTGATGTGCCTAAAAATGCAGGAGCGGGTAATGAAGAGCCAACCTGTCTGGATTCAGAACCAGTATAAGGTATTATACATTGTTTGAATACAGAACCAATATAAGGTATGGTACATTGTTTGGGTACAGAACCAATATATATGAAGTGTTTGTATACAGGACTAATATAAGGTATGATACATTGTTTGGAAACAGAACCAATATCAGGTATGATACATTGTTTGAATACAGAACCAATATAAGGTATGATACATTGTTTGGGTAAAGAACCTTATATATGAAGTGTTTGGATACAGAACCAATATCAGGTATGATACATTTTTGGATACAGAACCAATATAAGGTATGGAACATTGTTTGGACACCTAATAAAGACAACAGTAGTATACCGGTGTTCAAAAGTCATAAATCGATTGAGAGGAAACAAACCCGGGTTACAAACTAAAACCGAGGGAAACACATCAACTATAAGAAGAAAACAAAGGAACAACAGGAACACTGAAGTGCAACAAAAACAAACGCCAACATACATAGAAATAAACTATTTGATAACAACTGCCATACTCCTGACTTGGTACAGGACATTTTAAGAAAAAATAGTGGGTTGAACCTGGTTTAATGGCTAGCCAAACCTCCCGCTTTATGACAATGTTAAAAAATATCGCTAAAATGACAACACTACGTGACAGAAATATAGCAAAACAACATAATATAATAGTCGACACAACATGCAAACCGCAGAACAACAACGAACATATTCCATTAACGACAGACACCACAGGAAATCACAAACAGTGATGCGCTTAAGTAACTAACATGCAATCTCGAACTTTATACAATTATTTTCACAATCCTCGTCCAAGCAATTCTCATGACAATGATGTTATGGAAAGGCAAATTTATAATTATTTGGAATACAAACGATAAGACATAACAGATTATCCAACCGAAACCATAACAGAAACATCAAAAATAAATACATGAATGTTGGATGTACAAAATACTGAGACACGTCGTATAGCAATGCAAATTCACACTCGGTATAACAGTCATATTCGGGAACAGGGCACGTTCGGTAATTAGCAGACAGACGACATAGATGTTAGACCACATTCTAAGACGTGGTAAAAATGTCATTTGTTAGTTTAGACAGAGACACATCGTATAGATCAACCAATTCGTGATGGTGTCCATAAAATTTACGGAGTGTCTAACCAATATAATCTATGATACATTGGTTGGAAACAGAACAAATATTAGGTATGGTACATTGTTTGGATACAGAACCAATATAATGTTTGATACATTTTTTGGATACAGAACCAATATAAGGTATGATATATTGTTTGGATACAGAACCAATATAAGGTATGATATATTGTTTGGATACAGAACCAAAAGGTATGATATATTGTTTGACAATGGTCAGGCTTATGTGCTCCAAAAGAATGGTATTGATAAAAATGAAAAATTCCGATTTCGGACACAGAATAAAAAGTTTGTAAACTTTGTCAAATTTGGATAGTAACATTTAGAAGAGAAAGAGTGGGTAATAAGAAAATCATATATCGAAGGACAGACATCGTCATGGGTGAAAGAAAAAAGACCAAAAGACCAACACCAATAAATATTTAATAAATGGTGATGTCGTGTAAACGATTTTGAAACAATAAAACATCAGTAAACACAACGAAATCTGCGAGTGAACTCTGCTGCTCCTGAAGAGTAACTTCCAATTACATTTCATAACTGAAAATAGGTAAATACACTTTTACATTATTCAGGAAAGATTAGCCCTTATGAAAAAGGATCCAAACATACCTGATATACAAGCGTAACATTTGGACCATTTTATATGCGATACTGCATGACGATGAAGATTAGAACGATTTCAACTGATATATGTGTTTTGTTGTCATCAGGCAATGCCATAGATTTGGTGGAAACTACAATGCGAAATAATTCAGGTAGTTTTCAATTATCAATATAAAACATTTGAGAAATTGTAACACTTTTAACTTAGATATGTAAAAGTTATCCTCCAAATCCCAGGTGTTTATTATCCAGTGTTTGAAGTCCTTTTTTTTTTTGCTTAGGTTTAGGTTTATTGCTCTTCAACTGTTGATGTTTTCTGAATTCCTATATTTGGTTTTGAGCACCACTAATGACAAATGAGAAATTTACAAATTGAAACATATGGTACAGCGAAATAATTACAATACGTGTATGTTTTATAAGGATCCGTACTTTTGATTGCCTGAAGGCAATGGTGAGGCATTCCAAAATCAAATTGTATTTCTCAATTTAATCTGACATTACTCGTAATTTCATAGTTGTAGCATATACATGTCATTGTAAGAATTGAATGCTTCTTTTTGTAATTATATAGGGTTGCAAAAGCGTGCACATTTTTAATATGACGCGCTTCTGCGCCTCATATAAAATGTGCTTCAGTCGACGCTGCTTGTACATCCTAATAAAATTACAAAATTTTTTGATAGCAGGTGCTTTTCTTCCCACATTCTATTATTCTAATATTCATTCTGATGAAAATGGAAAACTTGTTATATTCTCACGATTGATGAGAAATAATTTTCGAAATGTGAATATATAATGGATTAAGTAAGATTCAGTATCATTTCATTTTTTAGGACATGTGCCACTAAATAATTTGTTTTCGATTACCGTTATAGTTCTTGGCCTTTTGTGAAAACTTCTAATTTCACCGCAACTCAACATCACTTCTGAGGGCCTGCCTTATCATCAGAATCAGTCTTGTTAATAAATTGTATGATGTAATTTTCTTGATCGAAGCTGCGACTAATGGAACGGCCAACCATTTCATGACGTGAAACATAAATTCCAAAATAATTTAATATTTTAGCTCCCTGACCCAAAGCGTCCACCAGTCGTCGCAACTATAGGTCACCGTACGGCCTTCAACAATGACCAAACCCATACCGCATAGTAAACTATAAAAGGCTCCGAAATGACAAAATGTTAAACAATTCAAACGTTAAAGCTTGCTTTATGTATAAAACAATAAACGAAAAACAAATTAATGTATGATAGACAGCTACCAACCACAACCACTGAATAACAGGTTCCTGACTTGGGACATACACATACAGAATATGGTGAGGCTAATCTTAAAAAAAAGGAAATACTATACATGATAAAAAAGTTTGCGAGCGCTCAAATCCATCAAATGACTCCTTATTGAAGGAATTGCTTAAATAACGGTTTTCCCCGAGTTTTCGTATTTTGTGAAATACATTCATGTCAATCAACCAACATGGCTATCATGCCTGAATATAGAATGAAGCGTTGATATGCAAATAACTTGTAAACTACATCCATAAATATTGACCGACGATTTCTTATCGGAGTTCTTCCTCTTTGATAATGATTTTTCTCAACTTTTATCATTTCTTTGGTATCATTTCGAATCAATATTGGAAAATAACTGTAAAGAGCAAATATCTTTGAATTATTCAGTGAATGGATTTCATCTATTTAGCTGAATGTGAGGACGAAGACAGTTCTTTCTATTCTTCAAAAGAACACCTGCACGAAACCTGTTAAAAACGAATAATTGATCAAGTTGGTAAGACGTGCACAGTTGGTTCCCCGAAGAAATCTCGAATATTTCGTTAAAAAAAGTCCACCAAGCCAAAAAATATGTTACCAAATAAATGTTGTAAAGTTGTAACAAGAGTTCTTTGTCAATGATTTTGGAGGAAAAGACACAAGTCCAGACCACTTAAGATCAGATTGATGACTATACATATCAATATACAAAATCCTCATTTTCAGATTTTTTATTTAAAGAAAGAAATCTATGATTATGGTTAATAATCGTTTTTACTACTGTTTCAGAGCACTCCTTCTTAGAATCATATTGTTGTTTGCTAAGTTAGATGTGTTTTTTTTTTCTCCCTTCAACGAGATATATCCCAACTTTTCTGCAGCGTTCTAATATTCTAATTATATTTCACGGGTAGAGGGATCTTGAGGGATCATGGAAGTACTGAAAAATATCCTTGTAAACTTTTCACGATCAATTTTACTAGCAACACTAATATTATAGCTAGTTGCACAGTAACCATGAAGCCCTGTTTCAATTGCACATAGAATACATTTTTGTATTTTAGTTTCGTAGCGTTATGACAGATATAGAAATATAATGATGTTCTTAAGGATGCTTATGTAATTGTAGTATCCAGAAGTTTCAATGAATTTTATTTTTTCTACTAAGACTGAAATTCTAACGGAACAAGAAACTTGCTTAATGTTTAAAATTCGTCCTTGTAAATTTCAACAGTATATAAATTTCCTAAATGTTAAAATTCGTCCTTGTAAATTTCAACAGGATATATGTTGAGTTGTCAAGTGAAGTGTCAATACCAAATTCTTATTTAGCAGTCCATAAAATGTGATTTACATAGATAAACTTTATCATTTGGAATCATGTCTACAGGGAGAAAAACATTCGAGACTTTGGAGTAAAAATGGTGACTATCAAAATTTGGAATGCTATTGATTAATTATTGACAGATTTAGAAATATAATGTTGTTCTTAAGGATGCTTATGTAACTGTGGTATCCAGAAGATTCAATGAATATTATTTTTTCTACTAAGACTGAAATTCAAACGGAACAAGAAACTTGCTTAATGTTTAAATTTCGTCCTTGTAAATTTCAACAGTATATAAATTTCCTAAATGTTAAAATTCGTCCTTGTAAATTTCAACAGGATATATGTTGAGTTGTCAAGTGAAGTGTCAATACCAAATTCTTTATTTAGCAGTCCATAAAATGTGATTTACATAGATAAACTTTATCATTAGGAGTCATGTCTACAGGGAGAAAAACATTCGAGACTTTGGGGTAAAAATGGTGACTAACAAACTTTGGAATGCTATGTCAAGTTATTGTTTTTCTTTGGTTTTAATGGTTTATTTAAGAAATTGTTAACGGTATTGATATCAAATTTTGTCGACCTGACTTACAGCACATTTATTCTCTGAGCGATAAGGAAGATGAGGTTATTAACCTTTTGTTCATCTTTGACCGCAGTATGTTGAATTCTTATAATGTCTATTCGTGGTTGATATGTGTTTTGGAGAGGTTGTGGCATTGTGATGTTGAGACCACATCTTCTTTATTCCCTCTCAAGAACACAAGTCAGCCCTAAACAAACAAGTTTACACAAACAACCTCAAATGTTTTAACTAAACCCTTAAACGCATTGCATATAGGTTGATTTTGAAGCAATGTATGAAGTTTGCAGTCATTTTAAACTTTTCAAACAGTTGTCAGACCTTTAATACTGAATGATTTGTATTATATTTTAACTCACCCAGCTATGCAAATGGTGGAGGAACAGCACAAAAATGGAATCAATATATCGATAAAATCAAGTAAGTTTTTATTTTACGATTGCATCATTTTGGGTGTTAAACTGAAATACACCCATATAAGTTCATTACATAATTTTTCCATAGCATAATTTGAAGCAAGTTTTTAATATTGGTCAGTTTGGTATTGTATGAGCTATGGATTGCCTTACAGTTTTAACTCTTATTGTTGGAGAGGTATGGGTAAAAATTTACACAATCAATGCATATCAAATAAAACAAAACTAAAAGCAATAAACTTCAATTACCTCAGTGTTTTACCGGAAAAATTACCAAAAGTTACTTAGTTTAATTTCCATATGGGATGAGAGCGAAGCTTGAACCCCATATGAAATTTACTGACCCCATATATATCGTATTAGGTCACTAGCACACTGTGTTACGAATTTATCTTACCGATTATCTTAACATGTGGCATTTAGAATAGTGGCCTATCAAAGTGATGAAGTCTTCAATATAAAGAACCTTCTTCCGTTGGTCTATATAAAAACAAATGCCAACAATAAAGATTTCTTAGCTTTTAATGTGTTTTCTGCATTTATTTCAATCGTTCATCATCAATTTCTTCCTCTGTTGTCCGGATGAAACGTTTCAGATTTTTTCTCAACGTCATGTTGGTTTTTTTTTTAACGGGACGTAACACTTCATCTAACGATGAATTAAAATAAACCACGCCTATTAACCCCATATGAAAATATACACGGTCTCCACGCGGGTGCTTTTAACCAATGATGTTCCTAGAAATGTATAGGAGGTAATATAATATGAAATATTCTCGTTATATAAAGGTGAGATTTAGAATTTACAATAAAGGATGTATGCTACCATCATCGACATGATATATCAACATATTTTATTAGTTCATAAAAGAGAGGCAAAAGACACCAAAGGGGCATTCAAACCCATAAGTAGAAAATAAGCTGACAACGCCATGGCTAACAGAGAAAAAGACAAACAGACAAACAACAGTACACAAAACACAACATAGAATACTAAAGACTGAGCAACACGAACCCCATCAAAAGCTGGAGTGATCTCAGGTGCTCCGGAAGGATAAGCATATCCTGCTCCACATGTTGCACCCGTTGTGTTGATCATGTTAGTACAAACCCAGTGATAAGTCTAATTCGGTAGGTCACATTCGGGTTAAAGGGGGACGGGATTGTAGTTACGACGATTGGAACATATCCGTCGTCATCTGTGAAACAGATATCAATGACGGTCGACCAACTCGTGATGGCGTCAGTAAAATTTACGAAGCAATGATTTCAACTTCAACACTTGGTACTCTTGGTTTAATAAGCGTCCATGTGAGCAGCAACCCGTTATCAAGGAAATCATGATAGGAAAAACAAGCCCTGGAATATCGTATCAACTGGGAGATATATACTCCAAGAGTTCCAAGTGGTGAAGTTCATTCCTTCGAAAATTTTACGGACGTCATCACGAGTTGGTGGAATGTTATGGAATATCTGTTTCACAGATGACGTCGGGTATGTTCCAATTGCCCGTCCTCTTTTACTCAAACGTGACCTATGAATTAAACTTTTCACCAGGTTTATACTTCAATGAGCAACACGACAGGTGCAAGATTTTGATCAGGATCTGCTCATCCTAACGGAGCACCTTAGATCACCCCTAGTTTTGCTTAAAAGAGGTTCGTGTTGCTTTTGCTTCAGTTTTTAGTGTTGTACCTTGTGCATTTTTTTTTTATTTATACCGGTACATTCTTGTCTATTCTTTGTCATGAAATTGTATGGCCCCGTCAACTTAGGTCGGGGCCATATAGTGTTACCCTTATCCGTCATTCCGTCATTCCGCAACGAACAGTTATATTAAATAGCTCTTCAACTGTATTTGGCACAACTTTTTAGAACTTTTGGTCCTCAATGCTCTTCAGCTTTGTACTTGTTTTGGCTTTCGTACTTTTTTTATCTGAGCGTCACTGGTTAGTCTTGTGTGGACGAAACGCGCGTTTTGCGTATTAAATTTCAAACCTGGTACATTTTGTTAGCTATTATTCGTATGTTTCTCTGTCCTATATGTTCTCCCATTTATTAGTATTGTAGTCCTGTCATGTAATGTTGTCATTTTAATGTTATATTTAACATTGCCATAAAAGCGGGAGGTTTGGCAAGCCACAAAACCTGGTTCAACCCACCATTTGTTTCTTAAAATGTCCTGTACCAAGTCAGGAAAATGGCCATTGTTATATTACAGTTCGTTTCTGATTGTGTTACATTTTAATGTTGTGTTTCTGTTGTGTCGTAGTTCTCCTCTTATATTTGATGTATTTCCCTCAGTTTTAGTTTGTAACCCGGATTTGTTTTTTTCTCAATCGATTTATGAATTTCGAACAGCGGTATACTACTGTTGCCTTTATTTCGGTTTTATACATCCTTGGCTTTCAAATATTCGACTTTGAGCGTTCCTGATGAAGGTAAATCCAGAAAAGCGCTTCTGACGCATTACATTTATAACGTGTTGTTTTCATTTTTTATACGGATTTTTTTTCTAAACGCCTTCACATATCGAGCTAATTTTTAGTATGTGAGACTCCTATGATAAGTAAAAGATCGAGTTTACGTTAGTTCCGCGCCGCTGATTTTTTGAAGAAATAACAGGCGTTGGACTTTGAAAATTTCGTGAAAATAACAGTTATACGGACTTTTTTTCTAAACGCCTTTACATATTGAGCTGATTTTTAGTATGTGAGTCTACTATGATAAGTTACAGACCTAGTTTACGTTTAGTTCCGCTCCGTTGACTTTCATCGAAATTACAGGCTTTGGACATTGAAAATTTCGTGCAAATAACAGTTATACGGACTTTTTTCTAAACGCCCTCACATATTGAGCTGATTTTTAATATGTGAGTCTACTATGATAAGTTACAGACCGAGTTTACGTTTAGTTCTGCTCCGTTGATTTTTGTCGAAATTACAGGCTTTGGACTTTGAAAATTTCGTGAAAATAAAAGTTATTTACCGGATTTGTAATAACATAAGCAACACGACGGGTGCCACATGTGGAGCAGGATCTGCTTACCCTTCCGGAGCACCTGAGATCACCCCCAGTTTTTGGTGGGGTTCGTGTTGCTTAGTCTTTAGTTTTCTATGTTATGTCATCTGTACTATTATTTGTCTGTTTGTCTTTTTATTTTTGGCCATGGCGTTGTCAGTTTGTTTTCGATCTATGAGTTTGACTGTCCCCCTGGTATCGTTCGTCCCTCTTTTATACGGACTTCACATATTGAGCTGATTTTTAGTATGTGGGTCTACTGTGATGAGCTTACGCTTGGTTGTGCTCCGCTGATTTTTGTCGACATTTCGGGCTTAGGACTTAGGAAAATTTCCACTCCTAAAAAATGGCTTCATTCAGGGGCCATTCGTGTCGTTCCGACACATATATTTTTTTTTTTAATTTCAAAATTTTCTATTCAGGGTTAGAAAATTTACATCACCGTTTAGGAATTTGGTGATGATAGTTATATAAGAGTCAATTACCAATCCTCTATTGAGTGATGCCTAATCACTTGATATAAAATATCAACACATTTTATATAAGTAACACGACGATCTGCTTACCCTTCCGGAGCACCTGAGATCAACCCCGATTTTTGGTGGGGTTTGTGTGGCTCATTCTTTAGTTTTCTATGATGTGTTTTGTGTACTATTGTTTGTTTTATTTGGTTTCGACTTATGAGTTTGAATATCTCTTTGGTTTCTTTCGATTCTCTTTTACTTGTTTTGTTCCCATCAGTATCTAGATAAGGTATATCTGAAACACAACATAATTATACATATAATGTAGCTTAACCTCCAATTGAATATTGTTTTTGGTTAAAATGCCCTACTCGTTTTTTCTTCAATGATAAAATTTGCAAATCTCTTAAAACTGCAGTTCTGAAACATCAAAAGGCATTAATAATTTGGTAACCTGTTCGGATATATGCTGAAATATTGTTTAAAAAACATTAAGGGACACACATGTAGCTGTAATACTGTGAATTTTATTGAAGGTAGCACCGTTATGAAATCCATTTTGGTGAAATTGGCCTTACCTCATTGAAATGAATCTTTTTGAGAACTGAAAATAAATAATGATATTGTAACTACATGTTTATACGTTGTTTCTGCTTCTGTTTTTCAGTGATTAATATTTGTATAGCCATAATTGTTGTTTGCTCACTAACTTTGATACAGTCGTTTGTCTCCTTGGGTTTAACCTTAGTGTACAGCTGTAAACGTTATCCACGAAAAAGACTTGGAGTTGTTGGTAGTATCTCCTTAATTCTTTCAGGTAAGCGAGATGGTTTTCACAATAACTTAAGTTGTAAACATTTTACTCAACAAAAAACAAAATCACCGATTTTGAGTACTTTGATTATGCACGTTTCACAAATAAATTAGAAGGGGTCCAAAACAGGTTTTTTCTACTTTTAATTTGTAAGACTTTCATTTATTTTATGACCAGATTTAGTTGTAGTTTTCTTTGTATTCAATATATGAATTACTATCAAACTTATCAATAGTTCCCGGGGTTAAATGAAACCAGTAAACTTTATTCCATTATTAGTTCTTTTTCGCTTTAATCCCTTTCCTAAGTGGGTTTTCCTTTGTGTCTGCAATTTACAATCATTTTGTAGAGTAATGTGATATGCAATTTGTTTGTTGTATGTACTTCAAAACTTTTTTAAAAACAATTTACTTTTGTACTCTATATGGTTTTTGGTAAAACTAAAATCCGTAGCCATATTTATCTTATTTAATATCGTCTCGCGCATGTGTAACTAAATATCGGCGTCAATAAAAATCTGACAAAAAACATCATTAAATCCAGATAACAACGCTTTACATCGTATCTAAATGAAACAAAATAGGACCAAAAACCAACCAGTAACTAAAAACAAATCACACGACAACGTTTCAATCAAAATGAAATTGGTCTCATCCTAAAAAATAAAATCTATTCTATAAAAAAAAAAGCAATTAAAATTCTTTAATATTAGCAATCAGTAAATGAAATTAATCACTTTTTTTTGGCAAATATTGTAGCGCGTTATTAGTTTACTTAGGTACGTAGGTAAATGGTATTTTGCAAATACTGCTTAACATAGCTTAAACCTCTGTGAACCATTTATGTGCATATAAAAAAATATATCAAAACCTATAATATAACTTTGAGAAATTTCAGTCATTACCAAAACTGGAAAATAAGATAAACAATTTTTACAATAAACAACAATAAAGAGCAGGAAAAATATGTAAAAATGTATTATAAAATAGCAGCTGCAACTTATGTATGAAACTTTTTATGGAGATAATTGAATAAGAAAGAAATGCATGATATTCAATTTAGAACAATAACAGTTAACTCCCTTTGCATTTCAGTTTTTGTCATTATTTCAAAGGGTTGTCGTTATTATGTGATAGATACAACTTCTTTATAGTATCCTATTTTATTAAAATCTAGATTGCTGTTTAATATCAAATCAATATCATTATCACATGTGCGTAGTCATCATCTTAATAACCCAATAGGCCAATTCTAATTCTAATAAGACGGTACAAACTAGTATCTGGTATTGAAAAATACTTAGAATTTCATCGTAATGTATCTATGTTAACTTAATTGCGTAACGGCACACTAAAACTATATATTGAAGTTGGTCGTTATCAAAATACACAAAGAGGAAATATAATTTGTATTTGTTGCAATATGAATGTTTTAGAGAACGAATATCATTGTGTTTTATCTTGTGCGAATAGACTGTTTACCTAATTATTACTATTCATAGCCAAATCGGTACAAGTTAGATGATTTATTACAAGCTCATTGTAAATCTCTGAAGTAAAACTATGCAATTATTTAAAAGCAGCTTGGAAAATAAGATCACACATATTGTCATAATATTATTGAATACTCTGTTACTACTGCTCTCTGTTGTCTTTTGTTTGTTTGTCATGTATTGTATATATCTTCGTTTGCCATTGCATGTATACGCTTCTTGCAAATAATTTATCATTCATTCATTCGTATTTCAGAAATATATATTTTGATTGATACGAATGTCTACGTATTGTATTGAAGGATGTAATTACTTTCAAAAACCTTAAATCATTCGCGTAATTAATTATGAATGGAAATCATCTTAAAAAATAAGAAAATAGACAATGACACTATGAACGAAGTACTATATTTTATAGTTTGGGGAAAATACCAGACCGTGAAGTGTATAGTTTAAGCTTTAAGTTAATCTTCTGTAATCAACATTAATGATGCAACTGTAAAATATGTATATATGGAAATAATTATATATTACCATAACAATGTTTTTGTATTATCATATGGACGGTATCAAAGTAATAGTAAAACAATGGCAAATCATTTGAATACTTATAACCTTCTATTGCATATTTGTGGTTTTTCTATAGTATTAATTTGTACAGCTAAATTATATTCTCATGCAAATTTCACAATAATCAAATGTATCTTCAGAAAAGTAACTTAAATGGTCAATATCATCTGTAGGATACATAGGGGTCAACATCACTGATTTGGTTTAATAAAGACAGTTGTAGAAATATGTACGGACATGTATACATTTTAACATCATTAGTTATCTTACTATAGTTTTCTTAATACTAAAAGGCAACCGAAATCAACTGAAAATATAAATTTTTAACTTTGAAGTTTATAAGAACTCCCCTTGCATCCTTGTATGCAACTGTGTCTTGTCGATATAGAATATTTATTGGACAATAAAGAAAAGGAATGCCATGTATCATTCTATTACTATGAAAATAAGTCTGAATATTCCAATAATGACCAAGGACAGGAAGCGATGACGGTCGACTATTGTAAGAAGTAAAGATTTATTTATTCTCGAATGATAATCAATACAACAGCTTACAGTTGATCTGATTGCATGAAAATTGAGCATTTTTTCATAAAACATAATTTTCTTTGATATATTGAAGTTTGTTAATATATAACTTAGTTTACAACATGGTTTTCAGATAGGTGATGTTCCTCCAACACAAATCAACATTTGTCACGTGGTAAGGCCGATATACCGAATATTACCCATCATGAGCAGCATCATGATTGTTACCGAGACAGCAAATCAACGACACGGAAAAGCTAAAAGAAATGTATTGTCGTTATGAAATTTATGCTTAAATTGCTATATTTTAATGAAATCTGTTATTTAAAATATGTGACCGTGAATACAAGCCTTAAGCTCGAGAAATATTTGAAATATTTGCTATTTAATTTCAGGGCAAGTAAAGTAAAAGCCTTGTTGATAAGGCCCGCTTCACCATCCATCAGGTTATAAACTAATGAGCAACCCTCATTGCCTCCTACTTAATTTTCAATTCACTATTCCCGCTAAATAAATTTCAGTTTAATATCTACAGAATAATATCTCAATCGGTGAAATGGTTGACAGTTACTTCCTCTCATTGTGGTGTACAATAACACCTGGTTTAAGTGCTAATCGGTGAAATGGTTGACTGTTACTTCCTCTCATTATGGTGTACAATAGCACCTGATTTAAGTACTAATCGGTGAAATGGTTGACTGTTACTTCCTCTCATTGTGGTGTACAATAGCACCTGATTTAATGCTAATCGGTAAAATGGTTGACTGTTACTTCCTCTCATTGTGGTGTACAATAACACCTGATTTAAATGCTAATCGGTAAAATGGTTGACTATTACTTCCTCTCATTGTGGTGTACAATAGCACCTGATTTAAGTGCTAATCGGTGAAATAGTTGACTGTTACTTCCTCTCATTGTGGTATACAATAGCACCTGGAAACATAACAAGTCCTTGTAAAACTTTTACTATGACTGATTCTATACAATGTTTACTAACGATATGGTTCAATTAAATGAAAAGAAACGTTATCTAGCAGGTTGGGTTTTTTGTGTGTGTTTTTTAGGGGGAAGGGGTGTCTATAAGTAAAATTAGTGGTTATGATAGACAGAAATCTCGTTTCAATGGCAAAAACTAACTACTTATCTGAATGATCCAATTTTTTTCTTATAGAAAATGAAAAAAAATCAGAAAATTAACAAATTGCTATGTTTAGATACGAAAATTTTAATGAAAAGGTACGGGACAAAAGACTTATTCCTTTCACAACAGATCTTTTCATCGACAACATTAGCTTAAAATGAGGAATTAACATAGCTTCTGTCAATTTCGTTTCCTGTATTTTACAATATGCAGCTGCTTTGCACATAATCAATACTACCATTCATTTCCACGTCGAAGCTCTGTTATAAAATTTGTGTTTTGCAACATTAAGACGTGATTTTAAAAATCTGAACACTTTTAATTTTGAACATTTGATCAGTTTTCCATGAAAGTGTTTCAGTTGAAATACGATGATATGTTCCTAGTGGCGTATCTCCATTGTAGCATTGAAAGCACGTGCTTACAAATAATTTTAGCTTTCTTTTTCAATAAGAATTTTGCTATACTAGTAATCGTTTCGAGACGGAAGGACTCCATCCATGCTTTGACTTTCTTGTTCTTTCAAGAACTTTTACATCTTACTTACTACCAACTAGTGAAGGAATAGAAGATTAATTTTCCTGTTTCCATCCGAAGCAAAAGTGTTAATGACCTGGTCATGATCAAGTTGAATTTCTGGATGGACATGCATCAATGACAGACCATTGAGTATGTCCTCTTCCGTCGTTGATCGAAGGTAGTTATTGGCGATTATTACCAATTGCTCGACCATATTGCAAATGAAATTGAAACAAGGCTTGTTGTTCCCAAAGAGAAGTTTCTCGCTCAATACTTAATCCCTTCAAAACTTGCCTCTTTCACTCAAGAAACAGAACTTCAAGCCATTCGCAGGAGATTAACCTGATTAAAATTTTACAGCATACAGGAAAAAAATGGGTAGGTGGAAATGCCAATGGCAAAATGTTGCTGATAAACCAAGTACACTGATAGACATCCTTAAGCATGCAATTCCTGAATTTACCCTAACGTTTATTGAGCTGTCAAGGTTCTAATGATTATGTCAGTAACATCTGCTACTGCAGAGTGATCTTCCAGTGCTCTAAAACGAATAAAAACCTACCTTCGATCAACGATGGTGGAGGACAGGCTCAATGGTCTGTCATTGACGCATGTCTATCCGAAATTCAACTTGATCTTGACCAGGTCATTAACAATTTTGCTTCGGATGGAAACAGGAAAATTAAACTTATATTCCTTTACTAGTAGGTAGTAATATATATGTAAAATTGCAGGAAAAGCAATACAAGTTTTAAAAGAAAAAGTCCACTACAAACATGTTCCAAATGATTCTTTAACATACAAATTGTCTAGTAATGGACTTCTGGTATTATCGATTATTTACATTGTTGAACTGTTTATTTCAGACTTATTGTTATTTGGATATACGTTTTAGTATGTTATAAATCAAATATGAGAAATTGAGTCAAATCGGTGAACATGAATTTGACAGCTAATGCCCCTTTAATGAATTGTATATTAATATACTTCTAGATAGTAATACTTACTATCTTTAGAGTTTCTAGCAGCGTTTTGACTTCTAATCCTACAAAAATTGTGCCTTATTAAGTTATACCTTATAATTGTACGTGTCTTTAATTCTATGGCAATAATCTCGTCGAAATTGAGCATAAATTATAGCCGAACACACAGGATGTCAGGTTATCTCACTTGTTTTGTCTTTTTGTTGTATATATAAGGAGTTGTGGCACGATTGTCACTGAGACAACCATCCACCAGAGACCAAAGGACAAGGATGTAAACAGCTGAAGGAAAACGTTCGGCCTTCAACAATGACCAAAATCCATGTATGTTAATCTAAAATGTAACAAATCTTACATCATAGATCAAGTATTGCATCTACTTCATTCATATAATAGTAATGGATGAAAATTAATCAAGTTCTCGATAAAATTGTTTTTGTCAAAATTATTAAATTACCTTAGTATATATTTAGCTATAATCAATCATTCAATGGCAATTTTTTACACGTTTATATCATAAAAAAGCCAGGTTAGTACTGGAATAACATCAGTGATATGGTGAACATGTGTTGTATAAATATGACCAATACCCACTCTAATCTGTTTCCCTCTTTTGTCTTAAACCATTCTGATTTGTTATTGTCAATTGTACGAATGAGGTTTTATTTAATGGAAATATTTGGCTGATTTGTAATGGCTGAACACGACTAATACATGCGTAACCAATCTCTAGCTAATGGGTTAAATTGAAGATCACATGAATACGGATTCAATGAGGTCGAATTATTCACTTGCAAGTAAATAAATCATCAGCGATGTTTCTTTGCTTATTTTGACAAAATAGAACCAAATTGGCTGCTAAAAGCGAATTATTATTTCATTATTTCACTTTTAATAATGATTGAACAAAAAAAATAGTATTCTAATCTTTTTTCATATCTCGTAGCTAATGCCCATTTAATTACATCTATCGGATGTTACAGGCGAAATTTTAACACGGAAAGGATACCATGTTGGTAGTTCCTGCTACTATTTTATACGAGTTTTACTGGAAGTTTAGTGCAAATAATTTTCATCCTTAGGAGTAAAAATTCAGAAAAACCTTTTTTAAAGTTTTTTTTTATGCCCCCGCCGTAGGCAACGGGGGCATTTATTGTTACCCTTGACCGTCCGTCCGTCCCATTTTCGTTTGTTTGAAGCTTGATTGGGGGCATTCGTGTCCTCAGAAACATTATTCTTTTATTTTTACTTTGTATGCATATCGCAAAAATTGTTTAACACGATAATTATTTTTGACAATAATGTGAATAATGCAATCGGCATATGAAACTAAAAGATCTAATTTCTTTATTATAAAGTAAACTCACTGAATTGACTCTAGTATCAAATTCTAAAGAGATTACAGACGAATTGTGTGTATTATATACTTAATGTAGTACTAAATCGAAAGACTTTCATATTTGTGGAAGTAAGCATTCAGAGATGCTACAATCAGGTTATTACCATGCAATGACATGCTAGTATACCCCTTTATAGAATGTTTGATTAGGGATCATCTATCGTATACCTTCTTCCTCTTGCCGATACCTTGATTTTTTTTCAATATGTCATGTATGTTGAATGAAATTCAAATTTTTTTCGTCTCACTTTTCGCAGAAACTTCTGAGCAAATGAATAGATATTTTGTCAGTCGCCCTATAGTAATGAGTTGTAACGTGTGTGCTGTTTTTCATCTATCAGATACCAATTTCCTGTTTCCGGTACTTTCAATAACGAGTAGGGGTAGGCTTAGCACAACAACGTATGAATACTTGTAATCAGGATATTTTTACAATTTACATGCTATACTCTAGATATTTTAATCATTTAAATGACATTTTCAACATCAGGATATTTTCATGATATTTTTACAACCGACATGTAATATTCATGATATTTTCATAGGAAAAATGCCAAAGTCCGGATAATTTTACAATTTACATTATATACTTACGATTTTTTTGTATAATTGTCATATAAAAAAGAAGATGTGGTATGATTGCCAATGAGACAACTCTCCACAAGAGACCAAATGACACAGAAATTAACAACTATAGGTCACCGTACGGCCTTCAACAATGAGCAAAGCCCATACCGCACTCCTGACTTGGGACAGGCACATACATACAGAATGTGGCGGGGTTAAACATGTTAGCGGGATCCCAACCCTCCCCCTAACCTGGGACAGTGGTGTAACAGTACAACATAAGAACGAACTATAAAAATCAGTTGAAAGAGGCTTAACTCATCAGATGGATAAAAATACAAATACTACAAATACAAGTGGACGTGACCGAGTACTTATACATCCAAACAACAAAAAGACACTAAGTACAGATCTGAGAGTACTCGCAGTTACTGACAGCTAGTTCAAAGCCACTAACAACTAAATTTTCAGGATATTTTTACTCCCTACATGCAATATTTGTGATATTTTTATAATATAAAAAGCCAAGGTGAGGATATTTTTACCATTAACATGATGTATTAGGGATAATAATTTTTTTACAATCAACATAGTATATTTAGGATATTTTTACCATTAACATGATGTATTTGGGATATATTTACTATCACCATACTATAGTCAGGATATTTTTACCATTAACATGATTTATTTGGGATATTTTTACTATCAACATACTATATTCAGCATATTTTTACGATTTACAAATCCAGAAAAGCGCTTCGGATGCATGAAATTTATAACGTGTTGTTTTTATTTTTTTACAACACTGGGTAGATACCTCTGCTGGTGGACTATCAGAACCCGAGGGTATCATTAGCTCAGTAGTCGGTACTTCGGTACCTTTCTAAAATTGTCAGTTTATAAATTTTGAAATTATGAAGAAATTAATGTTTCAACTCCCTCCGGCAAAGTTGACCTTAGATGGATTTGGCAACTTTTTTAGGTCCATTTTTTATCATGCCAACATTTTTGGGTCCATTTTTGATCATATAGCCCTTCAACTGTTTCAGTTTTTATAAATCCTTGTCTTTCAAATTTTTGGCTTTGAGCGTTTCTGATGAAGGTAAATCCAGAAAAGCGCTTCGGACGCATGAAATTTATAACGTGTTGTTTTCATTTTTTTCAGTATATTACAACTGACATGCTAATATATTCAGCATATTTTTATAATTTACATTATATATCAAGTTTAATAGTCCTAATATTCTCTAGTCCAGAGTTTTTGACATTGATTTAACTGTAAAAATTTACAGTCCGTATAATTTTTACAAGACATGAATTCTCCACGTTTATATTTCGAATACAAATGATAACCGTCTCTTTGATTGATTTTCTTTAAAGATTTATTTGTTTTAAGCTTGTTTGCGTGAAGGTAATGATTTTGGCTTTTAGAGAAGAGAAAAGCATTGCATTAGTAAACTTGTCATGTTTAATCGTTGAAATATCATCGGAAAGTTGTGTAAGTATGTAATTTGATTCGGGAAATTAGTTTTCGTGTGCACGGCAACCCAATCAATGCTTGCATGCTTATAAACCAAACATTCCGATGATTTTTCATTGCTCAATAATCGAATTAATTTCTGTTTTATACAAACTATTTCATCATAACAAATAGTAATTCCCTGTTGGTTGTTAATCAATATCATTGATTGTGTGTACAATTTACATATTACAGAAACGTTTTTATCATTGGACTGTCGTTTAGATAGTACATCTAGATAAAAAGTTTCTAGTTAAAAGTATATCAAAATGGCTGCTTGATTGAGTTTTGTGAACTGGGACGTTTCCAGTAGTTTGACTTATTGATTACAAATATTCATGATTCATGGATAGTGGAGAATATTTATACTCAGATATTTCAGTAAGTGTATCTTATTTCAGTATTATTGTATTATTAATGTAATGTTAGGGTCAGAGTTTTCATCAAACAAGATCAAAGGAATCCGATAATTACTTGACTTGTTATATGTACAATCTCGATAGTCGATTTTAAGACATATTTTGGAAGACCTAAATCATACAATAACTGCAAATATTTAAAACGGTTCGTAAGTTCTCAGTGACAGCTAATTCTAAAACAATTTTTGGTGTCGGTGTGGGATGTTAAAAGTCCTCCTTGTAATCTTTTCAGTGCTCAAATATTTTTACTTTGCACCCTTACATATTAATAAATTAACACTTGAATCTGGGATGATTTCGATTTATTGAATTGACAAACACATTTTCCCCCTTTATAACCCACCCAAAAGTGGCTGTGTGTGTGTGTGTGTGTGTGACTAACCTAACTTTCACTTAAGATGGAACTAACCGTTAGGCATGCATGGCTAACCGGAGATGTTGACTGACTACAATTAGACTTACTGATGAAGTATGATTAACTTAATAATGTAGTTTGAAAACAACGGACAGTAACTGCACCGCGGCAACTTTGCCCGAGGGGCTAAATAACCAAACGGAGATACAAAATATGCAAATTTAATACATATTTGACATGATTGCTTGTCTTGCTACACAGAAGTAATATGTCATTTTAAACTTGGATTAGCACAGTGAGAAAAATATTATTCTTATTTATATAGATAAACAGTTGACAATAACTTCTCGTCAAAATCGTTAAAAGTTCAATCCTGTAGTTATATTTTACCAAACTGTTTGAAACCCTTTCTTACAAAACGAAGTGTTCCACTAATGAAGCGGGAAATGCTTACCCTTCCGGGGCGCCTCAGTTCACCACTAGAATTTGTCCTGGTTCTTTAGTTTTCTGTGTTGTGTCCTTTTAGCAATGTCAACGCCCGTTTTGCTGTACTGGATGTATAAATACGCAGCCACGTCAGGTCAGAATAGGAACGTAAAATCTGATGCCCCGTGTAGGGAGAATGCCAGCTTTCTTTACTTAGAAGAACTCTTGAAACAAATATTGTGGTCCATAGATGACCTGTGGCGGTCAAAATTTCAAGCCCTTTATCCTTATCCATTCGCGTTACTTTGTAGAACCTACATACATGGCTTAGAACTAGCTTTCTGTAACGGTGAGTACTCTTAGATCGGCATTTTGTATTATTTGTTAGATTTTCTGTTGTACTCCGCGTCGATCTGATGAATCAAGCCTTTTCCGAGTTATTTTTTTTTATGTTTGTTCTTGCGTTTGTGCTCATACACCACTGCCCAAGGTTAGGGGATGATTGAGCGCCCACAAACATGTCTTACTCCGCCAAATTCTTTGTGTGCCTGTTCCAAGTCAGAAACTGTTGTTGGTTTCCGTCTGCCATATTTGTTTTTTTATTTATTGTTTTAGCATATAACAGACCGTCAGTTTCTCTGAATTTTTAAACGTTTTGTCATGTCGGTGCTTTTATAGCTTACTTTACTGTATGGGTTTTTTATTGTTAAAGTCCGTACAGTGACATATATATATACAGTTGTTTACATCCTCGGTTTTGTTTTGTCTATCGTGGAAAGCTAAACATGAGCATGTTAGAAAAATAACAAAATTTTATTTGTGTAAGCTATATCTTTGTTTAGCAAGACTATTTATATTTGCATCATAAAAATTATATTAAATATTTTGATATTGTTTTTTTCGGGAACATTAATATATAAAGGAGAACCATGTTAATCGTGAATCGGAAATGACTAACAAATATATATAATAATTTTTAATGTCTAACTGTATCCATATGCTGTAAAAAGATTTTTTTTTTTAAATCACAAGAACTCTTAATACATGCACATTATCGCAAATCTCGTCTTTTGCACAAGTGTTTTCGCATTATTGTTTTCCTGTAATTGGTTGTCGGTTGTATAGCTTTCTTTGTCTAGACCCTTGGTCACATACAGCTTGACTTATGGTAGGAACACTCGTCTATCGTTGTCAATCATATGTTGACCTGTAGATGTTTTTTATGTTGTTATATAGCTTTCTTGGTCACATGGAGCTGCTTGACATATGGTCTACCGCTGTATCTACCGTATGTTGACCTGTAGATGTTTTTATGTTGTTGGTTTGTTATATGACTGACGTTTACCCGACATTTTCTTTTATCAAAGATATGTGAGTTAAGTAGTTAAAGACATTTAGAATACCTTGGGTGATTGCAAAGGATACGATCAAAATAAAGCTTGTGACAGTTTTGTCATTTTACATCTTCACAAAAATTATTTGAAAGACAGCTTTATTTTTATAATTTGAAAAAAAATAATGGATCTGTTTTTCAAATACTGAACTGAAACCATTTTCATTTCTTTCTTTTTTTTAGTTTCCAGAATCTCTAATATACATTTTTGTCTTATCAACCACCATCTAATTTAATAGCGTGAAAATACTGTAATTCGATTGCAATCCATGCATGCAAATATAACCGAAACGCATCTACACACCCACAAAATCATTACTCTTCAAGTTCACAAATAAGATTGAATTTTGAAATAACGCCTTCCATGTGTTAATGCGCAGAATAATTGTATAGCATCATTTTTTTAGAAATGTTACAACATACAAAGGCGGCAAAATTTTCTTAAGGCTCTAGGTTCAACTAACTTTTCTCAAGATTTGAATTCCAAGTTGTCTTAAAGTTTTTTAAGTTTATCGTTTCTGCACAAAAATATATTTGTCTTGCTTCTCTTATAATTATTTAAAACATTTCATCTTGTTCGACATAGGAATGGGGACATTTAATCCGACGCCCCGTGTTGGAAGCGTACCAAGCTCTCTGCACACCTAAGAACCCTTAGAACAACTCCTTGAGGGATCCATAGGAGGCCTACAAGACTTTTCCGTCGTAATTTTCCTTTATCCAATTGTTTACGTATCACAGTTAATTCGTTTCTTGCGAGCATAAGAGCATTACAGTGACTTCCTTGAGAATCTGATTAATGTCTCAGAAATTACTAAGTCAATGTTATCTTCTGTCTGAAGTCTGAATGATACAACTATTATTCTGTGCATTTAGTTAGTGTCATAGTTAATATATTTTATTATAGTTAACGTTGATATACTTTATAAGTTAACGTTAATATATTCCATTAGTTAAATTACGAATTGGATAACCATTTTAAGGCATTTTTTTTACCAGATAAACCAACGCTGTATTTGATGTATTTACTGCATAACAAAACCGTGCGTCGGCTGTAGAACAGGCTAGCGTGATGTTAATAACAGCAATTTTCATGGGAATTCGTACGATCCTATATTGTTTAAACTTTAAATGTGTTTCTAGAGATCTGATAAGGTTACATTCTAGCTTCAGACTGGTGCAACCTATGGGCAAATTAAACAGCTCAAATCGGCCTAAAATCATACACTTGTCTATGTTGACTGCGATCACGACATAAAAACAAATTTCCCCTCAATGTGTTCAATACTATATATATATATGGCTATTTTTAAAATAGAGTATAATAGATTCATATGTGTACTTTATTTTTGTAACAATACAATGCCGTGTTTTTTAACATGTAACCAGATTACACTTAGGTGCTTAAAGATGGCTAAATGATATTTAAAAAAAATGGGTCAAATTTTGAGTATTGATATAAAAATGAGGAGATGTGGTATGACTGCCAATGAGACAACTATCCGACAGAGTTAAATTGAAGTGGCAGTAAGCAATTATAGGCCACCGTACATCCTTCAACAGTGAGAAAATTGCATACCGTATAGTCAACTAATCCATTGATAAGTTCTAAAATAAAACAGTTCTTTTTTTTTGTAGGACGTAAATTTATGTATAGTCATTCGAACCCAATGGTTGACTGGGTTATAGAAAAATGGCCAATCAATCAATAACTTTTGTTTTTTTAACCCAGTGAGTTGAACAAATTATTGAGAAATAAGCCATACCTCTTAAATTATTTATTTTTTAAATTTCTCTAGTTATAGATCTAAATATCTCATGCCACCTTTTTCTGTCTTTTATTTGTTCCGTGTGTCTTTCATCAGATATTACTTTTCAACTAATGTTTTGCATATAAATTATTGAAACTTATATAGCATAACAATCATTTAATATCCCATCAACACTATAAACAGGCAATTCTGAGTTAACGAAGCAAAAGATAAAGAAATGTGGCGTGATTGCCAATGAGACAACTATCCACCAGAGACCAAATGAAGATGATGTTAGCCAACTATGGGTAAGCGTAAGGCCACCAACAGTGAACAGCCCATACCGCATAGCAAGCTATAAAAGTGCCCAACATCACAAAATATGAAACAAATCAAATGAGAAAACCAACTTATTAACAATGAAACCATATTCGCCCTTTTTTGAAGGTTTGCAAGTTTATGCGTTATAAAGAACGCCATTCACATATTATTCGTTTGGATTTTGACTAAGTTTCTGTGTTGTATTTTGTGATAATTTATTTATTTATTCATTATTTTAGTCTTACTGTAAGTAGTCTCAGTTCATGTAAGAGATTTAAATGAAAAAATATACGTATCGATGTTTTGTATTTGGTTGTGTCATAGAGTTATTAGACAAGGGACCAATCCACTACTGTATGACTGGCAGCTATAGTTCGGTATATGCACATAATAATTGTCAATCAGCAACTACTCAAAATTCGATGGCATTCCAAAATTCTGTCCGTTCTATAATCTGTATTGACGTTTGTACTGTTTTTTATTTGTTTGTTTTGTATTGCTAATTTTGCCTTGTTGTTTTAAATTAAAAACGATAGAACATTGAGTTTCATATTTTTAAGTAAACTTTTAATTGATGTGTAACTATAGTTCCTTTTATGATTACCCAAATAGGGTATAGAAAATGACAAGACCACATTCGTCTGGCTGTAAGACCGGTGCAGACGAGATGTTTAAATACACAGCCACATAAATACAATGCCCCTTTAGGGAAAGTGTTCTGTTTTCTAGACGCTAAAGAATTCTTTCCACTTTGCCCAAAACAATATCGCTTTCCGATAATGCAACACCACATCTAAATCGAACCATGATTTAAGATTTACAAAGCTTAAACAATAAAAAAAAACTAAACCCAGTTTGAATTATTTTTGTCCTTGGTGCTAATAAATAACGTAATTCACGAATTCCTTACTTAACGATGTCGCCTTATTACGATGAAAATTCACCAAAAATATTGCTGGATACTATAAAAAAACATGTTATAGAGGTTTTGCTTTCATGTGAAAGAAATACAATTTGTTAGTTAAAAGATATTTGAGTGATTGAAAGACTTGATTAAAAAGCAAAAACTTAACTCTGACCGCAACTGGTCCGGCAGTAAACCAATGCTGAAGGAACGTTTGTGTTTGCTACGAGAGCATCCACGTTCGATCTGAAAGGGGACATTAAATATGATGCTTATATTGGGGCAATGTCGCTCCCCTTGCAGAGTCTACTTTTTTGACTTATCAATGTTTATTTTTTTATCGTTTTGAATTAAAGAGAAATATCTGCATGCTAAGTCGTTATTAATAATCATGTATATGTTAATTTTTGTCCGTTGCAACTTGCAGGTAGTAGGCCTAAACTAGCGATATACTAGTATTCCAGCTTCCAGTCTAGTGTACTTGGGACAGTGGTATTGACTTCAACATCGATAATGCCCTCGCCTCTGACTCTAGCATTGTCATTGGTTTTGTCAATACTTATGTCGCTTGGAAGTCAATGACCTCTTCATATTAAGGTTCCACTAAAGTCAAAATATAGGACACTTCATAAACATCTAAACTTTGCCTGTATTTTTCAACCTATAATGAGTAAAGTCCTAAACTATGAGAACATATGTTCATTTAAACATACTTAACATATACACACTGTGTAAATTGTAAATAAACTTGAAATTGTTATGTTGTGGCCAAACCGGTTCTTGGGGTGAACACTAAATTTTCGAAAAAATCTGGAGGCCTGCGAGACGACTTAATTTGTTTAAAATTGGTATGGACGAATACTGTTAGATCTACATGTAATGCAGGGCAAGCTCATGTTGATTTTTCAGAAAATGTATTGATTTTCGAGTTTCAGTTAATTTCATGTATCTAGGTGAACAAATATCGAAGGTACAATACAGAAATTGGACAAATACGCCATTAAAACATATGTATGTGACAAATCAACGTGAGCTTGCCCTGCATTACATGTAACAGTATTCGTCCATACCAATTTTAAACAAATTAAGTCGTCTCGCAGGCCTCCAGATTTTTTGGAAAATTTAGTGTTCACCCTAAGAACCGGTTTGGCCACAACATAACAATTTCAAGTTTATTTACAATTTACACAGTGTGTATATGTTAAGTATGTTTAAATGAACATATGTTCTCATAGTTTAGGACTTTACTCATTATAGGTTGAAAAATACAGGCAAAGTTTAGATGTTTATGAAGTGTCCTATATTTTGACTTTAGTGGAACCTTAAGTAACTATTATGTTAAATTTAACTTCTCGTGATATTAATAACGGTTATAAATGACGTCTCCCCAACGTATGATGACGTAATAACTTCATAGCAGCCGTGAACGGACAGGGGACATAACAAGAATCTAACTGAATGTTGGCATAATATGAGACGCGAGGGTACGAATAAATGTCAGTATGTAAAGGTAAAGTACCGTATGAGTTATAAAAGATATAACGGTAAGGCTAGTAAACAACACGTTATACATATTTTCTAAACATTATGCAATCTTTAATGTTTGAATATGTTTAATTGTATGCTAAAATATTTGGATTTGCAATTTCTTGGTGGCAGCTGGCACTGTTCTGATGAAATATTAGCCAATTTATTCACAACTTATTAATTATAGGATTAAGTTATTATTACTGGACGTAGATGGAATTGTTTACATCTTATGTTATTTTTTTATTATATATAGGTGATACTAAATAATTTAATAAATTCACAAACCCGTTGTTAAACGATGTTACCTGATGATAATGAAATATTATAAAATCAGAATATTTCTATGTCGATATATGAGGGTCAGAATGGGGTTTACAGAATAGAGAATAATGGAGAAAAATTGCAGAATAAATGGGGAAAAAAATTCAAGAAAAGAGAAAAATAGGCCAAAGAAATAATAGGAATAGAGAATAATGAGGTGTTAAAATATAAAAAATAGAGAATAATGGGCAAAATGAATAAAGAAAAGAGAAAATAATCTAAAATATTAAAGCATAAAGAAATGAAGGGCCCCATCCAGACCCTCATATATACTGCAGGGGATATATTTTCGTGTAGTTACTGCTTGTTGGTGTATAGTTATTTGCTGTGGCTAAAGGATTGACTAGAAGGTGTAATACCACCATTGATTTTCCCCTATTAGTCTTTGTTAAATTTGCACTTTTCAAAAAATTGTGCAGAATTTATCTTTGTTTCAAATAAAGAAATACTTGGCATGAGTAAAGTTTTATCCTGTCCAGTACTATATAAAAAAAATTCACATAACATTTCATTGCATATAAGAAAATAACCATCACTGGAAGTTAACCAATCAAATGTTCCCCCTTTCTTAACCTGTGTACAAGCTTTAGTAACCATGTAACCTCAAGTTTCCAAAATATTCTATAGAAACCCCAAATAAAAAAAATAATGGTGCTTTGAAATACCCAAGATATATGTTTATGACCCAGAAATGTTTTACTGCAATGAAATGTAGGATCAATTACCTACAACTGTAAAATTCAATGGAATATTTTTTTTCGACCTATTTTCGTATGCAACGATTTGGTGGTATTACACCAGAATGCGAAAACATCTCTATTTTGTTCAAAAAGAAGGGAAAACGTGACATACACTTTCAAATTTTCACTACGGTATAACGGGTTATAGAATTAAAACGATACTTCTTACTATTTTAAAAAAAATAAAATATTTGAATTTTTTCCAAAAAAAAAGTTTTTGAAACGATTTAATGAATAGAATAAAAATACACCATATCTCCGAGTGTCTATGTATAGAAAATGTGAATAATGACGACGCCGAAAACTTATAATTCCGGAGATAACCATACCACGCTCTCTTCGCGTTAAAGAACCTTTGAAGCTATCTTTTATTGGATCCGTAAGTTGCCGGTTGAAAAGTAAAATGTTTGCCTCTATCCTATCCTTATTTGCCTTTGCAGAGCCTACCATTATGATTATTTTTTTTTCGTCCTAAGAAGAGAGAAGATACTAGGGGTAATCATAGACACACAGAAAACATCAGTCCCCCAATACTACACAGAAAACTGACGATTGAGCAACATGAGCCCCAATTAAACCGAAGGTAAACTCAGATGCTCTTAAACGGTAAGCAGTACCATTCTCCAGTGGAGACAAGCTTCACTGTGAAAACGCAGTTACCGGACTCATGTGATAGAGCATTTACAAACATACATTAATAACTTATTCTTTTGATATTTTTAGTATTTGGCACTTTTTTAAGCTTACAGAAGTATTTAAATGTAGAATAAAAAAAAACATCATTGTCTATTAATGTCAAACTTCTAAAAGAAAAGCATGTAAAACAGAAGGCAAGATCAAATTGTCCCCAGAAATCCATAAACATAAAAAAAGAATGTGACATTGTCATTATTGTCTTTTTAAAGTGAGTTGACATTAAAATATTTTAGTTTGTTCAACTGAGGCTGCAATTTTGGGATTTTAGGAAGTCCTATACTTTTAAGTTAGCAGTTAATTAATATTGAGTATCTTGTTGCTAAATTTCCTACAAAATGGCGATTTAAATGGATGACTTTTAAATGTACTATTGTTTCTATTAATCTTTTTTTATAGGGCAACATCTGACGCTGAACATGTAATTTAAATGTCATGGGATATGTACCAGCATGTCAGGTAAGAATCAATGGATTAATTTCGGAGTAATTTGATTTACCTGAAACTTTATTAATTATTTACAAAAACAAAAAACCAAAAAATAAGAATCAGTGTGAAAACTTATTGATCTCTGATCACTCATCATTAAACATGTCTTTGAGGGAATTGATTGTCTGTTTAGTGAGGAATTAATTATTCTTAGGTATCAACCTTCTAATTCAACTTGGGATTTATTGCTATTACAACTCACGCAACACGGGAGTTGTCAACACAGCTATAAATAACGTTTTCCTCTTAACTTTATGTTGATTCAATGTTCAGTTAATTTCATATATGAATACATTGGATAAAATATCGATGACTATTTTATCCAAAAGTAAGATTGCAACATCCACGAGATTTTGATGTTTTGATCTGTTCTGTTAATACTCCATTTTTTGGTTTTATGCTCTCAAAAAAAAAAATATTTTTGTTTTCACTACTTTTGGTCCTTAATGTATTTGACGAAGGGTATTCTAGAAAAACGTAGCTTGCGCGCAGTAATTGGTATCATATGTGTTTTACTACCACTGGGTCAGTACCGTTGATGGTGGACCATCAGTACCTAAAAGTACCCCCCCCCCCCCCCCCCCGACAAGTAGTTAGTGCTTCAGTTCTGGCATGATACGATACATTTTGTGTGTAAAAATCCATTCTATGTATTACTAGTATGTTATTTAAGCAAAACTATGGTTGCAACTCTCTAGACAAAGTAAATATCAGACGGTATCAATCCCCAAGACAAAGTTAATCCAAGACAGTTGCAACTCCCTAGACAAAGTAATTCTCAGATAGTTGCAACTCCCTAGACATAGTAAATCTCAGACGGTTAAAACTCACTAGACAGTAAATCTAAGACGGTTGCAACTCCCAATACAAAGTAAATCTATGAGGTTGCAACTCCCTAAACATAGTAAATCTAAGACAGTTTTGGCCATTCTGCTTAGGCCCTCTTGTTTGTATGCTGTCAAAATCATATTCTTTTGAATTTTGACTTTCCAAGCTTTATATATCACTTCAATTAAGAATTGTTATTTCTTAACAAACACCCTGTTATAATTTGAAGAAGAAGAACCCGTTTCTTGATGCTGTGGACCCATGACAGTATGTGGACCCATGATATTTTGTGGACCCTTAATTGACATTATGTGGACCCATGACATTTAGTTTATTTCTGCTTTAATTGTTGTTCAAGAAAAACTTACGCATGCTTAAAGTGATAATTACGCTGTCAAAAGAAATTATGGCGCAAATTGGTCTCTTTTATCTTACTCCTTAAATGGTACACGCTATCTTTATGTAGAAATGATAAAAGTGAAGGAAATGTTTTGACATTAATGGAAAATGAAGTAGTGGTGTTTAGCATCCGATCAGCTGCTAATTATCCAGGAAGATGTTTAATGGAAATTGATGGACAAACATTTCCAAGTAAATAATCCAATGACATGGCTACTTGAATTATTTACAGAAGTAAAGAATTTAAGAAAAGTTTAAAAGTATATCAAAATAATTAACATTATATATACTATGACTGTTTAATTTTTTAACGATACTGCATTGGTTAAGTTTGTTAAGGGGACGACCATTTGAAAGGGGGGAACAGGAGGATTTTGAAAATAAATATCCTGACTTTGTAGGAGCTGAAAATAAATAACCCTGCACAAGACAAAGTGAAAATGAATATTCTGCAACACAAAATGCAGAAAACAATTGTGTACAAAAGTGAAAATAAATTCGCAGAAAAAAATAAGCATGCGTAGCACCAAACAGATGAAAATGAATAGTCAATCCTCAAAAACTCCTCTTGACCACCTAGCCCCACCCCCCTCCCCCCTAACCCCCGACTATCACATGGTCGGCCCCTAAACATGTATCCAGCTAGGTTTAAGTATCCTATTACTCTATAACTCAGGTTTTATGAATATCATTTTCGCAAATTGTGAAGGTTGCGCAAAAATAGCGAATTGAGTGAAACGTAAAAATACCTTTCTTGACATACATTGTAATCTTTGATTCAGGACACGAAGCTAACAACAGTCAGCTGAAGAATTTAGCTGAACGTCTTCTTCAACAAGACATCAAGGACCATGAAGGTGCCAGCGGTAGTTTGTATTATAAATTTTCTGGGTAAGTGTAATAAGTCCCACATTGTGTTAAAGTGCATAACTGATAAGGCATAATCAAATATAAAAATAAGGAGTAATCAATATTCTAAACTTAAAAGTATATTTTAAGACATCAATTGACCAATTATGCAATTTTTTTTTTCAAGGATCCTTATTTGAACAATTGGCCATTGACTGTCATAGTCTGGACACGATACAGACACTTTCAAATGAAAATTTAAAGTTAAAATAGCGACTCAGTGATCTAATTCAAAAGAGTAAATTGGGAAGTGATCTTTCAAATAGTTTGACTCCTTTTCCACCAAATGTTTCCTGGATGGTCCTAAATTGTAACCATACGGATTCCGAATTCTATCGTTCGAAAAAGCTAACTGTCCACACTGAATAACAGTCCATTGTTAAAGCAAATATTTGAATCGCTCTGGTAAAGAATACATTTATCGTGTGGTGAGCAATAGACGCTGAGAAGAAAAATAACACACGCTTGATTTATGAAAGTACTTTACGAGATGCGGGCAGGGACCAAAAAATGTTCGTCCTGAATATTCATCTTACTGAGACTGTCAGTTTCTAAGTATTACTAGTATATCGTATTGAAGTGATTAAATGATAAAATTCTAAAATTTATTTATAAAAGCTTAGACAAAATTGAGTTGACTCGATTGATTCCCACTTCAATTTCATAAATGCTTTGAATAATTTAGACATCTGTTTATGTTAATCATTTTTAGAATGAAGATACAGAATGCCAAGCTTCCACATGCTTCTATGGTAGCAGGAAGGCTGCAAACAAGAAATGGTGCTATTTGTATTAATGGAAACTACAGTTTATTTTATGATGGCATGTTAGTTTTATTTCTTCAATACGTGAAAAGCGAACACTTCAAGATTGAATGTATTCCTACTGTTTGATTGATTGATTGATTGGTTGGTGTTTAACGCCACTTTCGGCACGATTGCGCTATTTCATGGCACTCAGTTTTTAGTGGCGGAGGAAGACAGAGTGCCCGGATAGAACCACCGACCTTCGGTCCTACTGTTGGAATACAGGCCTATAATCGAAAGGAAAGTCACAATTCATTTTTCATTTTATGAAATTACGTAAAACTAATTACTTCCTGGAGAGACCCTGGAGAAAAAATACTCATTACTTATATTTCTAACCAACCCCACGAAAAGTTATATTTTAATCAGTTTTTTTAATTTTATTTCAATAATTGGCAAGCAAAGTGGCAACGTGTTTTAACGATGAAGTTCCTCGAAGACTTTGAGGAGTATTAAAACATATTGTTTGCAATTTTTATATACCCTTGACTACAAACTTTTTAATTAATTTTTTTTTTAGGTTAAAACGAACAGCAGATGGCGATTTTACTCTGATGATATCTGATATGGCTGTTAGTCTGGAAGATGTCAGAAGCGGACGCAATCGTAAGTGAAAAATCTTAAATATTTTAACAAAGAACACAAGATACACCAAACTAATACCTTTCATCCGTTTTTAGAAGTTTCATACGCATAAACATAAGAAATCACTATTACCTAGCGTAGTATAAAATGAGAACCAACATCACGTAACTTGATAACGTAAGTAGTGATTTGAAATAGTTACCTGACATTTGCGTAGTGCATCGTGTTGAAGAACATTTTCTTAGAAGACATTAAAAGCAGGAAATATTTTTTTATGAACTGAAATCAGCAAACACCGTGCGTAACGTCTTCAACGAACAGTCATACTAAATTAATGTAAGTGGTCGTTTTCAACCATTATGTCTGCCATGTTAAAACTTTATGTCACATCGCCAAAAAAGGTTAATTGATGCAGACTATTACGACTGAAGTCGATCGTTGTCTGCACGGCTAATATCATGGTCAATCACAAACTATAAAAAAAATTGTCATGAATTGTAAATGTCAATATCGTGCCGCTATTGTTGAATGTAGTGGTTATCGATTGTTTGTTTTGTTCCACACTACACCACTATAGAAACAGTCTAATTGTGATGTTACATTTGTTGGAAAAATTCTACGATGCATGGTTAATGAGTTAAAACAAAAACAAAAACCTCATAATGTAAACAGCTTCAGTTATAGTACCATTTTCAGTAAAAGATCCTGTAAAAGTATAAACAATTTTTCTTCCACAATTAGGGGACCATCATTTTCTGGGAGGAGGGGCAGGAGAATTTCGAAAATGAATATCCTGGCCTTGTAAGAGCTAAAAACAAATAACCTTGCATAAGACAGGAATAAACTAAATATTCTGCTACACAAAATGCAGGAATCTTTCTGCAACATAAACTGCAGGAATCAATCGTGTATAAAAGTGCAATTAAATCGCGAAAAAATAAGCATGCCCCCCCCCCCCGAATATTAAAAGGTCGTCCCCTTACTATCATTTTTCCTTGCGATGTTTGGTCGAGCAATACTTCCTCGATATGATTATTGGATTCTTCTCTTTACAACTGCCAGAATTCATATTATATTTCTCCTGCTTCTCCGACTGAAGTCTTTAAACAAAGACAGTTCATGATATACACGTATCTTACAGCCCTGTTCGTTAATATATTGACCATCGAAATCTCCGATTCATTGAGATAGCTTTGACATCTCTAAATACGGGTCAGAAATGGACCACTCTTTGCTGTAATCAATGAGTCCTTGGTTACTATTTTTGATGATATATCCAAATATACCTAACACCCGTCATATGGTGGGAGAACCTGTAGTTCAGTGGTTGTCGTTGTTTGCTCTCTGTCATATTGAATGTTGTTCAATTTGTCATGTTGGGGCCTTTTATATATAGCTCACTATATACGATATTGGTTTTGCTCATTGTTGAAGACTGTATGGTAACCTTTAGTTGCTAACATTCACGTCATTTGGTCTCTGGTGGATAGCTGTCATTTTGGCAAGCATACAACATTATCCTTATACTTATTTCCATCTTGTGTAACGGATAGAGCCGCATATGACATATGGACTGCCTTATTAAACTCCATACTATCGTATGAAAAAAAACAAGGAAGCAGAATGTTGATATACATACGAAGGCCACCGATCTGTCGTCTTAGAGGAGTTGGCATACAAAAGTCAATCATTAATCCATCTGTTATGCTGTCTTCCTCTGTGATGGGATGTTTTAAGATGGCTTTTGTGATTTGATTTTGGTTTGGTGGGTAGCAGGGAAAAGAAATTTTTCTTAGAAGTTTTATGATTCATTGTTATGGTATTTTAAATATTTTAACACAAGGGGATTATATGGATAGAAAGAAACATGGAATATACGTCAATGAGACCAAAACAAAAATAGCCAAACTCTAGAGGGCAACATTCAGTCTTCATCGAAACTCTAGAGGGCAACATTCAGTCTTCATCGAAACTCTAGAGGGCAACATTCAGTCTTCATCGAAACTCTAGAGGGCAACATTCAGTCTTCATCGAAACTCTAAAGGGCAACATTCAGTCTTCAACAATAGACTTGTGTCTATGAAATATATCAAGCTATATAAATCGACTAAAATTCATAAAAGTGGTGAATAAATTAAAAAAAAATAAATATCTGTCATTTACACATGATTTTTCAAATAATTTAAAAACAGTAAGATATGAGTTACGACAATTCGCAATTGCTGACGGGACCCCTAACTTGGGAAAGGCACATGCCAATGTGGCGGGGTTAAACTAGTTTTTATACGCCCGTTTACGGGACGTATTTTGGTATACCGTTGTCCGTCAGTCTGCCGTCCGTATGTCCGTCCGTCGTCAACTTGTGGGACGATAACTCAAAAACGCTTTAACCAATTTGCATGAAACTTTGGTGATTTGTTTATATCTATTGACGTGAGCTCCTTTTCGATTTTTATAAATTTTAGATTTTACGTTTCCGAGTTATGGGGTTTTATTCATAAAAAGGGGGGACTTTCCAGTTTTCGGACAATAACTCAAAAGTGCTTTGAGCAGTTTTCATGAAACTTTGGTGACTGTTTAATATCTATCAAAATAACCTCCCTTTAGTTTTTTTTTTATAAATTTCTGATATGACATTGAGGAGTTATGGAACTTTGTTCTTTGAAAAAGCGACGGGCGTATCATGCGCTCAATGCGCAGTTCTTTATTATTAGATCTCAACCCTCTCTCTTAATCTGGATCAATTGATTAACAAAACGTCCTTAAAAGAATATACAATAAAAACCGGTACATGAAAAGCAGTTAACAGACCGGGCAACTTACGGACCTCTACGATTTGTTTCAAGGGTTAATAACGTGTAGAGATGATTAAACGTCCCCATTCTGACCGGACGTGGCTGCGTATTTATACATCCCGCACAACAAACGTAGTCCCACCATGGCAAGGGTTTTACTGCCGGTCGGAAAAAAGACCAAAAGTGACCATATTTCTATTCCCCTGTCACCTGTGGGTCAGTGACATTTTAGATTTAAATTAACGTAATATATGTGTAACTGTAAAGTCAGGGAATCGTTACCACAAGTTTAAGTTACATTCATCTACGTCAAATATAGACTGGCTCAGTAAACTCCACATACTATCGTACGAAAATATATCTTATTTTTATATTGTTTATAGAGCCCGTTAATTTAGATACTATCCATGTATACTCATTGATCCTTTGAATAAACTTATTATAAAGATATTGCCTCCTTTATAAAACAGTCATTAGAACTGAGGGCAGAAGTCTTATAATTTTTGTCCATAATAGAATTGTTATTTCTTTGCTATATTATGTTTTATTTTGTCACAAACCAATTATGTTTATATGACAATAAAGATATTATTTATTTATATTAAATGTTATCAATTTAAAATCTTTGAATATTGTTTTATCAGTTCTAACATTGAATTTGTTTATGCTTTATTGTAGGTGGACGTGACGGAAGGGACAGTGTAGACCATGACTTATTACATAGGTTAATACGGAATGGCGTCTGTGTTTGTAAAATTGGGAAAATTAAAGCCAAGTTTCAAGGAGGATCTGCCGGGTTATGTTTATTCTTTTTTAGAATTTTAGTTAAATTCATGAGAACCAGTTTAGAAGAACAGGTATGTATTAGTATTCGATATAAAAAAAAGCATTGATGATATTTGACATTTGTTTTTTAATCATAGTATCAGACCAACATATGGTATACTTTTAGTGATTGCGTCTTTCGTCAGTTTCTAATTGTTGATATTTACATCTACTATACGAAATTGTTTCAATAGATTGAATCAAATTGGAGATACATTCATTGAACAATCGTTTCTAAAGGTTTTTTTTAAATACGATCGTTATATTCAACGACCTTTGTCATAGAACCACATGAATCCTGTCTGGCTTTTTCTTTACAGACAAACAGACTCTTCGGGAATCAATGCATTATTTAAGGTCATTGTATGTGTAATATAAAGTCGTAGCTGTTGTCATCATTTTATCATCTGTCAACCAGACTAATAGGAAGTTAGATATTGTAATATTGCCAAGGTGGAAGCTGTGGTATTTGTTACTTTTATAGATGCTTTCAGTTTGAATGCACCGAATTCGCATCGGGATTCATGCAAATGACAATTGTTGTGTTTTTGGTCGACAGTTAATTCGAGTTGGTATTGAACATTTTATTTTAATAGTATAAGATTACATCTAGATAAAGACATTACTTCTACTTACTTTTATCATGCCAAAGAAAGAATAGGAATTGATTTCAGGATAACTGCGTTCAAACAACAAATGTTTACAGCACCTTTTCTTAAAATGATATTTTCCTGATTATGATTTTTCAAACTGTGCATCGGCATGGTTGATATATAGTACAAAATAACTAAAATTAATGGAAATCTTTCCTATTATTTGCAAAAATGTAGATGATACGAATCGGCAATTAAATATCGTAAATCGAAAAGGGACTGCCATCATCATGACCATTACCAAAGACAATGCCAAACATCAGTTTATATATCACTAAACAGAAAACTAAAGCTAGCGCAATATAAATAGGATAGGAATCTCCAGCTTTATTAGTTACAACCGTAGTGCTGCAAGTGTTTTGTACAGTGTGACATTCCTATTCATAACTAGCATCAATGTTGCATCTGAAATAGTTACAATGTATATGTCACGCCGGTTTGATGAACGGTTTGATAAATCAAACTGTTCAATAAGCTTCAGAAATGTCGCTTATTGAAGCATAAAGTAACATGGTGCACAGATTGATTATAAAACGCTACAAACAGATTAAATGGAAATTGTTGGTCGATACCTAAAGATTGAAACTCAGATATTCTGCTGGATTTTCATAATTTCTAGCTCAATGATAATTGCATTAGATTATGCAAAATTTAGTATAAGATCATTTTTTTGTCATGCGAAGGTTTTTTTTCTCCCCTTTCTCTCTCAAGATAGCAACCCATCAATTTATTTGATTCGCCGTATCTTGTTAACTACTATTTATAGTCTTCATATTAAGTGTGATAGGCCTTCTTTACTGCAAGAAAAGCGAAAACTAAACAGTTATATTCAGTTGTTTAATATTTCCACTATGTTATATATTATAGTTAATGATTTATATTAATTATTAATCGCACATCCATTACGTTTACACTTATGTTTTTTTTTGTAATTTTAATCAAGGCTGCACAAGTTGTAAAGAAAATGTTAAAAGACGAAGAAGACATGGCTGTGATAGGACTTATAGGTTAGTATGACGGTGGTGTTATAGAACTTGACAATCAGTTTGACAGTGGTGTGATAGAACTTAAGTCAGTATGGCGGTGGTGTTATAGGACTGACAGTCAGTATGACCGTGGTGTTATAGGACTTCAGTATGACGGTGTGTTATAGTACTGACAGTCAGTATGACCGTGGTGTTATAGGACTTCAGTATGACGGTGTGTTACTGGACTGACAGTCAGTATGGCGGTGTGTTATTGGACTTTGCAGTCAGTATAAAGGTGGTGTGATAGAACTTAAGTCAGTATGGCGGTGGTGTTTAAGGACCTGACAGTCAGTATGACGGTGTGTTATAGAACTGACTGTCAGTATGACCGTGGTGTAATAGGAATTGACAGTCGGTATGAAGGTGGTGTTATAGGACTTGACAGTCAGTATGACGGTGGTGTTATAGGACTTGACATTCAATATGACTGTGGTGTTATCGAACTTGACAATCAGTTTGACAGTGGTGTGATAGAACTTAAGACAGTATGACCGTGGTGTTATAGGACTTGACAGTCAGTATAAAGGTGTGTTATAGAACTTCACAGTCAATATGACGTTGGTGTTATAGGACTTGGCAGTCAGTATGCCGGTGGTGTGATAGAACTTCAGTCGTGATGACGTTGGTGAAATAGAACTTGACGGTCAGTATGACGGTGGTGTTATAGGACTTAACAGTCAGTATGGCCGTGGTGTTACAGGACTTCAGTATGACGGTGTGTTATAGTACTGACAGTCAGTATGACCGTGGTGTTATAGGACTTCAGTATGACGGTGTGTTACTGGACTGACAGTCAGTATGGCGGTGTGTTATTGGACTTTGCAGTCAGTATAAAGGTGGTGTGATAGAACTTAAGTCAGTATGGCGGTGGTGTTTAAGGACCTGACAGTCAGTATGACGGTGTGTTATAGAACTGACTGTCAGTATGACCGTGGTGTAATAGGAATTGACAGTCGGTATGAAGGTGGTGTTATAGGACTTGACAGTCAGTATGACGGTGGTGTTATAGGACTTGACATTCAATATGACTGTGGTGTTATCGAACTTGACAATCAGTTTGACAGTGGTGTGATAGAACTTAAGACAGTATGACCGTGGTGTTATAGGACTTGACAGTCAGTATAAAGGTGTGTTATAGAACTTCACAGTCAATATGACGTTGGTGTTATAGGACTTGGCAGTCAGTATGCCGGTGGTGTGATAGAACTTCAGTCGTGATGACGTTGGTGAAATAGAACTTGACGGTCAGTATGACGGTGGTGTTATAGGACTTAACAGTCAGTATGGCCGTGGTGTTACAGGACTTGACTGTCAATATGACGGTGGTGTTAAAGGACTTGAAAGTCTCAGTATGAAGATGGTGTTAAAGGAATTGACATCCAGTATGAAGGTAGTGTGATAGGACTTTTAACTCAATACGGTAGAAGGTATAGATCAGTATGCATCCGTTGTGATATGACTTTACCTTTGGTGTAATAGGATTTGATAGTCAGCATGACGGTGGTGTTATAGAACTTAAGTCAGTATTACAGTGCTGTTATATCACTCGGCAGTCAGTATGACGGTGGTGTTGTAATAGGAATTGACAGTCAGTAGTACAGTGGCGTAATAGGACTTGACAATCAGTATGATGATTGCGTTATAGGACTTGACAGTCAGTATGACGGTGGTATTATAGGACTCAACGATCAGTATGACGGTGGTGTAATAGGATTTGGCCGTCCTTATGAAGATGGTGTTTTAGGATTTCACAGTCCGTATGAAGGTGGTGTTATAGGACTTCACAGTCCGTATGAAGGTGTGTTATAGGACTTGATAGTCAGTATGGCGGTGGTGTTATAGGAATTGACAGTCAGTATGAAGGTGGTGTTATAGGACACCGACAGTCAGTATGAAGGTGGTGCAATAGGACTTGACCGTTATTATGAAGGTGGTGTTATAGGATTTTACAGTCAGTATGATTGTGGTGTAATAGGGCTTGTCAGTCAGTATGACAATGATGTTAAAGGAATCGACATACAGTATGAAGGTGGTGTTATAGGACTTTACAGTCAGTATGATGGTGGTGTTATAGGACTTAACAGTCCCTATGAAGGTGATGTAATAGGACTCGACAGTCAGTATGAAGGTGGTGCAATAGGACTTGGCCGTCCTTATGAAGATGGTGTTATAGGACTTGACAGTCCGTATGAAGGTGGTGTAATTGGTCTCGACAGTCAGTATGAAGGTGGTGTTACGGGACTTTTCAGTCAGTATGATGGTGGTGAAAAAGGACTTTACAGTCAATATGATGGTGGTGTAATAGGACTTAGCAGTCAGTATGAAGGTGGTGTTATAGGACTCGAAAGTCAGTATGACGATGGTGTTAAAGGACTTTACAGTAAGTATGATGGTGAAATAGGACTTGGCAGTCAGTATGACGGTGGTGAAATAGGACTTGGAAGTCAGTATGAAGGTGGTGTAATAGGACTCGACAGTAAGTATGAAGGTTGTGTTAAAGGACTTGACAGTCAGTATGATGGTGGTGTAATAGGACTTGGCAGTCAGTAGGACAGTTGTGTTATAGGACTTGTCCATTATATGAAGGTGGCATTATTAGGACTTTATAGTCAGTATTACGGTGGTGTTATAGGACTTAGCCGTCCTTATGAAGATGGTGTTATAGGACTTAGCCGTCCTTATGAAGATGGTGTTATAGGACTTGATAGTCAGTATGACGGTGTTGTTATAGAAATTGACAGTCAGTATGAAGGTGGTGTTATAGGACTCGACAGTCGGTATGAAGGTGGTGCAATAGGACTTGGTCGTCCTTATGAAGGTGGTGTTATAGGTCTTGACAGTCTGTATGAAGGTGGTGTTATAGAACTCGACAGTCAGTATGAACTTGGTGTTATAGGACTTTACAGTCAGTATGATGGTGGTGTAATGGGGCTTGGCAGTCAGTATGACGATGATGTTATAGGACTCGACAGTCCGTATGAAGGTGATGTTATAGGACTTGATAGTCAGTATGAAGGTGGTGTAATAGGACTCGACAGTCAGTCAGTATGATGGTGGTGTAATAGGACTTGGCAGTCAGTGTGAAGGTGGTGTTATAGGACTTGACAGTCAGTATGATGGTGGTGTAATAGGACTTGGCAGTCAGTTTGGCGGTTGTGTTATAGGACTTGGCCATTATGGTATATGAAGGTGGTGTTATAGGACTTGATAGTAAGTATGACGGTAGTGTTATAGGACTTGGCTGTCCTTATGAAGGTGGTGTTATAGGACTTGATAGTAAGTATGACGGTGGTGTTATAAGTCTTGGTAGTCAGTGTGAAGGTAGTGTTCTAGGACTTGATAGTCCGTATGACGGTTGTGTAATAGGACTTGGCCGTCCTTATGAAGGTGGTGTTACAGGACTTGACAGTCCGTAAGAAGGTGGTTTTAGGGGACTTGATAGTCAGTATGATGGAGGTGTAATAGGACTTGGTCGTCCTTATGAAGATAGTTTAATAGGACTTCTTACTCAGTATGGTAGATGTTATAGGTCAGTATGAAGGTAGTGTGATGGGACGTCTAACTCAGTAGGGTTGAAGTTATAGGTCAGTATGCCAACCGGTGTGATATAACTACCTCTTTTGTGACAATGGCTGTGGCAGAACTTAATTTTCAGTATAATTATTGTGTTTTGACTGGACTTTTAAATTAGCTTTACAATGATTCAATGACATGGCTTACATGTGATATGTTAATAATGAGTTTGATATGATGGCAATGGGTGTGATATTAATACATTGGATGTGATATGATGACAGTGAGTATGATATGACAATATATGTGATATGATGACAATAGATGTGATATGATGATGATGGGTGTGATATGATGACATTATTTTTGATATGATGACTATGGATGTGATCCGATTACAATGAGTGTGATATGATGACAATAAATGTGATTTGGTGACAATGGGTGTGATTTGACTTAAACATTGCCGTGGTAATTGTTCCTCACAGGGACACTTACACATTAGTACATTTGTACATTTGTTTTACGACGGATATTATATGAAACTGTTATTATAATGACTGATATTTCAAAGAAAAGGCAAAAGATACCAAAGGGATAATCTAACTCAAAAGTCAAAACCGAACTGACAATGTTATGGCAAAAAACGAAAAACGTACACAAACCCCACAAAAAAACAAGGGTGATCTCAGGTCCTCCAGAAGGGTAAGCAGATCCTGTTCCACATGTGACACCCGTCGTATTACTCCTATAAAATATGTTGATATGTCATATCAAGTGATTAGGCATCACGTTATAGTGAATTGAATTTTTAAAATTTTAACGGATGGCCGGTAAGTATTTGGTAATTCAAAACGCTTAATCAGTATTGAGATGTCTATTTACTGTTTAATGTTCAAATTGTCTTCACTGTCTTCCCCTTTTGCACAAAATTAAAATTAAGTTACTGTAAATTCAGAAATTATTTCATGCATTTATCATTGTGATAGTGAAAGAAAGGACAAAAATGTGGAATTTAATTATTGCTATTAAAGAAAAATCTGCATACAGTTATATGTATATGATATCAGAATGCAAGTTCCGTTTATTGCTATACTCATCCAGTTGCATTAATAAAAATAAATCCCGAATTCATGTCTTAATTTATATTGATTATTATTGATGATTTTATTTATAACTATAAGCATAGGGCTTGGATACACATTATTATTTGTTCTATATAATTTCAGCACTGTTTGCATTCAGTGAAGACCAGCTTCCAGAAGGTATATTTTGTGATTAAAACAATTGAAATAAGAATATTGTAAAGCCACTGAATAGATATATAGATAAAGTCTATGTTAAAAAGAATATTAGTGGCAACTCTGAACCATAGATTGAAGACATCAGGATATAATTTAACAAGTGTGTAAATGCTTAAATATCTTCCCTACTTTGCTGATTATGATTAACTGTATGTTGAAAGTCTTTTTACATCTTACCAGGTATCAAATAAACCATGAACAATGAAAATGAGGTCAATACCAGTCGAACCCTATGGATTTGTACACCTTGCAACCAATATATATGCCAAATATTACATACTACATACTGTAAACCAACTTATTTTCGTGGATACTTTATTTCGCGTTTAGCCCTTTTTATTCCACTTCGCGGCAATTTAATTTCGCGACTTTCTAATTTACTTGATGTATTTAAATAAGGAAAGATCCAAGTTTTATATATTCGCGACGACTTATATTCGCGTTATTTTTCTATTCGCGAAACTCGCGAAAATTAGTTGGTTTACAGTATCATGAAAGCTAAGCATTGAACACTAAACCATAAAATTAGGTCAAGCTCAGGTGGATGCGGTCTAGTGGACATGAGTACCATGCAATGATTCTATATACCAAATATAGTTGTCTCTCAAAATAATGGAAAAAAATCATGCCATGAAAAAAACTAGTTTTAAGCAGTCATTCAACCATGAAATTTGATCCATGGACAACAGACATATGCCAAAATGAAACCTCAGACCATACACCACAATTGTATACCAGCTATAGATTATCGTGCTCTTCTGCCATCTGATAATTTCAGCTTTATACAAAAAGTTACTGTCAGATTTAGCATCAGTATGTTTCATATTTTGCAAATTTCAACACAGACGAGACAAAAAATCATGACTTTGAATTAAAAAATATTGTCCCAAAATATAAAATTGTAACTGCAGGAGGTTCTTTATTGCTACCAGTTTCTTAAACTCTAAAGACACCTAAATCAATCTATATGACAAAAACTGTTCCAAAGTGTAATCTTGAATGTAATCAGATACTTCCTACAAAATTAGTTTTCAAATTGATTAGATGATGTGATTATTTTGTCTGATTTATGTAATTTTTTATAACTATTTTATTCTTTTTGATTGTTTAATGACAATTACGATTTTTGAAAATCTCCAATTTTTTTATTGATTATTTGATTACCATTTGTACACAAATTACTTATTGATTATGTAATTATAGTCTTTAATTATTTTCGATTTTGTATAACCATGTATCCTCATGCTGGGAAAAGATGATGGTGAACTGCCAATCTATATAAAAGATTAATACATTTTTAATTTCTTGCTGAATAAATTGGAGTTACAAATATCAAAATTCCATTAGGCTAATATTGATCAATTGGTGATGCAGAATTTGATATAAGTATAATTTGACCAGGTAATTTCAATGTAAAAATGTTAGAGTTAAGTGAGGTTTAATTTAACTACATGTATATGAACAAAATGAGATGTGCAACTGAACAACAAAAAATTTGTATGTTAGAAAGAATAATAGATGGAGATTTATCTCTAATTATGTTTTCCCTGATATACATTTGTATATTATATTTGATATTTTCAGAACCCCCCAGAAGAGGTATACGACGGTATATAGCAAGTTGTGTTCGAGAACCAGAATAAGACATTAGCAGCATATTTATTTTTTATACAAATACATGCTTACTCCAAAGGTATATTCCAGACGTGTTGTGATCTACTTCTTAAATTATACACCTTGGTGCCATGATATAGAAACTCGTGCTATATTATGAAACAACATCATTCATCTGAACATTTTCTTTTCCTTAGAGAAAAAGAACCATGTTGTGCTTATATAGATCAGCATTTTGTCATAGAAGTAACATTTAATGTTATATTTTTGTATATATATTCTTGTGTATTACATTTTGTTTACTAATTAAAAATTCATGTTCAATGTGTATAAATATAAATATTATGTGTTCTTTGTATTAAAATACTTAAACAAAAATTTAACGATGTCTCTAGTTATATGCATTGTCTGCTGTCGTGACTTTACATATAACACCACATTTAATACATATAAATCATCATCAGATAGACAGAGACGATGTCCATTAAAGCATTTATCAGCTGGAGTTAAATATTAGTTCATGACAATATACATAATCAGAACTCAGAGAACAAAAAGACAAAACTGTTGTTTTTTTTTTTAATCAGCTTATTCCACTCCTACTTAAGTCTTCTCTCAAGATACAAAAACCAAACTAAATACGGTCAAGGGGTTTATTTTTGTTCGGGATGAATTTCATGTTTTTCTTGTCCCTGATTATAGTATTCCTAACAGATCAAATGTATGCCAGGTGTTATTTTTGCAATTTTATCTTAATAGTGAACTTAGTGAAAATAAATTCTTCATAAAAATTTCTCACATATCAGTAATAACTTGATAAGAATGTTAACATGGTTTAACCTAAGAGTAGAATTGTAATCCACATATGACACTAAGGCCATCATACACTACATATTAACTGAATTTGATAAGTTTTTAGAACTGAACTTAGGAACCCTAAATGAAGATTAATTGACTGATTGATGATGTTTAACACCACATTCAGAATGCTTGGCTTTATCATGGCAGCTAGTTTAATTTGGTGGAGGAAGCTGGAGCACCAGAGGAGAACCATCCACCTTGGCAGGAAAACTGGCAATCCTAGTCCAATAAGATCGGGAGTCAAACACACCTTGCCATGAGCAGGGTTCAAACTCACAACCTCAGTGTTGACAGGCTAGTGCTCACTGTAGATGAACTACCACATTCTATATGTGCCTGTCCCCAAGTCAGGAGTCTGTAATTCAGTGGTTGTCTTTTGTTGCTATATATCATATTTGTTTTTTGTCCATTATTTTGTACATAAGCAGGCCTTTAGTTTTCTTGTTTGAATTGTTTTACATTTGTCATTGTGGGGCTTTTCATAGCCGACTATGCGGTATGGGTTTTGCTCATTGTTGAAGGCCGTAGGGTGACCTATAATTGTTTACTTCTATGTCAATTGGTCTCTGGTGGAGAGTTGTCTCATTGGCAATTATACCACATCTTCTTATTTTTGTACTTAGACCTCTTGGGTACCGAAGACTTAATTGAATTTTAAATGGCATTGAAATAAGAGATAATATATCATATTTTTATTATATTGAGCATGGTAAAAATATAACAATCCACTGATAATATTTTATATCTTGGATATGTACAAATTTTAAGCAGTGACTGGAATTATTACTTCATTCTAAAGAAGTAATTAGCTAATAATCATTATTTCAACAATGTATAACATTGTCATAAACTTCTTTAATACAATATTACTTAAATGCATTTACTTGACCACACATAAATTAAAATAGACAGGTAGATTATTGCAAAAAAAGTGAATGTATGAGAATGCAATTATATTGTGTCTACTGTTGAATGAGATTATTAAGCTGAGTTGAAGTCTTGCTCAGGATTGTAGAAGTTACTTTTTATCTCTTTATTTTAAAAGAAAAATTAAGTTCCTGTAATCATCAAACCAGGTGTAAATTATTGAGTTATAAAAACAAATAACAAAATTGATTGTTCAACAAACAGATATTGGTAATTACTCAAATTTCAATTATAATTCTTACAAAAAAGATTTTACATACTTCAAGACTGGTTTCTTTATTGGTTATTAGAATGAAATCTTAATTTTCTAAAAATTGAGTTTAGAATTAAAGTATCTCCACTTAACACATATTTAGTGTTATTTAAAAGATAAACCAATTAATCTTACATAAACTGAAATGACATATTCTACTCAACAATGTTATAAAGAATATGTAAGGGAAATAGAGAAATTGAATAAACTAATGATATTTGGAAAATGAAAAAGTATTACACTAAATAAAACACAATATTCACATCTCAAAGAAACAATACTTTATCTGTTGTTCAATTTTCATGAAGTCTTTAATTATGAACCATTAACCATACCTTTATATACCAAAGAAACATCAAATTTCATGATGTTGGGTTTAAAATTTTATCAGTTTTATTACTAAGTAGATTTCCTTGAAACAAATTTTGTAAACCACTGTGAGAGTAGTGATAAAATATAGATGTTTTTGTCAAATGTTGATGCTATTACGTTGCAGCTTCTAGTTAAGTATCATTTTAGTCTCACTTCCAGTAAATTTGTTGGAGCTGAAACTAAGAATGGTCTTTTAAAATTAAATGAACACACAATTATTAAGCACTTATGAAATAAAATATATCTAAATCAATAAAATGTCATTTTTAAAATGACAAAAAAATATAAATGAATTAAACTGTTGTAAATAAGCACACTAAAGTTTACAATTGGAAGCACCAGCTGTATGAAACAAGCAAATATCTGTACATTATTATGACTAGAAAAATAATATATTTATATTTTTTTTTTTCGTACAAAAATCTAATTCACCATTAAAAACACTCAAAAATATAACAATCCACAAATTATAACACACAATTCAACAAACTGATCCCTCCATAAAATACTTCAAGTTTTGTTCCCATGGCTAATCACAATAAATCTAAATAAATGGTCTAATCAATGCTTTTCCAGTACAATGTTTGTACCATCTGAGCAAGTAATATATTTTACTTATTTAATGATTGACAAAACACTGAAAAAATGTTACATGGCACTGTATTATGCAAAAATCAATACACTTGATAAACTGAAATAAAATATACACCTACATTGCATTATAAACAAAAAAATATAGTAAATAACAGTAGCTAGAAACATGAAAAGGTTCCTGTCTCTTCAACTGAAGCAAGCATATGAATCAATAATACTATGACCAAATGGGAAAATGTTACTTCTTAGTACTGGTCCATCATAAACTAGTGTAATATTTAATAATATAAACTCCTGCAAACATACTGGAAAATAGTGCCCAAAGCAGATAATTGTATTTCATGAACTCCCAAGTGCAAATAATATCCTACCATGGATAAATGTCTAACGCTCTAAAGTGACAGCACAGACATAGTAAAAGTGACTGACCATCTATCCACTTAAGATCACATCTCCTGAAGTCTTTTAAGGTATAACTCTCATATAAGGTAGAATGTTTGGTCCTGCTATACTGACAATCATATTGGGTTATTATAATGATTTGGTCATTTTTGTGACTGACTGATTGATTGTTTCTTGATTAACATCCATTGGCACCCATTATTTCGGGCATATTTAGGATGAGAAACTAATAACAAGTAATACAATAGGTAGGTCCCACAAGGTGGAACAGCAAGTATGAATGTGTGGGAAATATGGACTGGCACTTGAAAACAATTGTATGTTGGATAAATGTAAGAACCAAGTATATACATGAATGAAGATTGTCCTATTCATAAATGACTATAGTATAAACAAATGTTATTAACAGCTATTGGTACAGCAGATACAACAGGATCCATGCCCATGACTAATATTAAAACAATTGTTTTGTCTATTGTGTGTAGCATGCTTTTCTGATTGCCTTTGCACTCGAGACAGTTAAATTTTAATATTTAAAGCGCGAGGCTTGCCAAGCTTTTTAAATAATTAAAATTTAACTGTTGCGAGTGGAGAAATATTGTAATACACGAGTTATAGTAGTGGAATCTGTTTCTCTAATAATTTTTATCTTTCCTTTTCAAAGATTTGCAGAAAGTTGTGTTCTTTATATGTGGCATCAGGCATGGTCGCCTTTTTTCATGACGTCACAATAGGAAATTCAGAAGAAACCAAGAAAATTTGACGCCATTATTAAATTTCGACCAATCATTTGCGGAGAACGGGTATTTCACTAGTGATGAAAAATATTTTTCTCACACCGATCAAGAAATGTAAAAATAGCACAAAAATTAGAGAAATACAGATATTACATCTGATTTTGATGGCTCTTTAGGAATATGATTAAACAACAAAATCATTGAACAGAATTCATGTATTTAACTTCCTTGTCAAAGTAACATAGACAGAAACAGAAAAAACACTACATTACACTGGACTTGTTATATGTTTTCTTCAGAACTGAAACAGCAAAAACTCAAACATGTACAAAGAAATAATTTCTTAATTCACATCTATCAATACCGGATGATTGTCGTTTGTCGGATGCTTGACAATTAATATAATTGTGTAAATGTAAACAATAAACCAAACTTTCTCTGACAGTGATTTCTGACCACTTGCTTTTTCTGACTTTTATCATTTTATGGTCTCCAATGACATATGAGCTTTGTTCACAAATAATGTTAACAAATACAAATTTATAGAAAAGTTACAGATTTTTGTAATACTAGAAAAGCTTATGATATTTTTTTTATAATTTAAGTACTTTAATGATCCCTGAACGTTATACTCTCAACACTTTAATCTCATTCTATTTCAAATCCCTATACCATTAAATGTTAAAAAATGTGTTCTATCATTCGACTCCAATTTTCCAGTCTTCATGACTAAATATTATACCAAAGTATAATGATTTGCCTGCACTTCCTCCTAGTCCTATCCCTGCTAACTGGGTGATATTCAATTCCTCATTTATCTTCCAGTCGAATGTGACGGCTTTGTCTTGTACCTCTAAACTGACCCGTATCTTTCCACTAGACAAAACCTCTGTCTCTACATTCAACTTTGAACCTTTCGTCAGATCTGGTAATTTGTTCTTCATTTCTTGCCCATTTACAAATACTGATCCTTGAAAAAGAAAAAAAATTTAAACAATGAAACATTAATCTAATTAAAAACTCTACTTGGACCCCTGTTGTAATATTTCAAATGATATTCACTACAATGTACAGCCATGGAGGCAGAAGGTTCGAAATATTGCAAAATCTATTTTACACAACATGCTACTAAACTGATGATGAATGTCCTGACAAAAATGTTGATATATCTTTAAAATTATGTTTATAGATAATTAAAAAGTATATACCACTTATGAAGATGAGATCATTTTGATATGGTTGTTAGTTATATTGATTTGTTATATACTATCAACATCTGCTAATTGATTTGCCATTTTCAACGTCAAGACTTTATTACTGAAAGCCTTTTGGCAGCTTTCACAAAGAAAGAACATCTGCATACATTTTTTTTCATTGATTAAGTTTTTACCAGGTGTATTATTTTTAATTTGTATTCCATAAATGATTATTTAATCGACCCAAAATGGCTTTTTGTTTAAAAAAAAAATTATGCTATACTGTGTGATCAAGATCATTGCAGAGAGTTTTGAGATAAAAAAAATCAAGAAGTAAAAGTTCCCTTTATAGATATATGTATCAATAGGAATAATACAATCCTAGAAACTTTTTGTAATTCTAAAGAGTCTGATGATAATTTTTCCTAAATATAAATTAAATAGTTCACAAAGTTCAAATTACTTTTTTATGTAAGAGCGATTGTGTGCATAATACAACTATCTTCTACGAGTTCTAGCATAAACATTCTGGATTAACACATACCTCTAGTTGTTAAAAACACAGCATTTTCTCTCTGTAGTGTTGATGTATCCTGATTGTCTATAGATAATCCTACTCCATCAAGTGGAGAACTCTCTCCAGCATCCAATAGCCTAAATGTAACTGAACCTCCAGCTAGGTAGCAATTACTACTGGAGTATAATACTTTTGTTTCACCTTCATTTGTCCTTGTAGCTGTCTTATTTTCATTACTAGTGTCATACTCTGGATTACAGATAGACCATTCTGAAATTCATACAGTAAATGGTAAAAGCAAATAGTCTTATTTAATGTGCATGTTCCTTTAGGAAGAAACATAAAATATGAGAAAAGTGAAGTCAGCCACCCTATGACTATTTTATAGCAATCAAACAGAAATTCATTTAGCATCAAGATATGAATTTTTAAGAAAAATCTATGGATTGATTAGTTTTGGAGATTTATGATTTCAATATAATTTTCAGGTAATTTGCCACAGATTTATGTTTATTCTATATTCTATATGAACGTAAATCTATTTTTAACAGATGTATTCAATCATATTTCAGAAAATATAAGAGATAACTGCATTTTCTAAAATTTTTAGTTCTAGATTAATATGCTGAAGTTGTATGCAAAATCTTATAAAAATCTGTGTCATGACCCATTTACTTGACCTTTAATAGGTTTCAGTTTATCATGCAAGAGAAGTATGATAATAAAATATCATTGATATACAAAACAAAAATTTTTTGTGTTTCTGTTTAGGAATAATTTGATATATCAAGAAAAACAGGAATCTTGAAGAAAACTTTTGTATGATGAAACATACCATAATGTGGTATAGTTGTCATGGCAACTCTTGGTACACTCCAGGCACTCCATTTATTGCTATTTTCACATCGACATCGGACACGGAAAGAGTATGGCATGTTTGTACGTAGATGTCTGACTGTATGAGATGTGGCTGGTCCTTTGTATGCACTGTGGAATGTTGTTGATTTACTGTCAAACTTTATATTGCCGCTGGTAAATTCTAAACAGAAATCTCCTGGTTCTACTTCCTCATCAATCTTTAAAAAATCATATTCTGTATTACTTAGTGGGAAGATAAAGAAAGGTAGAGATAATGTCTTATATTCATGTAAGAATGTAGAACATAAAATAAAAAAATGCAAAAACTGGAAGTGAATAGAAACAATAATTTTTTATGAAATCCTGACAAATACATTGTCAATCTATTATATCTGTGAATAAAAACATGTAAAAAATGGGCAAACATCTTGCACAAAATATTTATCATACGCTTCTAGAGAATTTGTTGTCTTTAATTGTATGAGGTGGCCGAGTGGTCTAAGTAGTCGAACTACTGTACCACTAGCCAGTCAACACTGAGGTTGTGAGTTTGAATCCCGCACGTGCCAGGTGCGCTCAACTTTAATCTTAATTGACTAGGATTGTCAGTTTTCCTACCGAAGGTCAGTGGTTCTCTCCGGCTTTCTCCACCAAAAAAACTGACCACCACGAAATAGCACAATAGTGTTGAAAGTGGCATTAAACACTAAAAATCAATCAATAAATTGTATGAAATAACTGCCACTGGACAAACAACAGTCAATCAATCAGTCTGCTTCTAGAGCAAAATACAATTTAAATAAATATAGTAATTTAGACATCAAACAATGGAGAAGAAAGTAAAATTCTGACATGGGTGTACATCAATGAGCTATGCATGTTTTTTTTTAGTTTTACTTATCTTTTATAAAATGTATGGTAGTCAACTGAAGTTCATACAATAACTGTTCCTGAAATTTTATGTATGTATAAGAAATAGTTTCAAAGAAATTCAATATACAATCTTTTTATTTAAAATTCAACGCCTGGCAATGACATACTTCACTCCATTTAACAGTTAGGCCACCAGGTCTCTCTATAATGTCAATTATCTGAACTGGAGCTCTTTCTAAAATTCTACCCTCCTGACCAATAAACTCTGCTAGTTTCTGGTCCAATTCAGATGATACTTCTATGGTAATGTAAGGCACATCTGGTAAACTGGGAACTTCTGGAATGCTGAAATAAATTAACAGTAAAGAAATCAGTCTTACTGACTAGATGGTATGTATGGAGTTCTTGCTTCAAAATATAAATATTACTGGTTTGATCCCAGCATGCTTATCATAAATGCCATATCAGATCATATTATATAATTATATACTGGGGATTCATTATATTTGTCAGATACCAATTTTTGTAGATTTTGTGTGTAAAGGTTAACCATGAATCTAATGTTTCAATGAAGTACATATCTTTCATTATTATCATTCATATTATATTACTGTACAGTAAAAACAGAGAAAAATAGAATTTATATATATAATAAAATATATGTTAACTATCAGAAATTTATACTGTTGATAATTGGTTTCTTAATATTCCAGTAACAAATATTTCACACATATTCAGGACAAGACAAGACAACAGTATATCAGTTTCAAGGATTTGAAAAGTTGTGGTTCTGAAAGAAGGAAAGAAAATTTTTGACTTTCACTAGAAAACAGAATATGGTTAAAAATTGGCCTTACATCATGCATTATACAGGACATCCTACAGGCCCTTCTTTCATGTTGTTGCTCAGGTTATTAAAAGTGAGCAGATTCTAACATCTCTTAAGTTTCAAGGGACATGATGTAGCTAATGTCTAATCTTTTTCTGTACTTTTTGTTTATAAGATCATTTCGGGATCCACAAGTTTTTTCATATTGATATACACCTTCAAAAATTTCATTGGTTAAAGTTATCAGAACAGAAAGAAGACGGGAACATTGTCAGATAAAGGAAATCATAGAAACAGAATCTGTATTTTAATCAGACTACTTGGCTGCAGAGTAAATAAATGCCCTGTCAGCAAGGCCCTTACTGCCAGACAGATGTACGCTAATGCAAGCAGTCATATTTCTATATCAGTGTTATTCTTGAGGATATACAAATTTAGAATTATTATAATAAATAATTATATATATTTTATGTATAAATATGTATGTACCTGCTAAGTGCTTTTATATCTGGATTGTCCTTGAATTTCACAAGACCCTCTATATTGTCAGCTGGATTGTTATTCAAAAGTGCTTTACCTACAAAACATTTGACAACCCTTATAAAATATAGATCAAAGCAATTATTGTTCTGCTGTTTTGATTGCACTTATTTGTCCTTATAATTCTAGACTAGCTATCACATTTGAATGAAAGGACAGTGTACTGGGGTAATTGAAAAGTGTGTGTGTCTTCGAAACTAGAGGCTCTAAAGCCTGAGTGCTCATCTGCATCTTCAACAACATCCACTTTTTGATTAAAATCACATAAAAGGGCAATAACTGACAATTTCAGTCATGTTAATGTATTTGTAGATCTTCTCCTGGTAATTTTTGCTTTTTTAAAGTTTCTATCTACATTTGTATCTATTGTACTGTTCAAGATTATATGCAAATACTAAAAAAAATGGTAAATATCAGCTTAAAAGGGCAATAACTCCACTAACAAGTCGACTGAAGATTAAATTCATGATGGTTTTATAGTTGATCTTGTCTTGTGGATCATTTTTGCTATATAAAGTTTCTATATATCTCTTATAATTTTCAAGATAATAAGCAAAAATACAAAAAAAATTTCTAAAAATCGTCATTAAAGAGCAATAACTCCAATAAAAAGTCCTCTGACAATTTCCGCCATTTGATTTTTCTTATAGATCTTGTCTTGCCGATCATTTTTCCTGATAAAAGCTTTTCACTATCTGTTATAATTTTCAAAATAATAGGCAAAAATGAAAAACATTGGTAAAATTTGACATTTAAGGGCAATAACTCCTATTAGAAAATGTCTGACAGTTTTCACTTAAATGGACAGCAGTAAAATCTCAACATTCTGACATTTCTGCCCCTGGTCAAATTTTCTCTATTCATTGCAGTTTGCAAGATATTAGACAAAAGTTGCATTTCACCCCTATGTTCTATTTTTAGCCATATTCGGCATGTTGGTTTGCAGACAGGGTCATCAGACACATTTTTTAAACAAGATACCCTTATAATGATTGTGGCCAAGTTTGGTAAAATTTGTCCCAGTAGTGTTAGAAGACAGGATTTTTGTAAGACATTAGACAAAAACACAAAAAAAATTGGTAAAAATCATCATTAAAGGGCAATAACTCTAACAAGGAGTCATCTGACAATTTTGTCAATGGTGACTTGTTTGTAGATCTTCGTCTTGTTGATCATTTTTGCTGTCTAGAGTTTCCCTAGATATCAAGATATATTGTACTACGGAAAATGGAAAAAAATGGACAAAAATGTTCATTAAAGGGCAATAACTCCTATAATAAGTCATCAGACAGTCTTGACTTTAATGGACAATAGGTAGAGCATAACATTCTGAATAATTCAAAATAATAGACAAAACTTGAATTTTACCCCTATGTTCTATTTTTAGCCATCTTGGTTAGTAGGTGGGGTCACTGGACACACTTTTAAACAAGATACCCCAATGATGATTGTGGCCAAGTTTGATTAAATTTGACCCAGAGGATATAATTATGTAAAAGTTAACAGACAACAACGACTGATGCCTGATGCCAAGTGATGACAAAAGCTCACTTGGCCGTTTGGGCCATGTTAGCTAAAAAGATATGTGTCACCTGATATCTAAAAATAATATTCAGAAAGTTCATGTTTTGGTTTGGGTAGCCCCAAACACCCTTATTATCAAAATTTGAACATTTAAAAATTTGAGAATAACTTTGTTTCATGAAAAATCTGTGCACGTTTGTTGAAATTCTGTCCAGTCGTATTCAAGGAATTGCGATTAACAAACTGATATAAGCAGAAATGACTATGTCCATGTTTTAGTATGGAAAACTCTTAAAATTACTAAAGTCTGTCAAAACTTCTAGTAGCAAGCCACAACTTCATGTTTTTTTATTAGAAGAATATAAGTTTAAATAAATTCTATCAAGCTGTTCAAGGACTTGTGAATAAATAAAGTTTGATGGGGACAATAACAAACAAGACAAGAGAAGTGCTCCCTATGTGTGAGGGTCTGAATAGGGTTTACAGAATAATGGAGTTATGAAATATAAAGAATAGAGAATAATGGAGTTATGAAATATAATGAATAGAGAATAATGGAGTTATGAAATATAAAGAATAGAGAATAATGGAGTTATGAAATATAAAGAATAGAGAATAATGAGCATTCAAATTAGGAATAGAGAAAAATGGCAAAAAATTATAAAGAATTCAGAAATGAAGGACCCATCCAATCCCTCAAGTGTGGCTACAGCTATACAAGCACAAGTGGCTATGAAAAATTTCGGTTTTGTTTTTAAGATTTACTTGATGTGAAAAGATGAATATTCATGAGTGTATTTAGAAGTAACTTCAAAATAATTCTGTGCACTACACACTGTGTGTCCCACATATATCATGCATATGTGATCATATGTACATCTGTATGGCTTACTACATGTATACAGTATGGGGTTTGCTCATAGTTGAAGGCTACATGTTGACCTACAGTTGCTTACATCTACTTTATTGGGTCCCTGGTGGAAAGTTGTCTCATTGGCAATCCCATATCTTCTTATTCTTATATCTGTATCTTATATTGAAATAAAAAGCAAGAAATTAACTTTTCTAATATAACATTTCGTGTCAAAAAAGGATAAGACTTTAAAAAAATAGAATATCTTGTCCAAATAATAGGTTATTATAAGATTTAAATCTTCCAATTTGAGATCTACAGTAGTCTTATAATTTGTATATTTTAACAGTCTGGTTTATTGAGTATAATTTTCCCATTTGATATTATGACCTAACAGGCAATATTTGAGTATTGTAGTATAATTATGATAAATAATATTCCTACCATCTTGCATGATTCTAGCTGCTGCTGCTAAACTCTGATTAATGACATCTTCACACTGTCGAAGTGGCTCTAATGCCTCATTAGCTATAGACTCCACTTTTGACAGTAGATGTGTAAGCCTCTTGTTGATATTTTCTATCACATTTTCTTTAACTTTGTCAAAGTAATCTGTCAGGTTTTGGCAGGATTCTTTTTTACTGTAGTGAATCTGAAATATTTTAAAGGAAATAAAAGAACATTTACATGCATAAGAATTGAATAACATCTAAACCTACACATTTGTACAAAACTATGAAATTGTTAAAAATTTGAGTACTGTATGGCCTTCTAACACAAAATCTTATCTTTAGCAGACTATCTTAAAAAGGAAGAAAACATAGTAACAGTTGTAACATATGTCAAATAATGTTTTCAGTCATACACCTCCCCCTTTTCTGACAGAAATCAAATTAGAGACTGATTGTAGGCTTTATAAAATTTTACTTTTACAAATTGTGTGTCAATTTAAAAGTGCTTGAGTAGCTTGATCCAAATACAATCTTAAGCTTCAATGAGAAGTGGTCTGCTACCAAATTAAGGACAATATCCAATTGCCAGTGATTAATTTCCCTAGCATTTTGTATAATACATGTGAATAATAAATTTTTAACATTTAAAGCAAGTGACTGTCAACATTTTTGTCAATTGTTAAGAACTGCTTCCTTGATGCAACAATAATCTATACAATACCTGATCCTGGGCCTCTTGTAATGGTGGCAATAATTCTGTCAGCTCAGCCCTCTGGCTGTGAGCTATGTCCATAACATCTATCAAATTCTGTATCAGTTCTTGTGTCATGTTCGATTCTGCAATTATCATAAATAGATTAGTAAGCACACAATCTGTATCCTTTGAAATTGAACAATAAAAATGTATTTAATAGTAGAATTTTGTCATTTAAAACAAAATCAATATATAACTGCAAAGTCTGTCTGACTAAACAAAATAATATAGGCATGCTTTTCAGTGGATGTGTAATAAAATAATTTTATGCAAAAACTATTAACAAAAGACATATACATTACATACTTTTATCTAAATATTTACTTAAATCATTAATGCACAAATCAATAGGTTTACATTATCCTACATCATTCAGAATAAAAGAAACAAATTTTTATGTAAATATGATACTCTAAGGGATTCAGAAAGGTCTTGAAAGTAAGTCATTACATTAAGTATGGATCCTTACTTAATAATTGCAGTGCAGCAGCAGAAAAATTCTAACAATTTCAAACCTTACAGTGACAATGATCTGACCTTAGTGTAAATCAATAAAGTATATACATAAAGTAAGTCACAGTCTTACAAATACCTTATTATCACTGAAGCCATTATAAATTAGTTTTCATTAAATAGCACAATTCAACCCATAACTTCCATCATTTATTGAAGCTACCAATATACATTTGATTTGTAGGATTTGTACATGAAATTCGTAATTCAAACTAGAAAACAGACATGTCAGCAAGGGCCCCGCTTTAACATTTCAATTTGAGGCACAAATAAAAGTAGGAATACATGTAACTAATGGAAATAGAGTAATTCCTTTTCCAGTTTTGTAAAATCCAAAAGCTATGTATTGGGGGCTATTTTGTGAATGGTAGGCAACTAATAAATTTTGACACAGGGTTTAGCAATTTTTCCTACCAGTACATATTTTCATTGAAATCCCAGCAAAAAGCAGAGTCTTTCAAAATTGTCATTTTGAACAAAAATTAAGTTTTCACCACAATTTTTACATTGGGAATTATTTTGGTTTTGCATGTTATACCAATAAATCAATTTTCATTGAAATCCTGTGTTCTCCCCAGATATTTCATTTAGCATCCTGGTAAACAGGGAAATTTGTAAATACCATCTTGTTTCTTAAAAATATAGCATCACATCCATAACATAATCTATAAGAAAACCGCTTCAGATAGCATCACATTCAAGAAATATAGCATCACATTACCATGATGCTAAAAGGCCCTGGGGAGAACACTGGAAATCCTTACTCAAACAATATTTTTCTCCAAATTAGTGATTTTTTTTTAACAAAAAGTAAGTTGTTACCCCAAATCTGACACTGAGAATCAATTTGGATAGCTTATTATACTTATATATCAATTTTTGATGAAATGATGGCATAAAAAGATGTTTCTCAAAATTTGTGATTTGTTAATGTACATGTAAAATAAGTTCATATGACTTTATTTTTTAATTTTTGGCACTTAAGAAATTTGGATAATGTTGGAATAGCCCATTATACCTATACAAGTATAATAATAAATAATAAATAATAAAGCTTTATGTAGAGTCGGCATAGTATACAAATAAGGACATAACATAAGCTCTAATGAGCTTTTAACCAACATTAAGAATCAATCTTCATTGAAGTTCTGGCTAGCACAAAGAGATGTTTCTCAAAATTTGTGACTTTAAGAAAAACTAAGATCCTAATTAATAAAAATTATCCCAAAAAATAAACTTTTGATATTGGAAATAGATTTTGAGTAGCATATCATAACTTTTAAATATGTGTCCATTTTTGTTGAAATTCTTCCACAAAATAATGTTTCTCAAATTTTTTGATTTTTTTAACAAAAAATAAGTTTTTACCACACTTATCAACAAAAACGAAAGGGATCTCCTATTATTGTTATTAACATTGTTCAGTAAATTAAGGAAATAAGTGGATGCAAACTAGACTTATCCTACGACATAGAAGTGCTGATGGAAACTGAAAGAGTGATAACTATAGGGCATTGTCAACTAGTCAGCAGGGCCTTGATAATAAAAAAATCTTTAAACAGGCAAATCACAAGTGCAAATTGGTAAACTTTGATTTGGTATAAAACATACATGTATAGACAATTTTATCTGTAGCAGTATTACCTATTGAAGTTAGAAATTAAACTAGAGAGTGCACTTTCCAGCAAATTGGACACCAGTTTTTTTTTTTTTTTTCACAGGGTTTCAAATTTATTTTAAGCAATAGAAGGTCCAGGACCTTTGACCAAAAATACTTAAAGGTCCTCCTTTTTTCTTTGAAGGTCCAATTTTTATTGAAAATTCAATAGATAAAAAATTGAAAATGCTTACCATTCCAAAACACTCATCATATCTTACTACATTAATCTATTTTTTTCTGAATTTCTTTAATAAATTCAGTTAAAAAAAGGCTGTCCCTTTTCCCCAACACTATACTCTGTGTTAAATAACACTTTGTACCTTTCAAATCGTTTTGGTTTCATTTGCTGCTTTAGAACACACTGGCCTAACTTTGTGTCAGATAACAGTTTCGTTTTCAAACTTGGTCAGTTAATTTTAATCACATAATTTTTGCAAGATATATAGATGCTGGGAGGAAATTTTTCATCAAGATTTTTTATGGGGTATAAACTTTTAAAATTTTAAAACGAACCAGGGCACTTTCCCTTTCACTGTGTGTGGGGAAAATCTACGTTATCGTTTTTCCCTGTCATATATTTGGTCTTTAGTCAGATCCTGTCTTTTGGCTGCGTTAAGTTGTTTCATCAATCACACCTGTTTTATCAGGGTTCCTTTTCGAAGAGGTCAACCCAAAACTAAACAGACTCATACTGTTAGCCTGGGATCCTGGCTCACTGTTCGACAGTATCGACAAAGTATTAGATTAGGTCAGGATGCCAGGCTATTATACTGTTTACTAACTATGTTCTAATATTATTGTCTCCAGTTTCCCAGTATCTTATGATGACCGGTCACGTGACTACACATTAAATAAATTGTGAAGAATATAAGCAATCACATAAGTTTCCTTTTAGTATAGTTGCATATTTTAAGATTATTTTCTTATTAGATTTTTATATTTTTGTTCAATGCTTTTGTAATTCTTTTAACCTCCAAAAATACTAAAATCCGTCAGGTGTAACTAACTACCAGTGTGAAGGTCCGAACCCTTAAATGGAAGGTCACGGACCTCGGACCACTGCTAATTTGAACCCCTGTTTTTCAGAGTACACCGACAAAAACAAAGAATTTTATTCATCAACTATCATTTTATCCCAAAAAGTTTCAGATTTACTGAATAAATCAGAGTTTTGACCAAGTTAGCAGTCAAGATTATGAATGGCAGAGTTACTGTCTTAAAAGTTTATTTGAAGGTGGGTTTAAACATGTCTCAACATTTCTATTTGGAAAAGGTGAATACTCAGTTAATCCTACACACATGACACAAGAAAAGATCTTCCTGGTATTCTACTACCACACAATAAAAAAACAATACAAACATGACATAAAGTCCAAGCAGTGCAAAAAAAGGCTCTTAAGTTTATCATCAGAACCATATAAAAATCTGTTTTCAGAGAAAAGCTGTCGCGCATAATACACTCCACTGAGATTTTCAAAAGTTGGCAGGTACATGTATATTCTTTTATTTATTTTAAAAGAATAAACGACATGCATGTATATCCTCGATGATTGGAACTTCGTTACCCTAACTCGAAACGGAAGAAAAAAATCACAACCTTGGAGCAAATATTATCCACTGTGGATGTAAATATTCTTTACTTATTTGCAAACAGTCTGATACATTTAATTGATGAATAGCTTCAGAAACATGGTCAATCTTTCTATGTTTCATATTGTGACCCGATTCCGTAAAATAAGTAGACATGCTTGTAAGTTCGTGACCTTTGTCTTTGGCGGTGGCTTTTGCGCATGTGCTACAATATATAGGTCAGGCCTATTGTATTATGTATTTGAACATAACAAAATAAATTTGAGATCAAATAACAAATGAATATCTCGAAAAAAAAGAAGAGAAATTGGGACATACTAACTTTTTATTCTCCCTTCAAAGATTATTCTAATTTTTACTGGTGACTTTCAATGGTCAATTGGAAAGTCCAGAATTAAACACTTTAAACACATTAAAGATAACTATAACGATGTCACAATGTCATTAATGCATCAAATTATTTTTTCATACAATTTGCATTCAATGGCATAAGATTAAATTACTTTTACGAGCCAATATTCGGCAGGTTTTGTTTTCATCAAAATATATCAAATCATTTACTGATCTTAAAAAATCCGCTCACATACAGACTTCAAAAAATAATACTCTTGGCCTTAAAAAAAGGAATACATGGAATAAGAGGCCACATAACCTAAAAATAGATGATGACTCATTGTTGAGATGTCAATAACATTGCTGAAAGGATTTTCCCAAGAATTCAACGAAATTCTAGGAGAGTATTAAACAGTAGTAGTGGAAATAGACGTTTAAACAAATAATATGCTAGAACATACACAGCTTCTCTTTTTCAAGCCGATATTAGTGAAAATGCATTGAAAAATATTCGGTTAAGTTTTTTGAAGTAGCACGTTGCCGATGATAAATACTTTTGCATGACGTCACGAATAAAGTGGAAATCTCCAAATGTCACGAACTTGCAATCATCGACAATAATAGTTTTCATAATGATGTGCAGACATGTCTCAAAAAGAAATATGTTGTTTTTGTCTTGATCCTTTTTCCACACTTGTTTCACTGTGGGTAAATTTGCTTCCAAAAGAAGTTGTTTAACCCAGCTTATTATAAAATTTAAATCATATTTCAGTTTTTTTTTTATAAAATGTGAAAAGCCCTAATCATAGCTTATGTTTACTAGTTAAAATGTAGCATTTTCAAATCCTACCTGGATATGACTTACATAGCATGCTTGCATTTTATTTACAGGGGTTTAAACTGTTAAATATTAATTCTAAACCTATCATGACCATAAAACATTTTTTGAAATTTTGTTTGTTTGTAAAATTAGAAATCGTAAAACTATCAGTGTCTTCAATATTGTTCAACAATTGACACTGGACAACAACAAAAAATAATTTAGTTGTGGAGTATACTATAAACAAACAGTGCATAAATATATCATACAATGTTTACCGATTGAATATTATTTGTCGTGTCAAAATTCAGGGGACAGAATTTCGATTGTGGAGGCTGCCATTAATATGAAAGTGCTAAAACTATAAACGCACATCCGGTTACGAACCCGGTTTCTAGCTATTCTTCTACTTTTACCTTTTACTTCTACCATATACTGACCGCCTTTAACAAATTGAAGATTATGTCACAGGATGATAAATTACAACAGGACAAAGATTATTTTTACCGAATATAAAATAGATGAAAAATGAATAAGTTTGATGTGAATAGCTGAATTTGATATTGATGTTTTCAGATGGGTGATTTGAAAGAGTTTACTGATGTGCAATTATGATGTTATAAGGTAGTTTGTTTACGAAGGTTATTGTTCTTGGGCGGGGAACAGATTATTTTCTTGTATGATCGAATTTAGAAACTGTTCGATTTTGAATATTTGAATTAGAAGTAGAAGTAAAAGACTATAACCCATGTGTTATAGTAGTCTTAATAAGATGTAGTATTTCTGTCACACTGAACACATTTAATTGGTCGCAACTATTAGTCTGTATACTGCGCACTAGACCTGCCATCATAGTGATGTATAAGATCTTTCATCATCTCTGAGTCGCAAGTCCATCAGACACCATCTTTGTTCCTGAAGATCCATGAGCCAGAAAGTTTCATCAACTCTTTTTTGGACACATATATACATCTAAAGATACATACAGGCACTAATTCTTTCCGTTTACAAAACCGCAATGGAACACATTACCAATACCAGTAGTTCAGTCTGTCAGTAGACAGCTTTCGAGAACAGCTCACTTCTGCTGTTCTTTATATTTTCATTCAAATATTAACCATTTTAAACATCATTTTAAACCACTTAATTCGCATGATTCGTTCATCTGCACTACCAAACAATTTGTACAACATATATAGCACTACATTTTCTTATTTTACTGTGTTGATTAATTTTTGTAAATAGGCCACGCATGCAATAGTAAATGATCAGCAGCCTGATTGGTGGTTTATTGTATACTTAAAGAAGATCAGGCAATTAAAAAAATCAGTATATTAAAAAGTAAAATAACAAAAATATCGAACTCCAAGGAAAATTCAAAACAGAAAGTCCCTTATCAAATGGCAAAATTAAAAGCTCAAACACATCAAACGAATGGAAAAAAAAACTGTCATATTCCTGACTTGGTACAGACATTTCCTTATGTAGAAAATGGTGGGTTAAACCTGGTTTTATATATAGCTAGCTAGACCTCTCACTTGTATGACAGTCGCATAAAATTCCATTATATTGACAACAATGTGTGAACAAAACAAACAGACGTAATAGGTAAAAATGTCAAAAATAGGGGTAAAGCAGTCAATATTGAGCTATAATCTTAATCACTATAAAAAGAAACAAATATGTCAACAAAGAAAAACAAAATGGCATATAGACAAAGCACATAAGCAAAAATGAAAGACAAGAATACAAAAAATGACGATAGCACAATAACACAATGGCGGGATGTATAAGTACCAAGCTACGCCAAGAGGATATTACCAAAAAAATGGACTAAACAGTAAAGTAAATAATTTACATTTAGACAAATAAAAAGAACACTATAACACGTAATTAAGATAATAAACAACGTCAGTACCTAGAATCTATACTTCAAGACCATCGTGTATTATTAGTGAAGTTGATACGGAATATTTATCAACAAAGTCTTAGTTAAAAGAGCTCAACTTTGAAATAATGGTATAAATTTGCAATATATAACAAAAAAAAAAAAACATGATACAAGATATTTAAACTGAGATTGCTATTATACAGTATCTCACGGATTCAAACGATTGTAAAGCAAATGATTGTAAGATGTTGCCAAATAAATTTGCGACTTTCAGGCTGTCATGTAAAGTGGCCGGTTAAGGCCATTTCACGTTTTCGCGATTTCGTCTTTCATATTCTATAGGGCGAAAACGCGAAATGGCCTTAACCGGCCACCATAGTCATGTGATTTTTCAATCATGTGTCTCTTCACAACATGTCAAGCTCTAGACTATCAGAAGAATTACATTTTGGCAATTGGTGCGCTTTACTCGATTGACATTCACCTGGAACGCTCCAAACTTAAAATTTGAAAGTCAATGGTGAATAAATACTTCAGGAAGTACATGAACAACCGAAAGCTAAAGCGTAAAACCCGGGAAACTTGACCGTCTATGGTCAACTTTGCCTGAGGATAAATGTTAAACCTTAGTTTCTTTGTAATCAATAAATCAGTTAAAACTTATATCGACGGGGAAAAGAAATGTATGTTATAAAGCCGCAGTACTGGAGCACCGACTACTGAACTAATGTTGCCCTCGGAGACTAACGCTTCACCGGCATGCAGTGTTGTCGACCTAAGCTTTCAAGGGAAACACTGCTGCAGATTGCAAACCTCCAAGTTCGTTACAAATTCGTAAAACGCTCAACTCATGATTGCCTTGGAGACTTAAATACTCACTTAACAAAAAACAAAAAATAAGTCCGTTGATAATTTCACTGAGACTTAAAAAAACAATACATATTATTTAAGCCATGTGAAGGCTTCTGAGCTACCTATTCAGACCTAAAACTTCAATTTATGTTTAAAAGTAAAATAACAAAAATACCGAACTCCAAGGAAAATTCAAATCGTAAAGTCCCTTATCAAATGGCAAAATCAAAAGCTCATGCACATCAAACGAACGGATAACAACTGTCATGTTCCTGATTTGGTACAGGCTTTTCCTTATGTAGAAAATTGGATTAAACATGATTTTACTATAGCTAGCTAAACCTCTCACTTGTATGACAGTCGCATAGAATGTCAAAAATAGGGGTACAGCAGTCAACACTGTGTTATAATCTTAATCACTATAAAAACAAACACATATGTTAACAAAGAAAAACAAAATGGCATATATGGTAAAAGATCTTACTTGGCATAGTTGAGACAGCACAAATACTAGGGTTTCTTTCCCAATTAGACCAGAACTATGACCTCATTTAATTTATTTAGGAATTAGTTGCATCACAGTGTTAACGTTTAAGTTATAGTACTACTTAGAGGTATTTAACGTCTTTGACTACCCATGAGAGCCTACAAAAGGAGGAAGAAATCAAATAACGCAAGAGACAGCTCAAACTACAAAGAACTCGAACATGAAGCACAGAAACAAATACGAAAGGTATATTAGAGATACATAGATATAAGAAGATGTGGTATGAGTGCCAATGAGACAACTTTCCATTCAAGTCACAATTTGTAAAAGTAAACCATTATGGTCAAAGTACGGCCTTCAATACGGAGCCTTGGCTCACACCGAACAACAAGCTATAAAGGGCCCCAAAAATGACTAGTGTAAAATCATTCAAACAGGAAAACCAACGGTCTAATTTATATAAAAAACGAGAAACACTTATGAACCACATCAACAAAAGACAACCTACCTTAAACAATAGTGTAACCGATCACAACATAGAAAGACACACAATAAAATATCAATTGAAATGGCTTAACTCAATCAAAAGACATATTAACAAAAACAAGTGAACATACACTGAACGAATAAATTTGATCTATGACACAATGTAAATACAAAATTAATAAAACAAGGGGGTTAGATTTAAAACAATATCAGAAAGACAATCATAACCTTGGACAAAGTGCCGCCAAATAAAATAACGTACACAGGTAAATAAAAATAATTTTGTTGTAAGGTATAAATGGAGTACGGAAATAATTTTTACAAAATAAATAATTTTGTTGTTCCTAGTACGAGAACAAAAGTAAAAATTTATCGTCATACTAAACAATTATCAAAGGGGTATATATTAAAAAATAGTGAGTCTAGATATAAAACTGAATAAGTAAACATAATTTAAATAACAAAAATACATTACAAATTGTATCAACAGGTCAAATTAACGTGAAAGTACGATTTGAGAGTACTCGGAGTTACTGAAAGCTAGTTAAAAGCCAAAAACAATTAATAATAAAAATTCATGCATCAGAGACTAAAAACACATAAAACACATCCCAGGGATTTAGTGTTTTAACGTCATGGACAGTCAAAGAAGACATGACTAGTGCAATGCCAAAGGTATCGACATGCAGGCAGTAGGATAGTTAAGAGTTGACCTGTTCATGAATATGTATAATGTAATATATAGATAGAGTAATATCTATATAGAAAATGAACGTGGATGTGTATTTATACATCCCAAAAAACCGTTTGAAAAGAATACAAATTTATTTATGTTTTAATTTGCTGATGACAAAATCGATATTTGTGCCAATGTAAACTATATTCAAAGATCTAATTACAACATTGGTAAGATAACCTTTACTAATAAGTTTGTTTAAAGGTTCGATGAGTTTACACGGATCACATAGTGATTTCCTCGCTTTTAGTACAATATTGCCGTAAAATTTAGGATGTGAAATACCGTTTTAATAAGTTTTCTACAGGTACAGCCAAATTTACTAATCAAATCTTTGTATCTATGAAAGAATTTAGAAAAAAATTTAAGCAATTTATGGTAACGAAATCCCTGACTAAATAATTTACTAGTGATGCATTGATTACGTTCGTTAAAATCTGTGATATCACTACACACACGGGCATAACGAACGAGTTGGGATATATAAACACCGTATGATGGAGCTAAAGGAACATCGCCGTCTAAAAAGGGAAAATTAACAATAGGGAATGAAAAATAGTGTCTTTTGACGTAAATTTTAGTATGGAGTTTCCCTTTAAAAATTGAAATGTCTAAATCTAGAAAAGGACAACTACTGCTGTTTATGTTAGATTTATTTAAAGTAATTAAGTCCCTTTGGGTAAATTTCGGTAGTGTATTTAGAGAACTCTGGATTATTTAACGAAAAAATATCATCAAGATAACGGTAGGTATTGTTGAATGTATCAACCAAATGTAACAATGACGTGTCTTTACTGAGTTTGGTCATAAACTGAGATTCATAGCAATACAGGAATAAATCTGCTATTAAAGGGGTGTAGTTAGTGCCCATAGGAATACCTACTACCTGTCGAT